CGATAGTATACACAATAAGCACTTGCAGTAGTAATTGTATCTCTCATGAGAAGAAAAAAGAGAGTCATTATTTCCCAGATAAACCTGTGCCAGGAGTGGATCATGAGTTCCCATCACGCAAGGTCGATTGGTATGGCAACAAGCAATTTGATCTCATCATGGGGTTTTCTAGCAGTCATGAGAGCAAAGCTGCCTGCCCCCGGACCCGATGTATATAAAATACTCTGGATATGTTACATATCTTACTTCTCTCCTATAAATATTTTGATTTCCCGTCACTCAAAGTCGGTTTTCTTTTGGGCTACTCGAAGTCTTTCAGCTGTCCCTGCTTTCTTTCTCTCTTTCCTTTCTTCCTTCTAAATTTACACATCACATCTCCACTACCAGTCAAGTCAAAACCGTTTCACTCTCACGCACCGAAGCAAAACTCTTAATTCAATGACCCGGTTGCACTTCGACTCAGTATCTGACTATGACTATGTCCTTCATTTGTCAGAGCACAAGCTCACTCGCTATCAATATCAGAGGACCGATATTGCATTACGAAAACATGTATTGATTCGCAACTTGTTAATCAAGGCACATACCATAGCATCCGATACAGATGACGAAGAGGGGTATGATGATGAAGAAGGCGACGAGGAGGAGGCTGATCAGCCTCTAACCTTTGGACGGCCATCTGGCCGCATAGTGACTGTTGTTGACACTGACAAGTCCAAGGAGGAAAGTTGGTTTGATACTTGTTTTGATCAACTGGACCAAGACAATGTTGACTCTGTCATCATAGACTACAGTAGTAGCGATGAAGATGACGAAGAAATGGAAGACGGTGCCGTACCGCGCTGGATACAAGATGTTCAACAGCGTTATCTTGTAAACCACTCCACCGTCTCGTCAGCGGACCTTGAAGACGACGATGAGGACGATGAAGACGCCGATGCTATCCTGAAGCTAGCGTCACGAGAGAGCTCGTGCGATTATTTTCTACGAAATGATAAAGAATGCTCTGTTGGTGCTTTTGATCCTTTTGGTAACGACGACATCGTTTCAAGCACCAATAATTTTAGTAACAAATATTCTTGGATCGAGTGGCGACATGATCCAATAACATTATGATATTGTATTGCTTTTCTTTCTTTTTTATTTACTTCCTGCTTTTTGTACAGCAACCCTCAAATATCACTTGTACAGTAATTTACATCACCCAAACATCCATAAAAAAATCACATTTAGTCTTCATTTAAAGCTTTCATCAATGATGAGGTGTACTGTTTGGCCGTCTCCTCAATTTTATGGGCATGTGACCGCCACCATGGGGTTTATGAACTTTGCGAGCCCGCAGTCTGCGTCGATCTACTGACCCATTTTCTGACATGTCGGCGTACGATCACGTTGCCAGTGGGTCACTCAAGCTGAAGGGATCCAGCGGAGGCGTTATAAAGTATGTCTTCTACTTTGATTACATTCCCTGCTCACTACGGCATACTAACCATTGATTCTAGGAAAAAGAAAAAATCAAAAAAGTCGAAATTGCAAGATGCAACTAGACATGTAGCAGCCGACGAAAAGAAAAGAAGCACATATGTTGCTATCGAGAAAACGCCGGCAGAGCTCAAGTTTGAGGAGACTCAGCGACGACGAGTAAGTGATTTCTATTGTGGCTGTTTATTGAAGTATGCTAGGCACTAAACAAACTCCTTGTTCGCAGCAAGAGGAAAAAATACGAAGATCAGCCGAAAAATCACATAAGGAAAAGGTCGCCGAGTTCAATGACAAGCTCGAACAGCTTAGTGAGCATTACGATATTCCTAAAGTCGGACCAGGCTAACATTGGCTTATCATCGTCCATCAGGAGGACGGTTTGGTACGCATATCAGTTTTTTGGTTTTGCGGACTCAATAGTATTGCTTTTTTAATTTGTAAATTGGGAATAAAAAAAAGATATCAAAGCAAATCACAAATACAGATAATATAAAACGTTACGCTCAAAAAAGTATTTGGTTCTAATTTGGCGTCATAGCTAGAGACTTCAAACTTTGCTTCCATAGCTTAATCCTAGTTCGGATACCTTCGTACTCGTCACCTTGAACATCATCTATGAAAGAAGATTCATATCAGCTGCCAAGGTGATAATTTGGGGATTCACTTTGAGCTAATTCAACTCACCTTCCGTCAAATCTGGACCCTTCACACCATAGGTCGACTTAAGGTGCTCCCAAGTCTTAGGTCCAACAAAGCCAAGTGACCAGCCTTCCAAGGTCACTTCTGGTATATGAAGTTTACCACGCTCATCCAACAGCTCATATTGGTCGATTGGATCTGGACTCAAACCGCCTTCAAGTAGAATGTGTTAGTAGCTATCTGTCAAAGAATACATGAAACATCTGGCCATGATGGTTTACCGTGTAGCCAATGGCCCCAAGTTTGGAGCCAGGCACGACTGATAACATGAACTTTGATTTGGTCCTCAGGCAACTGCGAAAGTTCACGCTGCTCCTCGACTTCCAAATTGCGTTCCATAATACGGAATCTAAACTTTTCCAACGCACCACGACCATTGTCATTATCTTTGGTGACAATGTCGAGCATTTCATCAACTTTGATTTGTTCGCTTCGGCTAGCTGTGCATACGCCAAGCTGTAGGAAAAAAATAAAGGACAGGTTAAGGACAAGTAAAAAAGTCTTGATTAGTTCGTAGTAACTTTAACCTACTGCTCGGCCAACTGGCATGGAGTAGGATGTCCTGCATCGTGTACACCATAACCATAGACTGCTAACTCTTAAAAAGAGATGATGGTCACCAACATCACGGCATCCGGAACATACTGTACGATCTGATTAGATATTTGAACACACTAGCTTTTAAAAGATATAAGAATACTTGCAGGCTTCGTCACATTTTCTGTGCATACACATATACAGTTCGTTGCATAGCGCATGGCACTTGGAGCATGGACTTTCCAAGGACATAGTCTTGTATAAAGAGCTTTTCTCGAGCAAAACTGGCTGGGTGAATCCCATAAGATGCCTACATACTCTTCGCATGGACTTATCTTGAGTACATGCTTTATATTGTGTCAAGAAACTGGTATAGGTATAATCAACTCCATAGTGTTGAATGCACAATTGCTTCCACAATTGATCGTCAGTACCAAGGAGTCGAAGGAAACGACAAGTAGCCGACAAAGCTAACAGATCTTGAACGTCATCAATTTGCCAGGCTATTTGTGACCATATTTCAGGCGAGAAGGAGATATAGGATTGATGTGAACTAAGCATTGACGAGATTCGTAAAAGTTGCTGCGTACCAAGCCTCGTTTTGTGTGGCAAAGGGTGAACAATTCTCCACGTGCTTGATAAAGATATGATGTCACAAGATCAGATTGCAGTGGGAAGAGCAAAAGGCAACAACATTACTCATGCTCGAACAATACAATAATATTTAATAAAATATAACTAGAGTTCCGTGCTATCTTATATAAAACGAATTGTTAGAAGTGGAAGCTCTTCTTCACAATGGAGCAGCTCAGTTACCATATAAAGTATAAAGACTGAGAGAGTATATTGTTTGGCCCGTTTTTGAGTTTCTTTTAAAAAAGGTTTTTTGTACTATTTGGCAACTGCCTTCTATTTAAACATAATGCTGTTGCTGGCAATTTGCGATCGATCATAGTCATGATGGCGTAATGAACCCCACAAAATGTAGAACTGACTGTATCACCCTTCAACCTGGCCATTGCTCATCTAAAAGTTGGAACGCAAAAGCTTTGTAGCGAATATATGAAGTCAAAGTATTTAACGAAAGCAACATAGGGTTTTGAACGCCAAAAAGGCCTTCATACAGTTTGCTTTTACTTACTGACAAAGTCGGGCATTTGATTGGTAAAGGCGTTATTAGCGATGTCATTAAAAAAAATCAAACAGCGCCTTTGGGTCGATTATGTCAACGGTCAGTGCGCCCAAACAAAACCCCAATTTACGTTATGCGTAAAATTTTGATAAAGAAGTAACAAAGCTGTTATTTTCACAACATCTTTAAACCGGGCTATGTCGTACCTTCGACCATGGTCCTGTCAAGTAAACCGAAACATGCCGTGCAACCTTGAGCCTATCGCCAAATCGGCAATGTGACTGTCTATGAGCAAGCATTTTGCCTTCCACTTTGGTTGACAACCAGTTTTTTATTGGCACCTCCTTTCATTCATACCATGGACGTTCTTGGCTTTGCAATGCAAGGCGAAAACGGAAACCATGGCGATAACAACATGGTTGAACTCACTTGGTGGAACGTTGGGTTTGCATCGCTATTCATCGTTGTAAATTGTAAGTATCGATTCATTTAGTTTCTCCTGTTAGTGGGTTCTCTTATGTCCTTTTGAACTGACTGTTATGAACAGTGATCATGTCTTCGATACTTGGTCTTGGCCTAGAAAAATCACTATTGATATCAGCAATTCGCTGCGTTGTACAACTAACGATAATGGTAGGTTTCCACAACAAAATAAGTTTCAAAACCCCCAAATTCTGATGGACGTGCTTGTAGGGTTTCGTTTTAGAAGATGTATTCCAAGCAAAGCATCCTGCTATAGTTATACTCATGACGAGTAAGTGATCTTCATCTTCAGCATTATTGAGTTAGTATCCTTATCTTCTCTTCGTCACAGTGATTCTTATTCTATTGGGCTGCTATGAGATCATTTACAATAAGTCGAACAAGACTTTTCGGGGAATGGTAGGGGATTTTGGGCTTCACTGTAGAGCATGTTATCAAAACAGCCATGCTAATCCTCATTAATCTACTAGTTTCTGACGTGTTTATGCTCAATGACTATGTCGACGTTGTTGGTGGGGATTATCGGCAGTCGATATGCAATGGCACAGGATCCATTTTGGACTCCAGAAAAGTTTATACCCACTACAGGAATGCTGCTTGGAAATCTAATGAGCGGCATGGCAGTTGCAATCGGTTCTTGTCTTTCAAGTCTTAGTGACGGACACGAGAAGATAGAAACCTATCTTTCTTATGGAGCAACGCGTTGGGAAGCTGGTCTTTCTGTAGCAACCGAATCCGTGCGGTTAGCCATGCTGCCCACCATCAATCAAATGTCCGTCATTGGGCTCATCGCTATCCCTGGTATGATGACTGGTCAGATTATGGGTGGAGCATCTGTCCTACAAGCCGCTAGATACCAACAAATCATCATGTTCATGATATCAGCAAGTACTGCCTTGGCTGTTTTAACAGCAGTTGTTGTAAGTATATTTCCAGAGCGACAAAGCATACTCCGTCCTAGAACTAATTTATTTATACCACCACAGACTTGTGTTACTACCATCATAGATGCTGAACACCGTATTCGTCCTGAGCGTATTCTACAAGGTCGACCGAGTTTGTGGAAAGATATCAAACTGTTGCCCAAGCGCACATGGGAAGGCGTACATTGGTGCATTATGTGCTGCGGTCGATTTCAGAAGACACACAAAATATGGGACGATAGCGACAGTGAAACCAGCACTGAACGTACCCCTCTTCTAAATTAATTACATTTGAATGATTCACACTTTTAAATACACAATAGCTGCAACTTTTTGAAAACGCAGACTTTTTTTCTTTGCTATTCATTGTCAAAGGGTTAAATCCCCGCAACAATTTAGAGACAGGCTGTTAAAGTTTTGGTCCCAGTGCTTTCGACAATTCGTCAATTCACCATGGCGCATAAAGTAGCCACCACGTACATTATTGACGTTTCTCCGTCAATGGAAGTCAAGCAAGAAGGAGTGGACATAACCTGCTTCCAACAGTCCATTAATGCTGTGGCAGGCTTGATTCAAGACAAAGTAGGTCGATTCGCGCGTCGCTCTCCGCTATGCAATCCTGTAGTAACAATATTTGTAGCTCTTAGTTGGGCGAAAGACCGATATGATCAGTATCATATTAGCTGGAACAGAAGGTATGTTATATGAGTTAAAATTAGATATGCAAGTTGCATACTCACAAGCTTTGTTCGCAAGGAACGGACAACAGCCTAGTGCCTAAGAATAGCGAAGAGCCTTCTGCGTATGAACATATTACAACTATTCAACGAATTGACGTACCAGACAACGAGTTGGTCCGTAAACTGTTGAACACGACCGCGAGTAAACATTCGCTGACAGATGGTAGGTATCTACAGTTGTTCTTTGTACATTTAAAAAGAACATGACTGGCACTAACTATGTTCTAGTTCTAAGTGCCTTGATTCTCGCCGAAAATGATATGGACAACCACTGCGGAAAACTGAAATATGTGAAAAAGATTATCCTATTTACTGATGCAGAAAGCGAAACAGATTGGTCTGATATTGGCCATATTCAAGAGAGATTGGCTGCACACAAGACTGAACTGATCGTCATGTAAGTCGAACTATAGCAGTTTTTCACCCTGATTCAACGACGTGCTAATCCGTATACGTCTTGTGAATAAAGTATAGCTGGCTATACTGAATCTGACACTAGCAACTTCTCGGAAACCAAGGTATGCCATTCATATCGCGAAATCTTCATCCAAATTACCTATATTGCTGCTAAACCAGCCATCCTTCGTTCAGGCTGATAATATTAAACATTTTCGCACTCTCGCCGAAGCAGACTATGTGGATATTATACCAATGAAAGATGCTGTAGATATGCTAAGCACCTTCAAGGTCAAGACAGTCAATCCGACGCCTGTGTTTCGAGGCGAACTTCTGCTCGGTGATGCCGCCGCGCATCCGCTTGAATCCCTCTCTGTTCCTGTCTTCATGTACGCCAGAACATATGAAGCAAAGCTACCTACCGCAAAGAAGTGGTCAGCACTATCTGATACGCATGCAGGCGAACAGGCTTTAACGCATGATGTCGGTAAAGAGGTCTCCTACAAAATCAAGGGTTCAAATAAACAGGCGAATGGTAATGGCAACGGAGATTCAGAAGCTCAGACAGCTGAATCTGATTTAAATGGATCAGCTGAAGCATCGACATCTGCAGGAGCTACAGAACAAGGCAACATCAATAGTTATGATCTTGAACACGCATACCCCTTTGGAAAGTCTTTGGTCGTCATCACTGCAGAAGATGAGAAGTTCATGAAGATCGAGACAAAGGCAGGAATGTTCATACTTGGGTTTTTGAGTGCATCATCGGTATGTACAATAGTGTTTACGAACGTGTACCAGCACTACGGGCTACATAGCTAAATGTAAATGTTACTCTCTCGTTTCCTCTGCTTAGATTCCAAGAGATTACCTTATGTCCAATGTATACGTTATTTTACCACGGCCTGCCGACAACATGGTTGCCTCCGCAACTATTTCTTCTCTGGCCCGAGCGCTGTACGAACAGAATGCATATGCTCTAGTTCGTTATGTCGCCAAAGAGAATCAACAACCTAAGCTTGGCGTTCTTGTACCATACTTTGAACCAAATATAGATGCTCTACATTTCATTAGGGTAGGACAGCAATATGTTGTCGAGTGTTCATTATAATGAAGAATGCCGTTAACATGTTTCTGTTCGTAGGTACCGTTTGCGGAGGACATTCGCCAATTCCCCTTTGCGCCACTGGATGTGGTTACTCTGCCTAATGGAAAAGAAGTCACTGATCACAAACTCCTTCCTTCCAAGGAGCTCGAAGATGCCATGGATGCGTTTGTCGCCAGCATGGAGCTACCAAAGGAACCGGATGGCAGGTAAGGGGAATTAAATAATGAATGGCTACTGTAGAATAATGCTGACCAAAATAAACCTACCAGTGCTAGTTTCTCTCCTGAAAAAATATTCAACCCTGCAGTTTGGCGCTTGAATGAAGCTATCAAACAACGTAGTTTGAACAAAGCTGCTCCCATTCCAGAACTTCATTCTGCACTGAAGATGCAGATGGAACCACTTCCAATCATGATGGATGTCGCCAGAGATAAAATAACGAAGTTGACGGAGACTGCAGGTGTTAAAAAAGGTATGTAAAACAGGAAATATTGGTAATGCGCAATAATGTAGTGGTTTGGCGCTTACATTCCATTGTTTCCGCAGTAAATGCAAAGGAAGGGAAAAAGCGAAGGTATGGTAAAGGTGTCCAATCTGAAGAGCCAATAGCTCCTATCCAAGATATCGTCAGGAACGAAGAGGAAAGTCTCAAGAAGTATAAGGTGAAACAAGTGGAAGATGCAGACATGGAACTGGATGAGCGACCAGGATCGATCATGAATAACCTATCGAATGTTCGGGAAGTTGGCGCAATTGACCCTATTAAGGACTTTAGAGCTATGATCGATAAAGAAGGCGATTTCATAGAAGAAGGTGAGATGACATGACATGACATGAATTTGTATATAATCGACAATATCTAGAGGCTGACTATGACCATCTAGCGGTGCAGCAAATGTCGGATAGGATCGAACAACTCGTGAAGGAATCGTTTGCTGATCAGTACTTTGAAAAAGCAAAAGAGTGCCTCCAAGAATTGCGTGAACAATGCAAAAAGGTGAGATATTTTGAAGTAGAGCACTGTAGGTCTCGTTGAATATGAGGCTGATTGAATCCCTCAAAAGTTTGAAGAAGGAGTACAGTACAACGATTTATGTCGCAGGCTTAAAGTTTTATGCGATCCATCCAACCCTCAATCACAACGTCTTGATTTTTGGAAGTTGATGATCAAGGATAACATTACACTTCTTTCCAAAGACGAATCAGCGGACGTTGACGTATCTCAAGAAGAACAGGCACAAGTAAGTGTTGCTGTACGCATATCTTTCCGTGGCTCTTATTTTAACTTTCTCTGTCGTTTATTAGTTCCTCACAGATATCCGAACACAGCCAACACAAAAGACAGAGGAGGCGGATGTTCCCATGGAAGAAAAAGAAGATGAATTAAGCGCAGACAATCTGGTATGTAGTCTGTTTTGTCTTGGCTTTGATTTTTGAGGTAACTAGGCGCTAACGTCAGGTTTATTTCCTTACCCTAGCTTGACATGCTGGAATAGAATATGGATAGTAACTACATAAAAAAATGTACACCAACAATACACTACTAAAAATGCCAACTGTACCACTTTTACAAACAACTAAAGAAGTAGGGGAGGGCCAATTGCATTATGTGAGTATGTAATAGAGAACATTTATTATGGGTTCGATGGTAAATAGAGTATTGGTACAAAAGGGAATGGCAGTATTTAGTTATGCTGAGGATTATATTGGTTCACCATGGATACGAATGCGATACAGGCAGGTATAATCAGGATGGCCCCAGTTGTCCTTAACACGAATGACAACAACACGAGTTGGCTTTTGAGGCGAAACAGGGAACGATTGTACTGCGATGGGATCTTCAGCATTATATTGACCACTGGCAAGTTCGATGACATGCTGGCCCTGGTCTCCCAATGCACCATCAGTTGTTTGACCTAAGTGTTCACCATAGACTCCCCACAGAGCAAAGTTCTTTGGGGCACTACGACGGTCAAGAAGAACTTGCTTTCCAGCATGCTCAATAGTGACACCGGTCACCTTGATGGTCTTGCTAAGAAGGATGCCAATCGAACCGTTGTTGCCGACCATGGGCCAGCACTGTCCGACATTGGTATCTGGATAAAGCGCGGTGATGGCAGGCGAGGTGTCACGAAAAGGTATCATTTTATGAATAATCCATTTTAGATTTTCAGTTGGCTCGAGTTCGTAGGTTGGTGAAGTGAGTCTTGGAATGATTCTTGCTCCTGATGACGCTAATGCGTAATCCGGTAGTGCTAAGTAATCCTGGTGGTACTTTAGGATGGCTTCGTCGATCATACGGTTGACTATATCCATTGCATCCGGTCTAAGGTCAGCACTGGCTGCGCTCTTGAGTGATTTCATCATATCTGACTTGAATTCAGACAATTGATGTTGAATCAGTGCGTGAGTTTCGTCACGAGAGAGTTGATCGTTTAATTGTTGAGAGATCTTCGTGAATTCATCTAATTGATGCGGATCAAGCTTCAAATCGGCAAACTTCTTCTCGAGGGTATGCATAGCGGCCTCTAAACTAGTGAGGGACTGAAGGCGATCTCTTAAGTCTGCGATATTACTCTGTACGCCTTCAATACGTTGATCTTTAGCAAGAGCAGCCGCAATAGCCTTCTCTAAATCTACTTTGTACTTTGTGAGTGCAGTGCTGATGGTATTTCCGGTGTCATGGGTCAATTTGTTGATGACCTTCTCAGCTTCTGAAAGTCTTTCACCCAACTTATTCAATTTCAAGGCATCAGAGCGCTCTAGTGTTTCCAAGCGGTTCTCGTTCTGTCGAAGCTTTTGGGCTGTCTCAGCGAGGACAAGGGTATACTTTTCCACAGACACGATTCTAGATGCCAACTCTTCCATAGATTTGGGTAGTGCTGGTTCAGGTTGTCTTTGGAATGCGGCAGCCAGCCTTGCAACGGTTGGCGGAACTGAACTCAAAGCGGACTTGATGCTTTCCGTGCTTGGAATTTTCAAATCTGCAGTCATTTCCGCGTTACGCATCATTGAGCCTATAGCAACAAAGATGAACAGAATAGGTGCAATTCGGGTGAGCCTTCTAAGTTGGCTTGTGGGAGGTTGTGTTGCCTTTTTCAATAATTCTTCATCCATCAAGTTCTTGCCGGTAATGAAGTGGAACATTTTTTGTAGCTTTGTTAAAAGCATAATGACGGGTGTTGCTATAACAAAATCCAATAATTTGAGAGTCAACCCGAGAGCTGTAACAACAGCCTCTTTGATGGTCCAAAAGATCATGAAGATCCAAAACATGACCCATCTAAACATCGAGTCCAGGACTCGCTGTAATGGCTGCCACAAGAACGTTTGGCGTCGTACATTCACAAAGCTACCAGTGCTCTCTGAACGAACTGATTCAGCTTCGCGTGATATGGATCTACGAAGAGGGGAGACCCCATCAATGCGTTTTCTCCACTCGTCTAATGTTTCGAAAGCAGGAGTCCCACTTCTACTTCGAGATTTTCTTGGAGTTGACTCTCTGCTTTCAATTTCTGTACGCCGTCGAAATTCTTCCTCAGGGTATTTGAATAAAAGCTCCTCTTCAGCAAATGGATTTGATTTCAGTTCGGCATCTGTCACGGAAAGCTTGCGGTGTAGCTTGCTATTATTGTTGGAATTATTCGCATAGCTGTCTAAAATAGTCGACAGTGGATCATCCTCTCTATAACTTAACGATGATGGAATTCGTCGCTGCATGGTAGGCTGCTCAGTGGTGTCGTTAAGGTTGTCTAGGTTGGGATAGAGGTTGAATGAACCAGGTTGTGTGCTTTTGAATAGAGTTGAAATATCAGATCTGATAGGGCTCAAGGGAGGACGGGATGGACTTTGTACCGCAGATGGTCTTCCTTGTCGTGCAGCTTGCGTAAACGCCGTAGCTATATTCACGGTTGTATCTCTCAGGGCGCTTAATCGTTTACGTGAAGGGCGATCGTTAAAGGAATCGGAATGTATTCTTCTGTTGTACGCTTGCTCACTTGGACTTTGTGAACTGTTCAAATATCTTTGACTGCTTGCTCCTTGTAAGCTCGTGTACGCTGGCGGCGTTTTGCTCGGCATCTACGTTGTGGAATCAACTTGTCTTTACAACAGGAAAAAAGCGCGGCCCCCTTTGGTTCCAAGTGCGATTGGGTTAGGGCAATTTTTAAAGCGAGTCACGTGAGAATTTCTGAGATGCGCTGTTGGATGAGAGAGGCACTTTATTAGCGATCAAAGTGCTGCCATAGTGAAGTTCTTTCTCTGTAATTTACCATGGGTACGGCTCTACGAAAGTGCTTGAAGACAGATGATGGTGCATCGTTACTAATAGATGATTGATGGATGATTGATAGGTATCAGTCGTGATTCTAGGCACAAGAGAAGGTATGTTACCTACAACATTTTGAACATGAGCTTTATACATTTGAAAGAAATTTTACTAATTGCCGTCCTCTCTTTGAATTTAGTGCCACTGGTGCCAAGCGTGCCCAGTACCGAAAGAAGAGAAAGTAAGCATTCATTTGATGACTATGATGTACGAAAGTAAAATACGCCAACTAGGAGTCGAGTGGACTGGATCGAATTTCCGTAACGACTCGCTTTCATCGAAAAGTAATGCCTGGTAGATTACAACTTCGAGACGGTATAAAATGTTTTAGTTCAGCGATAACTCGATTGTGCATGCGCCTTTTCTGCCTCTCTCGACAGCAACGACGTTTCAGGACGATAATCTTGGATCCATCAACTGCTGATCATCTTTTTCAACCCTGATTTCTGACTGTTTTCTGTCCAGGTTCGAATTGGGCCGTCAAGCCGCTAACACCAAGCTTGGACCTAAGCGTGTCCACGAAGTCCGTGTTCGTGGTGGTAACAAGAAGTACCGTGCCCTTCGTCTCGATGCCGGTAACTTCTCCTGGGGTTCTGAGAACTGCACCCGCAAGACTCGTGTTTTGACTGTCGTTTACAACGCCTCCAACAACGAGTTGGTCCGTACCAACACTCTCGTTAAGGGTGCCGTCATTCAAGTTGATGCCACTCCTTTCCGTCAATGGTATGAGTCTCACTATGCTAAGACTCTCGGCAAGAAGAAGACTGTAAGTATCACTCAGCAATACAGTAGATCAAGTAAACATTGATAGATGCTTACTTTGAACGTGATTTCCAGGAAACCGAGGAGGTTGAAAAGAAGTCCAACCACGTCCAGCGTAAGGTCGCTGCTCGTCAGACTGATGCCAAGGTTGACTCTCTTTTGGAGGACCAATTCGCTGCTGGTCGTCTTTATGGTAAGTCCGAGTCAATGAGAATAATCAATAAGAACTCGTTTCGACGTTGTGTTTCTCACACATATGTTTGTTTAATTAGCCAAGATCTCTTCCCGCCCCGGTCAATCTGGTCGTTGCGATGGTTACCTCTTGGAAGGACAAGAGCTCGAGTTCTACGTCCGCAAGCTCAAGGCTCGCAAGTAAACATACAAAAACCCGATTCTCTTCATGTTCCAATAAAAATACAATGCTTTGTAGGAGCGCACAAATTAAAACTATTTTAAGATTATGTCAGTGGTGTGTGTGTGGGCTATTGTACCACGACTCATAAGGGTGCAGTTGTGCATGGAAGTGCCGCAGAGCTAGCATCCAAGCTTTGAGATCAAGCCATTGGGCAGTAATGGTAATCAGTAGCAAAAATCGATTATTATGCGTGCGGGTGGCTTGCTCCAAACGATTCAATTTTCCCAAAATTTTGTGAAGGTGAAGCAATTGAAAGTCACATTGTCAAAGTCAACCAAGTGCACATGCCAAAAGAACCGCACATGAAGCCGACAGAGGTCGCAAAGCGATCCAAATCCAAGAAGACAAAGGTGGGCGATCCGGTACCGCCCCCTCCAGACAAACCGCAACAATGTAAGTACTACAATATAATGAGCAATCCGAGATTACTACCGTCCATTTGACCGACGGTGCATTTACCATTATCTTTGCAGGCCAGTATTGGGTGGCTCGAAAGCGACGCTATTGCCATTTACCTTCAAAGAAGACAAACAAATATTGCGGAGAGCATTTGACAGAGCAACAGAAAGAAGATATCGAACAGGATACGAGAGTTCGTATACCTTGCCCGTTTGATCCACGACAGTATGTATTCATCATCAAAGGTATATTCTGTATCGTCATGCACTTTTACTGACCTGCTTGAAACAGCACTGTTTTCCAAGATGAGCTCGAAGTGCACCTGAAGACTCGCTGCAATGCTCGTCCAAAACCAAGTGATCCATGGTACTCCCTCAATGCCAATTGTGCTCTTCCTCTTTCCAAAGAAGAGCTTGAATTTCAGCAATCCATCCACTCTCACAAGCATTTGAAAGCCCAGCCCTGGATAACACGCGTGCAACTCCAGGAATTACCGAAAACCGAACTTCGAGAATTGATTTTGAAGGTCGACCGTCTTTACAAAGATATTGTACCACCCATCAAAACGAAAATTCACTTTCACCCATCTATGGAGAAGAGACGGTAGAATCACAAGTTTCTTGCTGTTCCTATTTCAAATACCAATGAGATTTCACTAATTAGAGTCAATCATTAGAGCTCAGGTGAAATTCCATAAGCATGCTGATCAACAGGTAAGAAGGGTATGGATTATAATTGAAGGGTTTATGTTTCATATATTAACAGAAATACCATAAGGCTTCGTTGCTTGGACATATGGCTGATAAAGATATGCTGAAGAACAAGCGTGCTGCTTTCGTTGAATTTGGTGCTGGAAGGGGTACGTAAAACTAGTTTGTTTGAGGTTATGCCAATTAAGCTGACACAGATTTGGCTTTCAGGCGAATTGTCCCACCATCTTAAAGCAGCACTTAACGCTGAAAATGGCGAGAGCACATTTGTTTTAATTGACCGAAAAGCTGTCCGTGGAAAGGTATGTTTGAAGTATAGTCAGTGTGTACACAAATCTGTTTCTAAACAAAAGCGTCCATGGTGGCAGTTTGATACCGTTCTGACTGGCGAAGGAGGCGCAACCAAAGTCAAGCGCATCAACATAGACATCAAAGATTTATGCTTGAGCAATTTGGATACCTTGAAGGATGAAAACGGTCACCAAAAGCCTGTGATCGCATATTCTAAACATCTTTGCGGTAGTGCGACGGATCTTACTTTAAAATGCCTCGAGAATTATGTGGAGGATCAAAAGGCTAATAATAACAATAGGTAAGTGCCCAGAGATTTTTTGACAGACTGTTTACATCAAATGCTTACTGTTTTATATTTTCAGCCATGCTATTCCTGGAATCATTATCGCGCTTTGCTGCCACCAGCTGTGCAGATATGAAATGTATCCCAACAACCAATTTTTGGAAGACAACCAAATTTCTAAAACGGACTATGAACGTATATGTAAAATGACGAGCTGGGCGATCTGCGGCCAACCTAAAGCACTGCGAGTCACCGATGAAGGAGTGCAGATACCACCTGAAGCGACTTCGGTAGTAGGCATCGACTCTGATGATGAAGTTGAAGAGCATCATCATGTCGCTGAGGAAGAGGGAGACCTAGATGATACTTCGTAAGTACCATTATATTAAGCTTATCTTTCTTGAGCAATGTGAAATGAGATGTAACTGGATTTACGTTGCACAGAGCTCATTACTCCGGATTGGACCACGAAAGCCGGGAAGCCATTGGCTTTGCGTGTAAGCGTATCTTAGATGCCGGTAGAGCGGAATTTTTACGACAACATGGATTCCATGTTGAACTTGTATACTATGCTGATAGAAAAACAACATTGGAAAACTGTGCATTGATAGCTACGCACAAGGTAGATCATTAGCTTTTGTAATAAAAAACAAAAAATGGGTTGGGGAAAAAAAGGACAAAATTCCAAAAAGTGAAATCCCCGCGACTCAACATAACTCGTTGTTCACCTCCCGCCGCGCAGGGAAATGGCCAATGCTCAAGCAGTCGAGCGCATTCTACTGCAGGGAGCTAATGCTACATTAAGTGACCTCACCTCGACCTTTGTCGTCACATTCCCCGGACAGGACACGTTTGCGGCTGCCTGTCACTTGTATATGCTATACAACCAAGAGGAGCAATCTTCCACCATCTCTGACCCTGCAACGGCTGAAGTTGTAAGTACTACCTTCATGTTAATCACCAGCTGCCTTACAACTGATCTCAAGTGCAAACTCCTTACTTGTCTCAATTTAACACTCAAGTTACTACAGCGTCGGTTCGCCATTCTTTTCGTCTTGTGCATTCTGTATGGACCTGATACGTTGGAGCAAAATCCATTTTTAAGCTTCTTTCTAGAGCTTTTGGATACCCTCGACGATGACTCACCTGAAAAACTTGCTGTACAGTGCATTCTACGCGGCTCTGCTAGTGAGGTATGCTGAACACCTTGGTTATTAACTGATCATCTTTTTCTGGCTTCTCCTTATTTTTTTTGGGTTCGTTTCGTCTGATAATAATGTATGCAACTTTGATTTGGCGAATTCAGATGCAGGCACGCACGGCTTTTGAACTAGCTCGAAACCCACACCAATTGATACCTATTATAACGATTGAGAGAGACCGTTTGCATAACTTACAAGCAATTGAGCAAAAGATGACGGACGATGGGTAAATATCAACGTTATTTGTGATCAACTCCACTCAAAGAGGGTGATGACAGGTAACTTATGCCCTTTGTAGCAGTCACCAGGAAAATGAAAGTATCTCCATTATCAAATCACAAAATCAAGTTGGTGCAACAGTTATCCCTAGTGATGATCATACATTTACGACATTCAATACTTCTCTGATGAAAGAAGCATTTGATAGTCCTTTATCGATTGCGCAGCAGGAGGTAAGTGCAGAGATGTTTGTCATGGCAAGGCTTCACTTAGCACTGTTTTAATTGTGGCTATCAGGACTTGCTTCGGATGATGGAATTGGATGTTGAAAAAATGAACGAACATCTGCCAGCCGATCGACTTCCGGACCTGATAGAGCACAACCAGACGATCGCTACTGAAGCACTTGAAGTTCTTGCTCCTTTGCCCGAGTTTTCAGAGTCAGTTGCCGATCCCCAGCTTTCCGAGGAGTTAATTGACCTGAACTGACCAAATCACCCTTATAATTTCATCCTAGTTATCTTCAGACGTTACTGACCATCGAAATTACCACCAACACAATGGAAGTTGTGCACCGTCTTTTGATTGGACTTCATCGTACCTATGTCCCTGACGAGTTTCTGCATATATACTTATCAAACTGCATTCGATCTTGCGAACTTATCGATGACCGTAGCTTACAGAGCCGCCAGGTTCGCTTGGTAAGATGAATATCTTTTTGCCTCTTGCCAACGTATAAGCGTCTACTAATGTGCCATCTCTAGGTATCGGTGTTTATACAATCATTGTTACGGAATAATGTTATCAACATTTCGGATTTTCTCATTGAAATACAATCATTCTGCATCGAGTTTTCACGTCATAGAGGAGCAGCGTCTCTCTTTCGCATTGTCGCAGAGCAAGCAAATAATACCGACTTCCTACTAAGTCAATCTAGCGACCTTGGCGAGTCCAAATCGACGGGCCATCCCATAATATAGCATTCACCCCCTTTCCATATAGCTTAGTGTCGAATTACAAAACCTACCTGCGCCGGAAATGAAAACAAAAGAAATGAAAGAGACTGTGTAAATACTGTAGATGGTGCTTTTTTTTTATTGGTGATTTCTATATGGGATTTGATGGCGGGTCGTTTTTCATATTTTTATGTGCATTTGTCCTTTGGACATTGACGAAATCATCGCAGGTGTCTTACGAGATTCTAGCGCAGCGCAATCATCAAACCAATTTACAAGCCTCCAGCCATGCCTTGGTTCTGTGACTCGCGCTGAATTCTGGCAACGTATGAGCGAGAGACGACATTCCAAGCCTCCATATAGCGGTCCATGCACTTGGACAAGCAAGCCTAAGAGGTTCGGAACAACAAAATGGTTGGTACTGGGTCGCTATCGACATGTTCAAGTCATTCACTGGGTTTTACCTGTTCACCACTGTCCAAACGAGAGCCGGGCTTGGGAACGCACTTCAAGTAGCACTTTTCGTTGATTTTCTATAAGAAACGACGTATCCGTGTTAAATTACTGGCCATGTTCTCTGTCCTTTCGAGTTTTTGAGGCCCTTTCAAGCCTTCCGTAGAGACCATTCCAAAGCGAGAATACTTACGTTAATCAATTCTTGAGCATTGGCAAGTGCGAGCTCACCACGGACTTGGTCCATGACTTCTTGCTTCTTGCTGCTCTAAAATCGGAAGAAAAAAAGTCAATTACGTCTCTTGCATTATGATAGTTATTCGAGATCTTCATATAACGTACAAGATCGGAGGCGCCGCCAAGGTTATAGTTAGAGTAATCAGACATTTTGTAAGAGAATAATAAAAACGTAAAAGCGATTTTTCTATTTGTTTGGCAAATGGCCTAATGAAATTTACACGTCACAACATCCCCGATTTCGTCTGTTCCAAGGCATCTGAGCTGACAAGGACATCCTGCTGGATCTGACTTATATGCGATGCAGCCTCTTGTACTGGCTGTCGCATCAAATCCAGCTCTTCTATTGTCATTAACAACTTATTAGCTACTGCTCTGGTCTCTTGTCGCTGCTCCTTGGTAGCTTGGCTCTCCGCTTGCACTTGCTCCATGATATCGGTAACATCCTTGTCTTTCACCGTGTATTCTTTTCCAGCAAATGTTTAGCAACGTCTGTTTCAAATTCGTGGAAGATAAATTCATAGCTCACCTTTTGTAATGTGTGGCACAACTAAGTTCTCGTCATCGAGGAATGACTGTAAATTTGTACGTAGTTCATTATAGTGCGTGTGCGCTGGTATATTACTTAAATCCTGAGTCATAGCATTGTAGTCCATTGACGTTGTTTTGTTTGCATTGCTACGTTGGCTAAATATGAATGACATGGTGTGGGCATGAAAAGCAAAGTGAGTCAATCTCCGTCACAGTCAGCGCAGCGAGCTGTGAGACTGCCAGCAAGTTTCGTAAATAAAATTTATCCTTTTTTTTTTTGGTAGTTTAAAAACATACAGCTTTAATCCCTTCAACAATGTTAGACATTCAGTTGCTGTTAGAAGAGAAGGGCGGAAATCCTGAAATCATCAGAGAATCCCAACGTCGACGTGGAGCCAATGTAGAAATTGTCGACGAAATTATCGCTCTGTACAAAGAATGGACTACTAGTAAGTCACGTCGTTGCTGGACGACCCATCATCCACAGATGACAAGCTGTCTAACTTTTTATGTCTTTTGACGTTTGATAGTCCAATTCGAAAGCAACCAAATAAATAAGCAAATCAACGAAATTCAAAAGGAGATTGGCAAGAAGTTCAAGGCTAAGGAAGACCCTGCTGAATTGGTCGCTAACAAAGACAAGTTGACCAAGTCAAAGGAGGAGTTGGTTGCAAAGACCAAGGAAGCCGAAGTTGTTTGGAAGAACAAGCTCGGCACTATTGGTAACATTGTTCACGCTTCCGTTCCCACTTCCTTGGATGAGGTAAGGCGGCCCCCACTTCCACTATCTATTGTAACTGAGCTTTGATCTGACCACTGTTTGACAACATAGGATAACAACGAGATCATCCGCACTTTCAACTACCAGAACGTTGAGCCCGTCAAGAAGGATAACATCTTGTCGCATCACGAAGTATTGACCCGCTTGGATGGTTACGACCAAGAGCGTGGTGCCAACGTCGCTGGTCACCGTGGTTACTTCTTGACTGAAACTGGTGTTGATCTCAACCTCGCTTTGATCAACTACGGTCTCTCCTTCCTCCGCAAGAGAGCCTACAAGAAGCTTCAAACTCCTTTCTTCATGAACAAGGATGTTATGGCAAAGACTGCTCAGCTCTCTGATTTCGACGAAGAGCTTTACAAGGTAATTGGATTGTTCTATGATCATGCCAAATTTAAACGTTGAAAGTTTGTCTAACCCCTGTTACTAAGGTCTCTGGCGATGGTGAGGACAAGTATCTCATTGCTACATCTGAACAGCCTATCTCTGCTTTCCACATGAATGAATGGTTTGAGAAGCCTTCTGAGCAACTTCCCATCAAGTGAGTGCCGTGAATGAATGCACAAAGTAGCACGTTTTTCACCCATTTTACTAACAAATCACCTACCAAAAAAGATATGCCGGTTACTCTACCTGTTTCCGAAAGGAAGCTGGTGCTCACGGCAAGGACACCTGGGGTATCTTCCGTGTCCATCAATTCGAAAAGATTGAACAGTTCGTTATTGCTGATCCCGAGAAGTCCTGGGACCTGTTCAATGAGATGATTACTAACTCTGAGGAATTCTATCAATCGCTCGGCTTGTCGTACCGTATTGTAGCCATCGTCTCTGGTGCACTCAACAACGCTGCTGCCAAGAAATACGATTTGGAAGCCTGGTTCCCATACCAAGGTGAATTCAAGGAACTCGTCTCCTGCTCGAACTGCACAGACTACCAATCCCGTCGTCTGGAAATTAGATGCGGCGTTAAGAAGATGGGTGATCGCGAAAAGAAGTATGTCCACTGCCTCAACTCCACTTTGTGTGCCACTGAGCGAGCTATGTGCGCTGTTCTTGAGAACTGGCAACGTGAAGATGGTTTCGAAGTTCCTCCCCCACTTGTTCCATACATGGATGGACGCACCTTCATTCCATACACCAAGCCCGCTCCCAAGAAGCAAGCTAAGGTAAATGAGTCGTTTTGAATGTAGTCATCTTCAATGGACTGGGGCTGACCACCATACTTTTCAAATTTCGCAGGCTTAAATATGTACCACTTTTTGGTCAAAAACCGAAGAAAATGTTTACTAAAATTTCATTCATAAAAACATATAAAAACGCTACAATGTATACAGATGGTAATTTTCGAACGATGGGTATGGTGGCAATCATGCACTTTTTTCTTTGAATGGCTTGTAATTGATTTGTAAAACGTTTGGGTATGATCAAACTCAACGGATGAGAATGTCGAAATGACAATGAGATAAAAATTAAAGGATTCTTTTATTGCAACAATCGAAAATGAACAACTTTCATTTTACGGTTTGTCGAGCCAATGGTCACTTATTTTTCAAGAGTATTGAGCATTGAATAGATTTTTTGATGGCATTTCTCGAGTTCCTAAGATGAAGCATCGAATCTTAGTATGATTTTCGATCCAATTAGTAAAGGCAGAGCAGAATACTTACTTCGGCGACAGCAGCTTGACCATCCTCTTCATAAGGATCACCCTTCATATGACTTTCAGTGACACATCCTTCCTTATAGCGCTCATCGATATGATGAAGTTTGTTTTGCAAATGTCGGAGCTAGTAGAGTATGTCCTTTATGTTAGAACGAACAAACATCATCGTAAGAGTGCGATGATTCACAAACCTGTTCTTCAGTGAAGCTTTCAGATGAAAGTTTTTGGGCTTCCTTTTCAACGTCGCAAAGTTGGTTATGGACGTGTTCTAACACAATGGTTAATTGCGTGAGTCAGCGTTATGGAGAACGTAGTGGGCAATCAATGTAGTATCCATCCTACCAAGTTCTTTTGACATGGGCATGTTGAAATATAGTTAAATCTTCAGTATTGAAAGAGATAATAGGTAGCATCGTCATGCCGACCATTGGTTTATATAGCTGAAATGATAAAACATGAAACCCGTTTTCCCACCATATGGCGCAGGCAGCCTTCGCTTTCTTTAAACGGCTCTGGCTGGCAAAATTGCTTTCAATGGATGGATTGATTCCTTATGATGATCGTACTGTAATTGGCGCACCACTTGTGACCAATCTTGCATAGTAACCATTGCCTATCCATAAAGCTTGCTAAACTAATTATTTCATCAACACTTCGTCACTTCTCACTCACCCTTGTTGTCGAATAAATAAGTCAAGTTTTGTCTCGCCACTTTGGCGCAGATTACAGCGTATCACGTGCGAGCATTGGGCGAAAAAGTACGGCCGCTCACGTTTGATCGAAAAATCAGACACGAACCCTGCACTGATTTATGCATAAGTTCCATCATTATGATATATGAAATTCATTATCGTAAAAATGGAGCATAGGTATCGAAGATATCAGTCAAACTTGCCCACCAAAATCTGAAGCAACTGTGAAACGTACATTGATTGTGCTAGCTTGAGCTGAACTTCGGAAAATCAGTCAATTCTTTTACTTTGTTCCGGTTTACAGTGTCTAAACATAGCGCTTTCATGCATCCAAAAGTGCCAAACACTTTTCGAGCTTTTGAGCCTTTGAAGTTCCAGCGCTGCATAAGCGTCTCTGGATTTATTCATCCGACCACAACCACCGAAGATTCGTCTGACATTGTTTACGATTCGTTTGCATAATTGATATTCTCAACACAGCGCTTAAAATAACAACCATAGGTACATATGTCTATGAATATCTATGAATTCATCTTTGCAGTGCCTTAATATTGCTTTGAATTAAATGAAACACGATTTTCCTTACTGTATCTCGAAGTTTCCGGCTGTGGTGGACCTTTTTTTTTTTTGCTGAGTGAGCAGCAAATATTTTCGTATTGGCTCAACGTCGAATAGAAGGTGCTGACTGAATCAACAATTCAGTCGTTTAATAGGCCATTTTTACTGACAGATGTTCTTTTCTGCAAGTTCGGTGAACTGATCTGCTTTGTAGACGCTGCTACTGTCGTTTCATGATAGCCATAAAGCAAACTTATCATGTTTTCACTCAGGTTTGTCTTGGTGATTATTGACAACGAGATTGGTGTACGTTCAACTTAAATAAATATGGACACTCGTAAGCACTACTTCAAGTGTGAACAACGAATTTGTAAGATTACAGGCTGGGCCATCTGAATTCTTTGTCAATATGTTCCCACTTATATATCCGTTATATAATTACGATGGCCCACTTTGGTAGCCTCCGGTTGAATAGACTTGATCATGATTGGTATAAGTTGGATTCGTCTGATTCATACTCTATTTCTCATGCTTCCAATTCCATGATACGATTTGCATCATTGTGAGCTAGCTAAAATCACTAGTTCCTAGGTGGTTAAAATGCAAATATCGTTGTACATCTGCATGTTGGTATTTCCACTTTGGCATGAGCAAATACACCAGCAAGAAGCATTGTCGTTTATTGGTAGTGGCACTTGTGGACATCTGCTATTTCTTCGTCTGCAACCATTCATGAGACTGTAGGGCATTTGGTACCACCTGTTCCTTGTACGGATTTGAGTCACTTTTTATATCATGGTTAAGAACAAGGTCCATAATGACAGTCTTATTTTATTTTTGGAGGCTTCAGGCATCTGACCTTCCTGAGAACATGAAGCCAGTATTTGTGGTAACGAAAGTTTGAGTAACTTGCTCACCGCCGCCAGAAAGATGGGATGTTGATCTGACTATTGGGAAAATCTGTGCTGTCGCCTATATGTCGTCAATCAAACCTTCATAGGAAATACTAAGGTTTTAAGGAGGTAACATCATCATTTTCATAATAAAACAATCCTAACGTACTGTGAAATTCAGGTAATCCGCACGAAGTCACAAAGACTTTACTTCAATGAAAATGGTAATACCAATTTTAAATACAGCGCTTCACTTATGAAATGTTACTCATGGCTCAGAACCTGCCACCAACCTCCCTACTTTTTTTTTAGTGGGCGGTAAACTGTCATAGCCTATTGACTCGAACTGAGCTTGGAAACGAGTGTCCATCCTGCCAATGCTAAGAAAGGTATGTAGGAGAAGTAATATTGGTTGTACGTGCGTCTTATATGAATTCATCAAAAAAGTGACAACAGCAGGAAATAGCCATCTATCCCCCTTGGTCAAGCTCTGCACGAGGGAGAGAGCCAAAGCAAAGTAAAAAAAAAAAGCGTCCAGAACGCACCAAACACGTGAGGGCGACGATCAACATCCATAAGTAGCATTCCTGGCGAATTGGATGGGATCTCTCCACTGACTTCCCCCCTTAACATTTGCGCTAAAATTATATCTCAAAGTGACCATCTGTCCTCCCTAATACGAAAGGTTCTCTTCCTTTTCAACCTATTACCCTCACTCCTTCTTTGTGTTGTATTGTATTGTGTCTCTAGAGCCTCACCATGGCTCAACAGATCGAACTACCGTCTCAGATTACCACACATTCCAACAAACCCGCCTCTCTTTATCACACATGCTTAACGGTCCTTGATACATTAGCCTGTGTTCCTGGTTTCGACAATTTTATGAATCAGGATGTTACCACTCCGACATCACTTACTATCCCTTCTCCTTCACCAACCACTGATCCTGTTTCGAAGCTGTGGAACATATGTCGAAAGGGTTCAAGTCTATGTTTTTTATTCAACACTTTACGTCCCCATACACCTGTCAAGGTCAACGAAGACGCCTCCCTTACATCGGCCAATGCGTGCAAGGCCAATGTATACCATTTTATCGTTGGCTGTCAGAAAGAACTTCATTTCTCAGACGAAGATCTCTTTACGATATGCGATCTTACACAAGATGACACCAATGGCTTTGTGAAGGTACGACATGGTAGTGGATTTCGTTGTTATGGGGAGGAATACTATTTTATTTAATTTCATTTGAGATTACAAAAATGCACTCGCCTTTAACATTTTGTTCCCCTTCAAGGTCGTCCATACGGTCAGTACTATCTTGGATATGATGCAAAAGGAAAACATCATCAAAGTGCAATCCTCCAAGCGTATGTCAGATCCGCCAGCTACACTCACCAGCGCGAGAGCCAAGAGAGTGAACGAACTGGTAGAAACAGAGAGGAAATTTGTTCAGGACTTGGAAGCTCTGCAGGTAGAAAGCTGGATTTTTTAATTCCCCCCTCGACGTTTCGTTTTGGCTAATCAACCGGTTTTTCAAATCAACCCTTCCCCTGTCTGTTATGTAGGACTACATGCGCGAAATCCAAACTCAGAAAATTTTGCCTCCCGATACCATTCATTACCTGTTTTCCAACTTGAATGCCTTGGTGGATTTTCAACGCAAGTTCTTGATTAAACTTGAAGAGATAGCAGAGCAAAAGCAGGAAGAACAAAGGTTTGGACACCTGTTCATCCAGATGGAAAGTCTCTTCTCAGTCTATGATGTTTTTTGCGCCAATTATCCACTGGCTCAAGATTTGGTCATTCAGGAGACACCGAAACTACAGAAATTAGTGGATGTCGCCAACCCTACCTATGAGCTACAATCTTTGCTCATTAAGCCTGTTCAAAGGCTATGCAGATACCCGTTGTTGATGGAAAAGTTGGTCGAAGATACTGACCCTTCATGGCCATATTATACTGAAATGAGAGAGGGGCTTGAAGCAACATCAAGAGCGGCCAGCCGTGTCAACGAAGTCAGTCGTAGAATCGAAAACCAGAAATGTTTAGAAGATCTGAAGCGCCGCGTCGACGACTGGAGAGGTTTATCCGTAGACCAGTTTGGAAGTCTCCTTTTGGAAGGAAAATTCATCATGTCCAGTAATGATGCTGAAAAGGAGCTGCTGGTATATTTATTTGACAAAATCTTGATCATTTGCAAAGAGATGAAAGAAGGTACAAAAAGTCGTCTCCCTAAAACTAATGCTATTGGCATTAGTAAGAAGAAGAGGAGAGCCAGCCTATTGCTCAAAGGAAAGATTTTCGTTTCTTTCATCATCAAGGTGGTCAACACAAGTAGTGATGGTATATGTCTTCGTACATTGATGGGGCAACGTTTGTGATTCCGTCCGCTAACAGCAAGGAAATTGGATTTGCACAGGGGTTTACTCACTCAAAATCTTCTGGCAAAATAATGATGTCGAATCCTTTTCGTTAAAATGCCCTAACGAAGAGCATTTGCAGCGCTGGGAAACAACTCTCAACACTGTGTTAGGCGAAACCAGAAAGCCTCCAACCGCTGACAATGGATTTGACATCAAGCAGTATTCCACAAACTGGCAGTTATCTGGAAATGGACAATCGATCAACACAGTACCAGGATCCCACGATGACGACCACGATGCTGTCATTGACGAAAACGATGACGAGGAAGACTATGAAGGCGAAGGAGAGGAAGCACTGGATTCACAATATAGGATGCGTAGTGGATCAACCTTCAATGACGGAGAGTATGGTCGATATTATAACAGTAAGCATCGTGCAACTGGTGGCATGGCAGGAGTCGCTGGAGCTGTCCCTATGCGCCATTATCCTACCGCACCTGGTATGACATTGCCACCGCTCCCAAGATCCACATTTTCGCTTCCCAGTACGTCAACACCAACAAGCCAAACGGATTATAACCGTTATCCTGCATCACCGCCTCCGTCTACACCGTCATCGCCTACCTCCTCAGCTAGAGGATCGGCTGGTAGCTCAAGTGCTATAAGTGTCTGGCAACGCAGGAACAACGACTCTCCTCTCACTGACACGGTCGCCAAGTTCATGATTGGCGATGACCTTCCTACCCCCACTGAGGAGCACAGATCTTACACAACCGTTCCTATAGGGAGGACGCAGTCTCAAACGCCCAACGGTGTCAAGAAAAATAGTCAATATGGGCCACCTCACAGTATTCAAATGCGTTCAAGATCGAAAAGCAGTCCTGATGTACATAAGAACCGAAATTCATGGGGACAAAACATGGATCGCGATCAATACGGGTTACCAACAACAAGGGTTCCACCATTCAACAGTGATGTTTTAGCCAATCAAGTCAAAATCAAATTGAATTACCCGGATGGTATTTATGTGATCCGAGTTGAACCTGACATAAAATATAGGGACTTGCTTGAGCGAGTTTCCCGCAAGATCGGTCCTCTGCGCCCTATGAGCTCTCCAGATACACTTCGACTAAAGTACCAGGACGAAGAAGGTGATCTGATCACTATCAATTCCGATGAAGATGTTCAGATGGGTATCGAAGCAAAGGGCAGTGCAAACACTGTCAATCTCTTTGTCAGCTGCTAGAGCATCTTCTATTTGTCATCAACAACTACATACCCTCATTGCCCATATACATGCCGCCCATAGACGCTCAAGCTTATCACCCCCAACACACTCTTTACAACACCAAGCATTCCCTTTTGTTCCTCTAGACGAGATGACTATTGCCCACTGCTAGGCAACCCACAGCATGATGCTAGATGCACCAAAATTCTACTGCACAGTAACCCATCTACCATAGATTTGTTTTGCCGTTCCTTCGTTTATTCTGTTTTCGCCTCCCCCGTCCAATTTTTTTTAAGCTATGTAAATAAAATGTATGCTGAGCCTAAGACGGATTCATAGTTGCAGTGGCAAACAAGTGAGTTTTTGACTGCTTTGCCTCCAATTCATGAAATCCTAAACTGCTCAAATTATTAACGCAACAAATCTCGTTGGCTATCTACCGAAATGCTTTTCACCGCTGACTATACAACATAATGCGCTTCGCTTTGGTCTGATCGATCGTTACTCTACGCCAAGCTAGGTTGACAATTCATTTGCTTGCAATAAATTCTAAATTTATTTTAATGCAAACATAAAATACCATTCGTCTGCTCATGCGTCAGCAATGAAATACAATACAAACACTGGGTCGGTAACCGGCTGACGAAGTCCGCACAATGCTTGTGACCAGTTACCAAGTCAGATGTTTATCCATAACAAACTGTGGTTGGCGTAAGCGGTATCAATGTGAAGGCAAATGTAGTCCCGTATCAATGCTGTTCTACAATCTTTCAAAACTGCACAAGATGTGTCGAAAGAGTTTTTAATCTCATGAGAGCCGATTCAATCACAGTCAGATTTTCGTCATTGGCAAATGGCCAGATTTGTCGAATATACATAAAAGAAAAAAATTTGGGAAAATTTGTTGTCTCGATAACTAACTGTGGGGCATATTTGAACAAAACCACCTTCTTTCTCACAACTGGCCGAATCACCCATACCATGCCACAGTAATGAACATACTACAAGCGAAATCCAGACTTCTGAACGAAAACTACAACACCTACTCCAACGCCATTGACAGCTTGAATGCTGCTTTGCACCTGGAGTTACCACTTCTAGCACATGACCAAAAGCTGGATTCTATGCAGGTCGCTGCTGTACATGACTACATTAATGACCGAGGTACTGCCATTCATTAACTATACAGAGTGCTGAATACATGTATTCTAACCTCTCCCATTGGCCACAGTGACGCTTTTTCGTTTCTTGAAACGCTGCGAATATGTAGTACCATCCGCACTGGCCCTCATGCTGGACACAATACAATGGCGTTTAAGGGAAAATGTTGACTCGTTTAGCTGGGACCGTCTACCAAGCGAATTGCAGCAAAGTGGGATTGTATTCTTTCGCAACTACGATAAACTTAACAGACCTATCGGATTCGTTCGGCTGCGCCATTTTCCAAAATTTAGTCAAGGAAGCCTTATTGACAATATCAAGCCATTGGTCATTTACGTCATGGAAACCGCTCGTAAAATGACGTTAGATCTTACCAAGCAACGAGAATTAGATGGGATGCAATGCCCCCTTACCTCTCAGATGGCGGTAGTCATAGACATAAAAAATGCCCCTTTCCTGCCGCTGGTAAGTCTCCCTGTGTTTCGTAGGTGGAAAAAGCACCGTCACAAAAAAGTCATTTATTCACATTTACCGTTGTGATCTCATCCAGGACGCCGAACTACCAGGTGTGTTGATGGATATTATGGATAATCGATATCCGGGGTTCGTAGGAAGTGTATATATCCTTAATTATGGATGGATGTACGCTGGCCTATGGCAAATGATCAAGCTGCTCTTATCTGAAGATGCAAAATCACGCATTAGCTTTCCAAGCACTGCAGAGGTACTCAACTTCGTCAGTTCAGAGTCGCTATTATCTGGTACAGTATTTGATTGTGATTCGAAAGGGATTGGCGCGTGATAGCATTGGAATATAGGCGCTAAGACCTATTGTACTGGATTTTAGATTTAGGAGGAGCCGATGACTACGAATGGTCTCTTGAAAGCGACTTGATATTACAAAAATACGCAATGAAATCCACCATGGATAACCTATCCTCCAAACACATCTCCATAGAGCAACCACCTTCACCTGTTCCATCCACCCCTCGCCTCTCCCGAAGTTATTCAAATGAATCCATCCTATCCTCTTCTGATGTTTTCTACGATGCAACGTCGGAGCCGCGACCACGATCGTCCTCACTTATGTCTAATAGTTCAGTATATCTCTCTCCTCGCTCTATGTCGGTGTCATCAAGTGCCTATGGAACGCCAACCATAGGGAGTCCCTATCTGTTTCCGATTGCAACCCGCGCCTACGACTCCATACCCCCAGCTATTACGCCGTCTGCTGTATCTCGACCCTATACTGGTTTACACACTGGACTGGCTTTTTTGACGTCCTTATTCACTAGAGTTAATCCTAATGTTCATCAAACTCACCCCAATGGTGCTATTCCGCCTTTCATTCTGGAAGAGCGACTACATATCTTACAGGAACAAGGTTTGCCCCAATTTGAATTACTCCCAGACGTTGGTAACCTTGTTCAATTCGAGGAGGATCAACGCAAAATCCAGTCCGCCATCATTAGTCGAACGGCCCGATTTCCTAACCTCCTTTCACCTTCGCATCCACAATCTCCCTTTGTCACACATCCTTTCTCATCACAACTAATAAGAGCAGAGCGGCGAATCACGAGGACGGTCAGAAAGGCGTTCAGGCTGACTTTCAAGTTCAATGGCGCGTTCTACTGGGTTGTATTATATCTATTACTTCGAGGCGGCCTGGAGGATGTAGCAAAGGCAACGACCGAGACTCTTGTTCAGGTTGTTGTTGGAGGTAGTTCTGCCTCTGCTGGATCAAGTATTAGTCTTAAGCGTGGCGTTATATTAGGAAGTGCCGGAGCGGCTGTTGCTGGCTTAATTGGAATGAGCATAGGCTCAGGCTATTGAAGATAACACATAGACAGCTTGCAAATTGTAAAAAGTATAAAGTAAAGCATTAAAGTATTGGAAAAAATAAGCGGGTCAGAATGGAGTGACTTTTTTTTTTTTGGGCTCTGGAAAATTTATTTGACCTTCCTGGCCTGACTGCTGTAGTCATTGTCAATCTCGTTGACATTCAACATGTCCGAAATTCTCAATGGCATTTTCGAGAGGACCGCATTCATCAAGTTTCCCGGTAATGCTATGGGAGATCCGTACAATCGAGACGCTGCAGGCATGAGAAAACGAGTGCAACAGCGACTGCTTGACTGCATTCTGTTGCGGAAGTACGAAGAAGCTATGCTCCTGCTAGACGCCTTACTCGTGGAGACGCAGTGGTCGCCGAAAGCTTACTGGAGGGTAAGAACATTTGGGAGATTTTCTTTTGAACTTTTCTTCGACTGCTAGCTAACCCAGCAACCTTTCAGGTCATTATTCCTTTAGTCCAGCATCTCTTCCCCGAGTATCTCAACGAAGTCATCAACGGTGCATTCAATTCGCTCGGCTCGGTAAGAAATTGACCTATTGAACTGAATGTGTGGAGAGTTCAGATGTTGATTTACGTACTTCTTATATGACAGCAAATGAATGAAAAGCCGACTGCGCTGGCACTGTTGATTCGCAAACTTGCCTGCCAAGACGACGAAGATGGAGTGCGAGACTTATATTTATCCTACCTTCATTACAAAAACCCCATGGTTCACACAATGGTTGCATTAATGATGGCGAGAAAGCCTCACGAAAAGTCGTCCAGATCCGAGGATCCAAAAACATTCAAGCGCACTCGAATCACGCCAAAAAATCTTTATATGTCCGACAGCGAGCCTTATACCTCTGATTCGGATGAAGAGCAGCCCCGAAGGAAGCGAAAAAAGCTAAAATCAATGGGCAAACGACCGAAGAAACGTAACAGAAGAGGATCAAACGCAAATGAGAAATCTGCTCAAGAGGAAGATCTGCCCATACCCAATGATAAGGAGTTAGACTCTACCACCACTGTCCATTCTGAAGATTCTGGATATTCTGATACAGATGCTACAGATGGCGAAGAAGGCGAGGAGGAGAGAAGTGATACCACTGGTAGCGAGGAAGAAGAGGGATTAGAAGAAAATGACAAAGATCCTAACGCAAAAGTCATTAAATGGTCAATGCCACCACGCCTACATTATATCGACTCAAAGGGGTACAACTACAAGAGCCTACAACAGCTACTGGTTAACGCCTCTAGAGGATATATGGATTTGACCGGCGTCAAGTTGAGGCTAAAGGTAAATAAATCAATGACCGACCATCCATATCGTAAATATGCTGCAAGACTCAATCTTTTTTTATTATGTTAGATTGCGTGCGGAAGAGTGCTTAGAGAACGGGAAACTAAATTCCAGCTGATAGCCAGACGTTATTTTTATGAATTACTGTCGGACGCAATGCTTCATGTCGATAATAATGTACCGTTAATTAGGTATGTATCTTGTAACACAGTTGAAACTTGATCGACCATTAACGCATTATTACAGAATCTTGTTGCCGTATTTTTCACACTATTCAGAAGAATGGCTCCAACTAATGGAAAAATACTGCCACTTGGATGCAACGGCGGATCTTGCTATTGGCCTTAAGCGATTAGAGCGTCGGTCTAGAAAAATAGTAACAGGTACAGTTTCAATGTATAACCCATAAGACATCCACGAGGTTGATACTAAGCCCACAATATATTGTCAAATTTTTTTTTGCTTTAGCTAACCCTGACGATCAAGCTCAAAAACAAGCTCGGGCAACTACCATGGTACAGCTACTTTTACAGAGAATCAGTCATGGATGTTTTGAAAAGTGGACTTTCGTCAAGCTTATCAAATGGATGGAAATGCTCGATGTAAATACCAAGAAGTCAATATGCGATCGGGAGGCATGGATGAAATCATTTCTGCAGGCGGAAGTTGCTCGTGCTCCAAAGGACACTGCGTCTCTTTTCACGGATGTGATCCAACGATACTTCACATATACCCAATAAAATTTGTTGTTTTGATGATGCTCCTATTTGGTTGGCATCTGACCCTTACTTGCTTGGAGGTGAGGATTTCTTTTTGAAGGGGAAGGGATAAAGCTGCATTTGTGGAGGTTTTTGGCAACCCAGCAGCGGTTGGGCTTTTTGGGTTAAAAAATTATTTGTGCCTGAATAAGTTTTTCTCGTCAACCCGTTCCCTTTTTCACACATACAAATGTCCCACTCTCCTCGAAGATTGTCTATAACTCGTATACGGAAATTCGAATATGATGTGACAGCTCCACCCACACCGCAGCCATCTCCTCCACAAAGCCTGCTACAGCCTCCTCCATTAAAAGCATCTACATCGGAGCGATCTCTTCGGGTAATGAATGAACTTCAAGCACATCTCATCCAAGTCACGTCCAAGTTGGAAATTTACAAGAGCGAGATTAGACTTGCTGAAAGGCAACAAGAAGAATACGAACAGACATGTATTATAGAAAAAAACAAAACCACAGAATTGCGATCACAGGTAGCGGCACTCTCTGCTGGTCTAGAGAGTAAGCAGGCTCTGTTTAACGAGATACGTAAAGCCTCATCGGATACAGAAGACCGAGTTCGATCACTCAAAGATCGGGTAGCCCATCTTCGGTCGGGTCAGATCGAAGGAGAAGAGAGAGAGGCCTCCATTTTGATGGAAACACAACGATACCAAGAAATGAAGCTGTTAGCGGAAAATCGAATGGAAGCGGCTATTTCGTCATTGGATAGATTAGGCCATCGTTATGATATTGAAACAGCTCAATTGGCCGAAGAATTACATCGACTGCGTTTGTTATGTCAACGCCAACGGTTAGTAACACAATGTGCCATGGCTGATTCCGAACAAGTTATATCCGCCATTCTGGATGAACAGAAGGGCGTACGTCAATCCATGGGCGTCATGCAGCAAGAAATAGCAGAAAAATATCGAAAGCTGAACGCGTTGGTCATCAAAGAGCTTCAATCACTTCGACAGCAGGTTGATACGTGGGATTCAACCGATACAGCACTTGCACAAAGTGTTCGTGAATGTTCTCGGAACATACAAAGCTTAGCGATTAAGATACATGCGTACCAGCAGCAGAGTTTAATGTAATTACGGTAGGGGGGGGGAGTAGTTTTTTTTATGGAGCTTTTACACTCTCGAGTAATACTAAAGTTAGAGAAGGGGGAGTACAATAAACCAGATACCAATGTGTAATTTTGCCAGCCAAGTCATAAACCCAGACTGTGTTTGAATTTGTACATTGGGGGCAGCGTAAACCATATGTTACAGAGAGCCTTGTAATTAGTTGGCGGTGTGTTAAGTATATAAGATGGTGCAGAAGTTATGTTTCCAATGTATTCTCCTCAGATGGATTGGTATCGCTATCAGACGGAGGTGGATCGACTTGTTGTTCCATCAAGGATAATCGAACAGCTTCCATTACCTAGCGACATAACTGTCAGTCTATTAAACCTTAATGGCATTTGACTCAATTTAATACTGACCATTAACTCCTCCAAATCCATATTCATCTGCCGCATAGCAGTCAAATAATCACGGTAATCCTGTGCACTAGGTGAGAGCTCGCGGTCATGCCCAGGCCGAACAACGATGCGCCTCGTAGAGCCTCTGCCCGATTCTGCGGCTGAAGAATTGCCATGGTGTCGATGTTGCATTAAGCGAGTGTGGTAGGGCCGTATAAGGTCCACTGTGACGATTCCTTGATCCTGATCGGCACTGGTATTTTGCTATTACGTGCGTAAGCTTAAGGAAATTATACCCTTGTACTAATTTCAATTTCAACTCACCAATGCTAAATTTGGCGGATGATATACGATGCCAAAGTTTGGCTCAACACAAAATGGACAATTTGCCGTGGCCGTGGAACGCTCGGCAGGTTGTCTAATATTAACAAAGCATTCCGAGCAAATTGGCTGATGACAGCATCTAGTATAATTGATATTGGCAGGATAAAACTGGTGGATATAGGTTAATGGTTTGATATGCTATCAAGTGCAAAGTCAAATCCTTACCAAAAAGCAGATTGGGCATTCAACAGCATTTTCATATTTGGGAGCAGGTGGTAATGAGTTTTTGCGATGATGGCGGTATTTCGAGACAGTGGGTAAGATGCTTCGCGGGCTTATGATGGTTGCGGTGTGAGTTTTAGAAGTGATACGGCTGAGTGTATTGGACTGCGAAGACATGGCATCATTCGTCGATACCGGCTGAGAAGGATAATCAATATCCTGCTGCCCTGTAAAACACAAAGGGTTATTATTGAAAGTGTGGGGTTTCACATTGTACAGGGTGGGGGTACCTTCATAGAATGGAGCCAGCCTTCGCTGTAAGATCAGTTGGCGTACAGAAGGATAGTCGTAATCTTGAACGGAATTAGCATAAATGCCAGTGGGTATCAACGATCCTTGGTCGAAGTCCTGAGAAGCGTCCTTGGAAGGATGCAAGCCCATGGAGATCAAAAGCCGATTTAAATTGTGGAGCAATAAACGACGAGCGAGCTTTGGTAGGCTTGAAGAAAAAAAAAAAAAAAAAATTATTCGATTGCGGGGCAAAAATCAGAACTGAACCACTGGAAAAAACCTACCCTGCGCTTTGGTAGAGACACCTCGGAGATTACAACAAACCCTGCCCTGCTTCCCTCAATTGCCAATCATTTCGTACTCAAAGCCGTCTCCTCCAGTTAAGCCTGTACGGCGAAAGCTGTCTCTTCCACAACAACAGCAGGACTATGCCCCTCTCAATGGGCCGCCTTCTCCTACCGACCAAGATCGTCCGCCAAGCTCGGCATTCCTCAACCGTTTGGCTGGGACCATGCGAGATAAGAAAAGCCAACTGGAAGTTCGAAAAGGTGAATTCATGTCAGAAACACTTCCAGAGTGGAAAGTTCGAAGTGCAGAGTTTAGTAGTATGGCCAAGGAAACTGGTATGGAATGGAGCAAACGAGGCCGTGATGCTGTTGACCGTTGGAAGAAGGAAAGAATGAGTATGTTGCTGCCTAGCTTACTCTTCGATAAGCTTATTGGAATGTATTTTATAACTAACTTTGACGACAAAGGCGATTCTAGTGTGGCTTCATCACCATCTTACCTGTCTTCATTTCCTTCGTTCAACTCCAGCGAACCGACGTCACCTCGAGGTTCGGAAGAGGAACTGCATATATTTGGCACCCCTTTAGAAGCTGCGGTAGCTATGACCCGGTTGTCAGAGTCTGATCATGTACCGGGAATAGTGCGAAGATGTATTGATTATCTTGACGAATGTGGTACGTTACATCCATGACAAGGGGGTTCAAAATTTTTTGTTGGCCTTCAAGCAGCTAATTTCATTGTGTCTTAGGCATTGATGAAGTAGGCATCTATAGGTAAGCGTCATGCACTACAAGTGTATAACTGGTGTGTTGCAAGTCTTAATCAACGCCCCTTGTTGGATAGAATCTCGGGAGGTACAACCACTGTAAATAAGCTTCGAGCGGTATTTGATAGTGGTATGTAATACGGCCAAATTTGCCCATGACATCGTTGGTGGCTCACCTTCGTCTGACTTATTTCAAAATTGACTAGCATCGGATATCGACTTTCGAGGGACACAAGAAGATCCTCACGCAGTTAGTGCCTTACTCAAGACGTATCTGCGACAATGTAAGGTGTCATCATGCTTTGCAACCAACCAATAACAAGCATTTTATTCATTTATTCCCTGTTATCAGTACCTGAACCTATAATACCAGTATGGTTGAACCGCGAATTCAATCAAGTCATCAGCCAAGCAACTCAAGAGGATGCTCAAAATACTCAAGGCGAACTGCCAGTTGTATCCCCAAGTTGTATTAAAGCCATCGCCACTACATCACAAAAACTACCACCAGCCAATTTTAGTGTTCTGAAAACGCTGTGTTGGCACTTGAATCGAATCGCAAGCAATGATCAGGTGAACAAAATGAATACATCCAACTTGGGACTCATCTTCATCCCGACCCTTGCTATAGGCAGAGTTCTATTTCACTGTTTTGTTGAGCATGCAGATCAAATATGGGGTGCATCTACCCCACCGGCAGCAGTTCCGTCCAAGCGATCTCCACCTGCTTTACCCAGACGTCCTGTCAAAGATACCATGACGACACCACGCTCAATGATCAACCCTTATGACACTTCCAAAGATGATATCCCACGAGATGGACGAATGTTCAGGACCAACAATGCTTCTAGCCCATCCCTCCAGTTGAACGACGTTACTATCAACATAGCACCTAAGAAAAATGACAAGGAGATCGCGCAACTGCGAGAGATGTTTGAAAAAGATTTTGGACCAACGATATATGGACCCAGTCGTACCAAGTCACCACCTGAGAAGCCTTTACGCTCACCCCGACCAGAGAGTCCAATTGGTGTGGATTCCACCATACGGGGAAATTATGATCGGACTGTTTTGGGTAGTATAGGCCGAACCGCCAGTCCCTCCTCCGTGGAAGACAGACAACGATCCAATTCCAACGGCAAATCCGCCTTGGAGTACTTTCGATCTACTCCTCCCAATATACCTCCAAAACCCACCGTCGCTTCAGCTCATTTACGACAGAAATCCGCTCATCAACCGTCGGTGACTACATTTTCAGAATCCACCACCAAACCTCGGTCCAAGTCCGTCTCCGCCACCGAAACTGAAGTCCCTGGTTCACGCAAAGGAGCTCGAGTCATGGCTATTGGAAGTTATTTTGAGAGAAGGCAGTGATGACAATGTACTTAGTTTTTTTTTTTGGATGTTTTAACCTTTATACTTTTTCCTAAAGAAAATAAGTGTGCTGTTATCAATCTATCGCAACCAAGTGTATCTACAAATTGAGTTGCTGATTTTTCCGCATATAAATGATGGTGAGGGATTCGAAAGAACATGCACTCTTAGTCCAGTTTGCATTATAAACCATGTACAAAGTCGAAGTTTACCCTGATGATGAGCGGTTTCAGTTAGGCGAAGGACCTTTATACGATGAGGAGTTAGACGAGCTACACTGGATCGACATCACAGGCTGTGCTGTTTTCAGCCGTAAACCTGGCCAACCGACCGTTCGATACGATATCGGCGAGAAGCCCGGTGTGGTTGGTATGCGTAGGAAAGGAGGATACGTGGTTGCTTCGAAAAATGGGTTCTCGCTCCTGGAGCAGGACGGCAAACTCAAGCGTATTGTCAGCCCATTCGGAGAGAACCACCCCATTCTACGAATGAACGACGGAGCCGTTGATTGCAAAGGTGAGTGAAACGTCGGCGTGTTGTTCGGCATCATGAAAATAACACAGCAACTAGGTCGCTTCTGGGCTGGCAGCATGGCGGATGTGGAGGAGGACCATGATGCCGACAAGCACCGCGGTATTCTCTATAGACTGGATCCCGACTACAGCTGTCATGTCATGGATGAGGGCATTGGTATTGTCAATGGTAAGTTCTGTCCCAGTTATTTCAATAAGGATCACGGTGGCCTAATTTCTTCCATGGCACAGGCGTATGCTGGGCACCAGATAACACTTTAATGTACATGGCGGATTCTGTGGATAAGATTATTTATGTTTATGATTTCGAGGCCGAGTCTGGTAGGATCAGTAACAAGCGCCTTTTCCTTGATACCGCCATTGCCTATCCTGCGTACAATCCTGACGGAGGGTGTGTTGACTCTGAAGGATATTTATGGTGGGCACTTTGGAACGGCTCCAAAGTGATTCGTATTGCTCCCGATGCTACCATTGTTGAAGAAATTGATATCCCTGCCCTACGACCTACTGCACCATGCTTTTGTGGAAAAGACTTGACATCCCTGTTTATCACAAGCTCAGGTGACGGTGAAGGCGGCGGCCAAGAAGGTGGCAAAAACTTTATCATTCGAGATGTTAAAGTCAAGGGCCAACCTAAATACAAGTTCAGAGGATAAGCATTGCTTCGTAATAAACCCCATTTTGAAAATAAGCACTCATTGGAAACAACCAAGGACCCAGCAATGGCTTTAAAGAAAGATTGTCCTACGAGAGGCCACATTGGTCAGATGAAATTGCTGCCAAATGTGGGGTATGGCTTCATGGTTTATCTTATCATGATATGCGGATTGACATGCAAGTGTTACGTTTCACGTTCGAACATTTTGGAATGACACGACGTTAGAGAATGGGGGGTTCTTATGAACAGTTTAGTAATTTTGTATTATAATGGGTTGGGCGCGCGCATATTAAAAGCTGATGGGAGGAGACAAAGTATCGGTCAGCAGGGTTGGGTTTGAGGGTGGATAGGGGGAAAAGGGAGGGAAAAAAAAAAAAGAAGAGTGAGCAAGAGAAGGAGGAATCTAAACACAAAGCCCATCCTGCCGAATAGCAGCATAACCAAACCACATTCGAACGTACATTGGGATGGACACTGTTCACTCTCCAACGAAATAATAATAATGAAAGAGAGAAAGAAAGAAATCGGGAAAACTATACACAAAAGAGAAAACAATGCCTGATCACCATCCAGACCCGCTGTTTTGTTGATGTTGCTGCTGTCGTTGTTGCTGGTGATGCATGTATAATAACTGTTGCATTCGTTCAGGCGTCATCTCTGATCCAAACGGTGCACTCGTGCCCAGAGCTGGGTGCATCGTTTGATTATTGTCCATACTTCCATGATGCTGAGCAAGACCTCCCATGGCTGACAATGCGGGAGCACTGCCCACGGCGAATTGAGGTTGAGGAGCAATGGATGGCTGCATGTTCAATAAGCTTCGTTCTCCGCTGATCGATCGTCGCTGGCGCTTATTGATAGCTTGAGGCCCATTCACCCCTCTATGATCAGTAAAAGACACGGGTCGAGGTGTCGTATTAACGTTAAGAGGCTGGATGGGGGTGGTATTGGGAAGACTGGTAGCGGTGGAGGTGTTTGTGGCAGTGGTGGTGGTGGGGGTAGTGGTAATAGACGCCCGCTTGGGTATGGAACCTCCTGGTACAGCATTTTGAACAAATGTCGTGGATCGTGGTTTGGGTTGCTTTGATATAGCAGCAAGATTACTCGTACTTGGGGTCGCTACAGCATTGTTTCGATTGCGCTTCTTAATCACATCGGTCTTTAAGCTGAGTGGGCGCACTACGCCGTGTAACTTCAAGAACAAACCACAGGCGTTGCACAGTGGTTGGCCTTCAGGGTTCCGTCGCCATAATGGTGTTGTCGTGGTTCCACAGTTCGAGCACTTTGTCACTCCACTGGGAACGTTGTTTTTGGAAGAGGATGAAGACTCACTTGACTTGCTGTCATCAAGGTTGTTGTCGGGTGACGATGAAAGATCGGTGGTACTACTCGAGTTATTGCCGTATAGGTTGTCTGAGATCAAATAAATTAGAAACTAAACGCTCCGAATAGCTGCTGACATAAGATCAGACCCGTTTTTCAAAATACCTTCTAATTTCACAGAAGATGATTGTGACATCTGCTGTTGACTCTTAAGCTTCTCCTCTAGTGACCCGAATTTGATGGGAGCTGGTTTGCTGGTAGGCAGTGTTGTTGATTGAGACATCAACTGGGAGGGTGTCACATGTGACGTGTCACTCGGTGTTTGCGAGTGGGTTACACTTCCCATCATGGCCAGCATGCTATTGTTGATGTCGTTTCCACTAGGATTACCACTGCCATTGGCGTAATACATGGCAAATAAATCCTCAAAACTCATTGCACCCATGTTATAACTGGGTGATTGTGCTGAATACGTCGTATCACCCGGTGTAGAGCTGATCGAAGATCCACCGGGAGAACCGTGGGACATTGAATGGTGCAACCCGTCACTGGAATAAAAATACCCAGCTTCATTGCTGCCGCCATCAACAGTGAAGGAGTTGGCTCTGGATGGGGTCGCTGGGAACATGGTGTTGCCCATATTGTAGTTTGGTAAAGACTGACTCATAACATTGGCCGTATGGGCGGCTGCTGCTGCAGCTTCGCTATTGCCGGCGGAGGTGCTGTATGGAAGCTGACTGGTCGTAGGCGTACTACTCTCCGATGGAGCCTCATCCATATCTGAATCACCAGGCATGTCGCTTGGGATGGTAATACTATCCACAGCATTGGTGGATAATAATGTGTCTGCTCTTCGTTTGGTTGACTGAGCCTGATGTTCGGACGTTGGTTAGAGGAGTGTCACGCGGCAATTTTAAAGAAGCGAACGGCCAAACACAATTTAAACTTACCAATTGGAGGTCGCTTGGATTAGAGGGCTTTCGCATTAGACTGGTGGATGCACGGGCGCTGCCCGATATCATCACATTCTTGCGTAAATTCACCTTCTTAGAGAAGCTGGTTTGACGTTCTTTTGGCGACGGCGGTGGCTGCAGTTGTGAAGATGACGGCGGTGGATTTGGTCCATGTGTCAAAAAGTCAAAACCATATGGAGGTGCCGATGATGATAATAATGTAGTTGTGTCATCGGGCACAGGCGGGGTGTTGGAGCGATCAAAGTGATCAAAAATTGGGTTATCTTGTTCCATCTCTGAAGGTATTGGTGATTCGGGAGCATCAACCGTTGCGCTGGCAGGAGAGCGACTAGCTGAGCCTTCTCGGGCTAATCTTTCAGCTTCAGCCTTCTTCTTATTTAAAGTCATGGCCATCATACGCCATGTAAGGTTCTCTAAACGAGACCCATTTGGCAGTGTGTCTTTTGCTTTGGTATACATTCGCCATACTTGAGTGGCAAGCGGGTCCTTCTTTTTACCTGGTGTATCAGAGTCGTCACTATCAGAAGCTTCCACCTCTTCATGGTCGGATTCATCCATTTCGTCTCCCACCGCTTTTTTCGGTTTCCTTGGAGGGAAAAGGGAATCGGAAAGGAGGTGGGATGCAATATTACTGGGTGGTGAGCTTGAGGACGCTATCTCCTTCAATGGACTAACCAAATGCTTTTTGTCCATAGCGGATGTTTGTGAGAGGCTGGCTGAACGAGCGATTTGAAAGAGAGAAGGGAAAAAAGCTGAAACTGGACTTCCGTCCGCCCTTCAAAATTTTCTACGGGTTTTTTTTTTTTTTTTTTTTTTTTCCTCAGTATAAGACTTTGTGTAATCAAACATCAACTGGAAAAATGTGGGCCAGAGCATGTTTTAGAATTCGTTTACCGAGTGGTCGTCGATATGCTTCACGTATGTTGTTCTTGTTTTTTTAAAAAGTGATCACAGTCGCCGCGCATTCTCGGCTAAGCCAACTCAATCGAACAGGTTTTGCTGAAACATCTCTTGTCACACCTCAGCTTGAATCCAAGCTCAAGACTTTAGCCGAGCGACATGAATCCCTCATCGCCAAGCTTAATCACACTGAATCCATGGAAACTGCAGCTATAGCTTCTGTTTCTAAAGAGGCCGCCGAACTCAGTCAACTGACTACGTTGTATGGAGAATGGAATCGTGCTAATACGGACCTGGACGAGCTATTTAATCTTTTATCCAGTTCCTCAAACGATGAGGACATGCTGGAAATGGCCCGGGAAGAACATCAAGGTTTAACTGAAACATTGCAACGAATTGAAATGGATATTGTGACCGAACTGGTACCAAAGGATTCGGCCGACGAAGGTAGTGCCATTTTAGAAATTCGAGCCGGTGCAGGCGGAGATGAAGCCGCTCTATTCGCGGCCGAAATGACAAAAATGTATGAACGTTTTGCTCAAGAAAGGCGGTGGAAATGGGAACTATTGTCTTGCTCAGAGCTGGAAGGCGGTGCCAAAGGCTACAAGGTGAGATTGGAAAACATGGGAAACTCTTTTGGCTTTCAATATCTCATGCTGTTTATATTGGTTTCAGGATGTAACGGTCAACATTGCTGGTAAAAGTGTGTTTGGACAGTTGAAATATGAATCTGGCGTTCATAGGTACGTCAATGGCAATGTAGTAGCTGACCACGTCTTCACTCCTGGTCTAACATGACTGAAATTCAATAGAGTACAACGAGTACCAGCAACAGAATCTCAGGGTCGCATCCACACATCGACCATCACTGTCGCCATTTTACCACAGCCTACTGAGGTTGACGTACAAATTAAGGATTCAGATCTGCGTATAGATGTCTATCGGTCTTCAGGAGCTGGCGGTCAGCATGTTAATACTACTGACAGTGCTGTTCGTATCACCCATATACCAACTGGAATGACCGTTGCCATGCAGGATGAAAGATCCCAACATAAAGTAAGAAAAACCATCTTTCGTCGCATATTCACCAAGATTCTAACAAGTCTGTTTGTATTAGAACAAGCTCAAAGCTATGAAGGTTTTGCGTGCCAAGATTTATGAACAGGAGAGATTAAAGACAGATATGGCCCGACGAGATTCTCGAAATAAGCAGATTGGAAGTGGAGACCGTTCAGAGAAGATCCGAACTTACAATTATCCACAAAACCGAGTGACTGACCACCGAATCAACCTCACCTTGTATGAGCTTGAACTGATCATGACTGGCCAAAACTTGCCCAACATCATTGACAGATTAAAGATACATTACGATACTGAGGCTCTTTTGGCCATCAACGTCGAATAGACCTTACCGCTCTCATAGATTTCTTCCTCTTATCATTCCCCTGTACCATAAAAAAGTCACAATAGATTTGCATTTAATTTTATACGTAAAACTTTGAAGGCAAATTCACGCAGCAAGCCAAAGGTCTCTAGCTCAACATTACAGAAATGATATACAAAAGTCAATTAGAATCCCTGTCGCTCGAGGTGTTGTTGTTCATTGCAAGGCAATTGGACTATTTGTCTCTGGTGCGCTTGGCCGCCACCTCCAAACGTCTTTCTTGTCTTACTGAGGACGACATGCTTTTCAAGGAATTGCTGTTTCTGGATTATGGCGTCTCATACAAAGCTCCAGACGAAACTTGGCGAAAACAATACGAAAACAAGTGGTCAGATACTTCAGGCAGACGTATCTGTCCACACCTTTCCAATGTCACCGACGATATCCTGTTAGAAAAAGCCGAGACGTTTAAAGCGGCGCAAGAGAACAAAGTCTATTGTTCACGGTGCTCTATGTCACAATTTCCAAATCTATTTTTAATCATGGAGAAAGTCGAAAACGACGTTGGTAAGTCATAAACTCCTTCTTGTTTCCTCTCACTCCATCTTAACTCATCGTGCACCTCTTTGTTGGTTCTAGTTTGCCGCCGATGCCTCAAAGAATACATTGATGAGCGACAAGCTCAAAAATCGAACCATGGTGTTTATCTGGATATGAACACTCTTAAACTTCGATGTTTCCTATGTTCAATGCGGCGAACCTCAGTACGTGATTTTGATTCTTTGTTCCAATGGATTAAGAACACCCGTATTTTAACCACCGCTTTGACAGCTGGGCGATTTTGGTAGCGACAGATCAGAGCAGTACAAATGCGAGGAAATCCTGGAAGTCGTTTTGGCCGGAACGGAAAGAGGAAAAGAAAGAGTTGATTTAATTCTCAAGCGGAAAAGAGAGAAGGCAATGTATGTTGGACAACAGGAGGAATTGGCCAGTGCTGATTTCAAGAATCTAGCTTATAATTTAATCGATGCACACTGGATGGGTAGCTTTCACCTCTTTATTTATGGTAAGGTTTCGCATGTTCAAGACTGTCATGGAAATCTACGTATCAATTCAACTTTCTTCAAAATGTAGGCGAATACCCAAGCCCAGGGCGCATCACAAATCGATCATTGACGAAGCGGAATGGTAGCGTTATACCGGGTCTCAAATTGTATGGAGAAGATGCTGCCTTGGTGACCAGGACGTTTTGGAATTATTTGGCAGAAGAATACGGTGTTGAAGGCAAATCTATAACTGAAGGTGAGAAAATTCGCTAATATGTTTTCATATGAGTGGTCGTTAACGCTTTGTCGCCAATATGGAAGATGACCTTACCGGCACTGACTACAAAACGCTCCGGCAGAAGATCACCAAAATGAAACGCAAAATGTGTGATCAAGCAAAAAATGAAGGTCGAAAAAACCTTATGTACTGAAGTAGAATACCCTAATTTCCCTGTAGTGTGAGTGGAAATTTGAGCACTCATCTTTGTATTCCAATCCACTAACCCGTTTACATCGAAGGAGGAAGCCAAAACTCTGTAACATTGGCTACCTATTTCTGAAAACAAGATGTCTTCACAATCATATGCTGGCAACTTCTTACTCATGATTACAGATCGTTACAGAATCAAGGTTTACAATATGCCTATATGATTGTAGTAATTTAGAAGGTATTCATTGCGAATTAACTACATATTCAAGCTATGTAGCATTTGTAGTTCCTCCTTTTCGAACTAGGCTCCTTGGTGCAAACTGAAGACATGAGAGCTCAATACAGCGTCATGCTTCCACAAAATTTGACGTTCGTTGTTGTACATAGAGATTATCATAAAAAAAAGTTCTAGTAATTAATCCTGCTTTCCATTCGCTCGCGATATATGTACGCTTGGTCTAGCATTCATCATTCAGTGGCCTTGTCACGTAGCCATATGTACGAACGAATCTCATGAACCCTCCTCTTGAAGGTTGGGTATCTGGCTTCATCTGGCAAAATTGAACTACTCATTAGCAGTGAGACGTTCATTTACTTTGCCTTCTCTCCACAGACATAGTGGAAAGGCATTGAGAGCTAGCGTAGACATACCAATGTATGCGGTACAGGAACATAATACTCTCACATCATTCAAATAGATCTTCATTACATCCCTTTTATAGCTTTTTTATTTCCTTGTATCAAATGGATACAAAAATAGATGGATCAACCTCTGCGAACAAAACACGTTAAAGCATGGGTACTGGATCAAAAACAAAAAACGACAATCCTATGCTAACGTTGAACATCAATAGGGGCGATAATTGTGTTGATTACGGTTACTTTGAGATGCATATACTGCTCCACCGCCTCCACTACCGTTATTGCCACGAGAGTTTCGTTCACTGCCAGATGAGTAAGAAGCGGACGATGATCGTGGGTCTCTTCTTGGGTCTCTTGAATAATTACTGCCGCCTCGACCACTGTCGCCATATCGGTCGTGGTGGCCTCCATATTGGTCGCCGCCATCGTTGCTCCGGTCTTGGTCGTCTGCAGGGTAATCATCGCCACCATCACCGCCTTTACCATCATTTCCTTCGCTGTATCCGTCATCTTGATATCCTTGACCATAGTCTTGTTGTTGCTGCTGTTGATTGGCGTAGTAGCCCATGTATCGGTTATAGTAGGCAGCAGCCGCGGCAGCCATCATTTGATAATTTTGATAGCCACCACCACCTCCATAGTAGTTGCCATACATATTGGCACCTTGGCCTCCGCTGCCACCGCCGCTAGCGCCTCCATACCAGCCTCCGCGTCCACCTTGGCCTCCTTGTGCCATGCCAGAAGCAGCTCCAGCATACCTGCTGCCACCACCACCACCGCCTTGTTTGCCATACATGTTGAAATATGGGTTGACAGCTACTCCATGAGAGTCTCCGCCATGAGGAGACTGTTGTTGGCGATGTTTGGGCATGGCACGTTTTACTTCAACCGGTTTGCCGCGCATAGCAAGGCCAGGCATATTCAACGCGTTCTCTACACCTTGTGAGCTTTCAAACGTAACGAATCCAAAACCACGAGGCCGTCCAGTAGCACGGTCTGTCATCAAGGTAACATCGATCACTTTGCCGAAACGATTAAAGTATTGTCGAAATTCTTCTTCATCAACTTCTTGGTGGATACCGCCGACAAAGATCTTCTCAGTCTTATCCTGTTCATCTCTAGGAATGGCTCTTTTTGGATCAATCTAAAGAACACCGGTTTACAGTGGATGAGAAAATATTCAAATATTGGAATAAATGGTTGGAAAATCTTACATTCTTGCCATCCAATTGGTGCGATCTGGAGGCGACCTCATCAACCACATGTGAATCCGCAAATGTTAGGAAGGCAAAACCGCGAGATTTTCCAGTGGTAGCGTCCCGCATGACAACGCAATCTATCACCTCGCCATACTTTGAAAAGTAATCTCGTAATCGCTCTAATGAAAGGAAATAAGAAAAAAAAAAAAGACATTACTCTACTGAATCGACCATATGGAAAACCATTGTTTTTTCTTTCTTTCACGTAAGCCCAAATCCACCGATGCTTCCAGGTCATGTCTTTCAAGATTTGTTCGAAATTGGTTTGTACTTGCTAATTACATAACTTGTATCTCTTCGATTCTAACCATTCCCCAGGACGAACGCGTAGACGACTACGGGAACATAAACACGAAAATAATTCTAATGCAAACGCTTACCATCTGTAGTTTCCCAATTAAGTCCTCCAATGAACATTTTTCTAATAAAAATATTGGGACGACAAAAATTGTACGGCAGAGAAAAAGAGAAAGGTGTGGTGAGTTCATAATATGTTTTTTTTTTGTCAGTTTGGATCATGATACCATGTTGTATCCTTGAGTAGCTATTGGAGTTGTATATCTTCTGCTGAGTGCTTGTACTAGACTAATGTACGACTATGGCTATCATACAAGCTAATGCCTAATACACTTTGGTGCGTTACGGTATATAGATGTGTTCTACCAGCGGCCCAACCATTGTTGGGGTGCACGGTGCGCTTTTCGATAAAAGCCGTCCAGCGTTTTTTCATAGGGGGGGGGGAATTAATAAAAAAGAAGACATTGTGCTTACCCTTCGTCTTGATTGGCTGCGCTTGCTACTGACGGGTGGGTTTCGGATTCTTCCTGGCTGGAGTATGACTGAATCGCCTGACCTTGTGCAGGTGCGCGATCATAGCCTTGTTGTTGAGGAGAGTCACTGGGGTTATCGGATCCACCATAGTATTTTTGCTGATCATAGCTGGAGTTGCTACCCTTTCTAGGCTGTTGATCACCGGGTTGTGATTGACCTTCTGCTTTGTTAGCTTGATTTGAGTACATACCAGCCTTTTCAGGATCGTAAGATTGTCCACTGTCTTGATCATCAGCGTATATATCTTGGTTTCCGTATGCGTTATCATTACCACCGCTGCCTACACCGTACAGCTCATCGTACTCGTCCATTGTGAGAAAGTTGAGGAAGGGTGTGAGTCTCAAGATTCGTGACGCCTGCGGTTGAAAGTACACAAAAATGGTCACGTGAACTGAGTGCGAAAATGGTTCACCTCTTGCATTTCTACATTACTGGAAGCGCTTTGAGAAGACCTTTGCTTGTTTGTTTGCCTATGTAGACGCGCTACGATGTAGAAATCAATTGTGTGAATTGAGTGCTGTAGCTACGTTGTGTTTATCTATTACCTTCGCAGTTTGACGATGATGATGCTTATGTCAGCCGAACACAACTGTATTCTTATTGAACAACTCTTCTCATTATGGATGTTCGTTTCTCACAGGCTTGAATAAAAATCAATTCATGTAAATGGTTTTCGTCTGGTTTAATTTACACTGAAAGCTTGAGAAAGCTGTTGTGACTTATAGATTGTAAAACACGAGTAATCGATCCTCCGAAAAAAAATCGCATTAAAACCGGGAATGACTGAATTATGACACCTTGTGCCCTTTCTTCACTCTAACCAATATGTCGAACATTGCAAAATATGTATTCAACCATACTATGATCCGTGTCAAGGATCCCAAGCCTTCCTTGAAGTTCTATCAAGACGTCCTTGGCATGAAGTAAGTACAGTCCCATGCAACCAAGTTCATATACTAGGCAATAGTACTCATCTTCGAACTATAGGTTGATCACTTCCTCGGTCAATGAGTCTGCTAACTTCACCCTGTATTTCCTTGCCTACGTTGACAAAGTCCCTGAAACCAAGGAAGAGCAGATGAAGCTTGCCTTCAGCATTCCCGGAGTTTTGGAATTGACTCAGTAAGATTGAATGGCATTTGCGCTTATCTTCGTGCATAATTCAGAATTAACGCCAATTATTTATCTAGCAATCACGGCACTGAGTCCGACTCCAAGTTCGAGGGTTATGCAAGTGGCAATAAGGAGCCTGGTCGTGGATTTGGTCACATTTGTGTCGCTGTCGATAATATCGAGAAGGCCTGCGAACGCTTCGAGCAACTTGACGTGAACTTCATCAAGAAGCTCAAGGACGGAAAGATGCATAACATTGCCTTTATCACTGACCCCGATGGTTACTGGATTGAAATCATCACCAACCCTATCTATGGTAAAGCTCCTATTTAAGCAGACTATGGAGAGTGACAGCAGATGTAAATACGGCGCAAACAGATTAGTTGATTTAAAGAATTTTCGAGAATAAACGAAATCTGTTTTTATACTGAATAATTGTACACGGTAGAGTATGTATTGAACTAGGATTTATCCTAATATCAATTCATACATTATAACGAGGATATTGATGCCAATAAGCGGTACTGAAAAAGATTTTGATTCAGAAAGTCAGTTTTGAGCGCTGAGCGAGCGCGAGTCATATGTTGCCCCAACTTACTTCTGAGCAGCGTTCGCACTGCTGAAATGAGGTTGACTATTTTGGATTTTATGGATTGACCTTGTTCTCCGAATCCTGGTTCCTGTTGTGCGCTCCAACCGACTGTAAGTGGGAGGTTTTGGTTTAGTTGAATTCACTTATGACCTGTGTTGAAGATGATAGGCCCATAAAAAGGCATCAGGTCTTACTTCTTCCTAAAAATCTCTCTTCGTTCAATACAGCGATGGCGTTGATGAACAACAGCAACACATAGATTAATTGGCCCAGTCCCAATGTCATGGTTACTGAAGATCGATGATAGTGACTAGCAAAGACAAGCAACTCACTCTGACGTGGTTGGCACCACCAGCAAAATTGCTTTTTTAACACGTGACTGTTATGGCAGGCAAGCAAAATTGCATCAAGACAGACAAGTTTATAAAGATGATGATGTGCTGTACAGAAGTATTTGTTGCTATATTGCAAGCGTATAGGATGAATATGGTATAACAAAAAATGAATACTTTAGAGAGAAACAGAGTAAAATAAAAAGTTGGAACAAATAAGATATGTACAGCGCCCCGATGAAAAAATCTCTACCAGACACCACTACTGGATGTTCCTTCGACTGCCGGTGCAGCCTGATCGTAATAAGAATTCCATTCATCCCAATCAAAGCTTGCAGGTATAGACCAGAATGGATTACTTGGTGTGTTCCTAAACAGTGTATTTTCCGCAGCTGCTACGGCTGGGTTGTTTGGAACAGTCGCTGTCAAAATAGTGGGAAAGGACTGAGCGTAAGGATCTTGTCTGGTGGGAATGCCACCCATAAGATAACCTGATTGAAACAATGTATTTGTGGCTGATTCAGTCGTCTGAGGTTGGATCCATTGCACAGGGGGGTTTTGTAGTTGTGCAGATTGTTGATTAGTAGTATTTACAGAATTGTCAGCACTCCAAATATCTTTGTCGCCAGTGATAGAATCCAAAGCCTTCATGTAGCTGAATTCATTTTCTTTGCTAAGTCCAAATTGCTTCAAAGAAAACGCTTCGGCTGTAGGACCGACTTCGCCAAAGTTTGGAATAGCCATAGGTAAACTATTGTCAATCATCACCGAGGGCTTTTCTATATTGGCTGAAGGCATTTCTATGGGTCTCGCAACAGGCGGTGATTGCGAATCAATTAGTCGGGTTCGGAAATCATTAGACGGTATGGGTTGCATCATGTTTCGAACGGTTTTCTCTGCTTTCTTCTTTTCGTCCTCCTCTTCGAAGCCCATGTCTTCTATTTGTTGTCGGTAGCCAGTCAAATCCACTTCTTGTAGTTTCATCATATTATGTATCAAACGATCGATTCTCAGAGCGCTTTCTGACATGGATTTGATACGCTTTAGCAAGGCAAGGCATTGTGCAAGATGGGACTTTGCTCGAGTGGATACTCTTGCATCAACATTTTTGGAGTTGTATATACACATCAGTCCACTTTGGAAAACAGACGAAAGATTGAAGCTCCATGAAAATCTCAAAAAGTCCGATGGTGATAGGTTGCTTGCCAGGACGATGGCTCGTTCAGCCGCTGAAGTACAGATCCTGAAAGAAGAATAGGATGACAGTGGATTGGGTCTCCCTTGCTTGATATGTTCTATAAATGGTCTATGAAGTAGGAGCAATGCAGCGTAGTAGCATAAATGGATGGATGCTGTATAACATAAATAGTTCTTGTTAGCGGATACCGTTAACGAAAAAGTCCGATATTACCATTGAATACCCACCAGCAACAGGTGTGACGTTCACTTCGGACACGGGAGAATTATCGTTTCCTTGCAATACTTTGATAAGACCGAACCGCCATATTGTCAATTCATGATCCAGTCGAGTGACTATGTTGTCGCTTCCTTGAATGTAGCTTTGCTGTTTGGCTCGCGTGGTGTACAATCCTTGGAGGATATGACCGATAATTTGTGATAATTTCGCCAATTGCAAAAACATTTGATAAAGCGGTCGCTCCTCGTTCATTTCATGTTGTTGGCTCTGAGCATCAGGAGTGGATGGGAAGGTAGCAAGGTTCCTGGGATCCGTTGAACGCTCAGGAAACCCGTCTACTATTTCAATCCATGGCGCAGTTTCCTTCGGCAGATCGACATCGCAATCCTATATTTTGAAACTTAGCAACGATGCCGATGTGAAAGCGGACACGATGTTCAAAATAACTACCTCTTCTACGATTGTCAATGGCTTTCCGAACAAGGCACTGTTAAATCGATCCATAATGTACAAACTCCACCAAATGCGCTTTCGCGTTTGTTTTTCCATATCTGGCATATTCCAATCATCGCAGGATTGATGTAACCCTAGATCTTGTGCCATCCTGATAGCCTACAATAAGTGCACCAAAGGTTTTAGACAGACGCAGGCTACACTACGCATGGTCATTTGACGACTACTTACGATACCAATCAACAGGTAGCAATCGGATCCTTTGCTATCCATTCTTGCATGATGGTTGAGAAGAAGAATGATGGCTTGAACCATAGGTAAGCTTGGTCCTGATACGCTTTGCAAAAATACTTCCTTTAAAACTCTATCAAAGAGTATGTCAGATAATGCTCGGCCATTAGTCGATATCAGCAACGAGTCATCATTTGATATTTCAAAGTAACGAGCGGCAGCACCCAGCATGGCGTTGAAAACAATTGTAGAAGGATACGACTTGGAGAGTCCCCTGTACCGCTCCAGAAAGGTGTGCTTGTTGACAATAGGAAAAATAGGATGTATGTTCATAAAATACCTGAATAGCTAATGAGGATATATTGTAGTAACGTGCATATTGGGTGACGTCGGACACTCACAGTGATAACAAGCGATCGCATGCTTCGACCTCCAGACCAACGTAATGCTTTGTCCATTCTGATCTTGTCTGATACTTGTCTTTTTCTTCACTGATTTCTTGGTTTGGCATCTTTTCGATAGCGCACAAAAAGGTGTCTTTACCGAGTCGTTCCACCTGGTGACCGGGCAAGAATTGTTGTAAAGGGCGGTCAATTCCGAGTGATTTGCTCAAGAATTTGATTCCAGAAACATCCCCCAAGAAGCGAACGCTTTCAAATCTAGCAAGGTCAAGATCTTCCTCGGGTATTTTTTTGGTGCGAAGATTATTCTGTCTTGCGACATTGGTGATGGATGAAAGCATTTTTTGCTCGGCTGGTTCGTAAGAGCTATATGCGGTTGAAGCGCTGGATGAGTCTATACTCTGACCAGATGACCCAATGCTCCGGTTATCTGCCTCGTTACCATTTGCTGATGGGCCATCCACGGCGGCTAATAAAGATTCCATTCGATTGATTCGGCGTTCGAGGGTTCCTATATGACCCTACGTCGAATTGTGAGCTTAATTGAGGTGATATAATCACGCTTAAACAATGAAAACAATGTATACCTTGGGTGGTCCTCGGCGTTTGACCCTATTTAACGTGCCATGAAAATTTAAGGAAAAATTTAGCTATCAAGCTCTAAGGCATTGGACGAATAATTCGCTCTCTTCCTTACGGTTTAGTAAACACACAGTTAGTGCCTATTGCTTTACATGTTGCGCATGTATTAGTTGCTGCATCGAATACACACTTGATTTTTCTACTTCGACATGCGTCGCTGCAATGGAGCTAATTAGTACATTGCTGCGGGCCGACACCGACATGACATTCAATTAGTAATAATGGGACTGGTTTCATTACCATGCCTGAGTCACTCTTCTTCGTTTCGTATTCTGTTCCGACTTTGCGTTTGGCCTTTTACTCGACGCTGACGGTGCGATTTTACCAAACTGCGAGTGAAAGGATGGTAACATGACCAATTTTCAACCAGAAAAGCGAACAAACACAATAAATCGAGCTTCAATGCGCAAGAAATTAAAAAAAATGGTAGTGAATTTAGCCGTTTCGGAAGTTTATTTAACCGCTGTAAGGTTGGTTTGCCGCGTTTACCACCAACCTTTTTTACTTGGGTTGTATAATTTAGGGCACTTAACATCAACTTCTTGCCCTTCAATGATCTCGCCATACCGACCAGGGTCAGTCATACTCTTGCCTTCTTTGCCTAGTTGGATTACTACGATGGTGATATCGTCACGGAAACCTCGGGAAGGCTGTTTGGTCAGGAGCTTGGAAATTTCTACCGATTCGTCGAAAGGTGCAGAGTCGGGTAAATCGTAACGACGTCTTAGTATAAACGCATGTTTCATCAGATGAGTCGAAGGATTGGGCAATTCATCGGATTCATCATCCTTCCATTTACTCAGTATATCGGCTACTGCTTGATCTCCATCAGGGGAATGCTCGTCCTCCTTTCCAGTATACCACCATAGACCGTCCGAAGCAACGACAATGAACCGGTCGTTTTCTTCCAGCTTGTGATGTGTGACAATTGGCTTGGAGTAAAGGTAGGGTGGTGTCCTATAGTTTGCAATGATTCGGTGATGGTATCTTGCAAATCGGCGATAAATATCTGCCGGTATGTTGGGTAATACAGCAGTTTGATATTCGACGGGAACCTTATACATAATATCCCCAAATGCTGCAATATCTAAAGTCAGAAGCTGCATGGAAACGTTTCTCAGTATAAAAAAAGCTACTTCCATACCTCCGCCCACAGCAATTAAGCCAAATACTCTATTTCTCTTGATCAGACCATTCGTTTCTGAAGCAGGGTGCTGAGATTCCATGAACTTGCGCCAAGCAGGTCGTGCAGGTGTCTGTTCGTCTACCAAGCGTCGACCATGCCATTTACCATCCTTGTCTACGCTCACCACTAATACAAAAAAAGCGTCAAAAAGAGGAGTTGTGGGTGGCATTTTTTGACAAATCCCTGCTACTTACCGACTGATCTCGAGTCGCCAGTGTTGGCTGTATATACATCGTCACCATCTACGTATGCAACAGAAGCGCAAGATCCATGAATAGCTTCCTCAATAATGCGCCGAGTTTCAGCCTGATCAGGTCTACTGGTGACTGCAGATCTGATATCTCCTGCAGATAGTTTGGATATATCTTTAGGGAAAATGTCTATAAATCGTTGCTGGATATGGGAGTCCAATTCTTCAAACGCTGATGATAGAGCTCCCATCACTTTTTCTATGGACTTTGTCATAGGCAGCTTTTCCAAATGCTGTGCAACGTAGATGGGGATCTTACGCTTTATCAAAATGGAACATTGAGGTCCTATATGGCCTGTTGGTTCGACCCATGCGGAGTCAGAATCATGAATCACTGTTTCAACCTCATTAAAGTCCTTACCATCATAAACGCCAGCAATAAGTTTCGTCGATCCTATTGTGTCTACACTATAATGATCTTCTATCGGTTCATTTGAGCGCAAGCTGTTGACGTATACTCCGGACACGTTTTTGATGGGTTGAGCAAACTTGTACGCGACCTCTCCAGACCGCATTATTGCATTGATCGCCTTTTGGGAGAGAATTTCAAAGGGCCGGTTATCACTTGGATCGATAGCAGTAAAGTGAAGTTTTGTTTGCGTGAATCGTTGCTTATCATCGTTTTTAACAGCCTCATTTAGAGCCGGGCTGTTATGGTATAAGGCTGCGAGAGTCATAGCGCTTGCTGCTCCCAGAAGGGACAGTGTGCCAAGTGCTCCTTTACCATAATGTTGGGCTCCGCTCCTTGAGTGAATGTACGCTCGCTGTGTAAACGTAATCGTGGATCTTGCACCTTTCGAAAGAATCATGATGTCAAGAAAGGGAAGAGACTTCGTTCTGAAGCAGTGTTCAGCGCGCTGAAAACATAGTCACGCATGAACAAATTGACCTGTGACCTTGCCTCAGGAACCAACTCATTATTGCTATTGACAACGGTGATTCATCCATCCTTTTATTTCTTTTATGTAGAGTGAATGATGACTATGGCGTTTGCATACCGTCTGTAGTATAGTTGGCCTGTACGATTTAAATTACTGCATATGTTGGACCATGATACTAATACGAGCGGCACTCTTATCGATGCTTACTCAAACTACAGTAACCGTAACCAAAGGTCAATCTGTACAAATGATGGCATTCACGCAAGCCTACACTGGGTCAGCAGCAGCGTTGGTGTTATTTGCTATGAAGGGTTTGAAAACATCTTTCGACAAACGATGATGCATGTTGTCCCGATAGCTTATGTCCCAGCAGCCATTGTAAAGGCAAGGTAAACACGCAGATAGAGCGACAGGCAGGTGTTGTAGTACGTGATTTGGCAGGTGGTGAAAGAGGGTTTTTTATTTTTTTTGGTTGGGCCATTTAAGGATACTGCTTTCAAAATACCACCGCTGGTCATGCAACATGTAAACGGAATTCCCGTGTACAACTCTGACCCTAATCGCCTATATGAGGGGTTGAAGAGCTGTAAACCAACCTGGTATAGTGCTCAAGGTGGTGTGTATCGCTGCCGACAGCAGATGTCTCCGAAAAAGCTCATCGCCATCAAGAAATACTATGTGGCAGAAAGTCAAGACGATCCCAATGCATTCATTATGCCAAGAGACCTTGTTGAAAACGAAATATATGCAATGACACGATGCGCACCGCACCAAAACATCCTGGAACTACTCTCCGTACATCTTCATCAAGAATGTATATACCTGGTTATGCCGCTTTGCACTGGAGGAAGCTTACAGGAATATGTATTTGAAAATAGAATAACAGTTGGTCAATTGGTGTACATATTACAAGCGGTAGGTGGAATGATCATAGTGTATTGTTTGCTTCAATGTTATTGATCTTCATCGCATGTCACCAGCTTGTTAGCGGCTTGCATGAAATCCATCGACACGGTTATATACATCGAGATATCAAGTGCGACAATATCTTTTTGACAAAGGAAACAAATGATGTTGTCATAGGTTAGTGATTTTTCCTTTCATTTTAATCGCGGGTGAGTTTGAGATTTTAAACTGAATTGCAACATAGGCGATTTCGGTGTTGTTTCAATCCAACCTACCGCAGACTCTTCCCTTGAAGAAGCTGGGGTTGTCTTATTTTGGGCACCGGAGGCAGTGGAAGGAAGGATCGTTGATAGCAAAATTGACATATGGGCGCTTGGAATTGTCGTTATGGAGATTCTCAATGGAGGTAAAGCGCCTTATGAAGATGAGGATGGTAGCGAAGATAGAGTAAGTAAATTTGACCGTCTCACTGAGCATGCACCGTTTGTTTAGCTTTCATGTTTTAACATTCCTTTATTAAATAGATCAAGGAAATTATATTAGAAGTCGGTCGACCACACTACCCACCATCTCTACCACCAATGCTAGTAGACTTCATGAATCGTTGCCTAGAGGTTGATCCATATCTTAGAGCAACCACAGACGACCTTCTCAAGGTAGTGTGCGCATAACAAAGAAGGTCTAAAGTATTTTAAACTATTCTAATGCTTTATCAATTCAATGCAGCATCCTTTTTTGACACAAAGTGAAGCAGAATACCTATTTCCTTCATATCCACTCCACGGTCACAGTATAGAACACGCACACCACATGGAAGAAGCTGTCCATGCGACCACAACTTTAGACGCTGATCACCATGCCGACGTAGTTCAACCAGCAGTTGACATGTTACATGAGAGAAAGTCCATGTATGTCAGCTCTGAAATAGATGACCCCTTCACGTCAGAATTCGATGACGAAGAAATACTACGCATTGAAAACCGACTTGAAGCTCTTCAGCAACTCACACAATTAGACGGAAAACTGGCAGTCAATGCTCAGGATCCTATTGAACACTCTGATGAAGCCGTTCAACATAATGTACCCGTCGAAGCTATAGCCATTGATGAAGAAAAACAAGAATCCACAGTCTCGCCATCCCAAGATATCAACCCTCCAGCCTCTCGATCTAATCGTAAATCGATGCAAATTCAACGCTCCTACCTTCCACGTTCATCTATTTTACTATCTACAGCACTGAACGGTGCAGTCAATGCCAACAACCGCATTGGCGACGAGCTTAAGAAATTACATCCAGTGCAACAAGCCTATGACGTTTTTCATAGACGAACCAACATGTACACCAGTTATCGCAGGCAAGGTTCTCGTTTGCCGTTATTTACAGCTGCAGTAGGACCCAAGGAACGGTTGCCAAGCGCACTACCAGTAGATGCGAAACCGCTGAAGAGGGTGAAGTCATTGATGGCGACATCACTCAAAGAGGACCACACGGCAGTCAAGGTTAGACGAGCATTTAGTGTTACGAATATCAAGGAAAAAGAAAACCTTGCTAGTGAACGGACAAAGAACCAGATCACAACGCGGACACAAAAGAGAGTATCGCAACCTGTTGCACCAGCACGTAATTCCATAGACACGGCACGAACGAGTCGTAAAAAACCCGATATAACACACCCCCCGTCACTAGAGAAACCTATGCGCAAACCACAGCCCAAGATAGAGCCAAAAGTAGCGAAACCTCCAGCCAGTGCTGCCTACAAGGACGATGCTGAGCCCCGAAAGACCCAACCAAGACGAACTGGAACGGTGAACAAGTTGTTGAAGCAAGAAGCGAGCCTGCGATTGGACAGGAGAGCCAGAATCAAAGCTTGAAATCGATCCCCTTTGCCAACCAACCCACTCCTTCATTCCCCCCCCCACACTCGCGCTGCGTAACAAGACTTGCTTCATAAGATATCCCCCACTCCCTTGCGCTTATTTATATAACTTATACCAATTATGCCATTTTGCAATTTGTCAATCTAATAACGTTTTAAATATACATATATGCTTTGACCATTGAAATCAGTCATTCTTTTTTGCACTTTTCTTTGCCTTTAATTGTCGTTCCAGCTGCTTGCGCTTGACACTAACAAGCATTGTGCATGTTGCTCGAAGAACAAGCACCTGAGTGGAAGCTACACGTTAGAAATGCATTGCAATAAAATGAGGGTTGAGACGCCTTGCTTACCAGTGCTAATATACAGTTGAGGATCAGTGGTAGTGAATAGACAGTGGCGAGGAACAAGCCGGACTGGTCGAAATAGTTTGCCGATGCAAAATGCTCCCAGTTGCTCGACAAGAATCCGTTCAAAGGCTGCGAGAGGCAGGCCAGGAAGACTGCAACAAAAGCGGGTCAGAGTGGGGGGGGGTATCATTCTGTGCTCACATCGAGGTGTTTTACGAACTGAAGAAAAAGAGCAGCCCGGAGAGCAGGTCGTGCTTATTTCGAGACAGAATGAGAGTCAAGAACGAAGTGACATGGAATGCAACCAGTGCAATGAGCCAAGGCTGCGACCAATCAATCTACAGGACAAGTGTCAATGGTGTTGGTTCGATCTGCTTTTTGCAGCGTGAGGCTCGTGCTTACTGCTCGAATGAAGTTTTCCGCCTGGTATATGGCTTGCTCGAGGCTAGGCAGTCCGTCCTGATCTCCAGAGCCGGAAGTCGGCAAGGAGCTTAGAATAGCCTTGACAATGTCATCGTGTGCTTGCATGGCTGGATAAAAGCAGGATTCACAGTAGGAGGTCAGTTGATATTCCGATGCCAGTCAAGCAATTTTCAATAACGGACAAGCGGGACAAACATACATTGAACAGCTTTCTTTTATATTATTATTCGTTGGGGAAAGCTATAAAATCAAATAATAGAAGAACTGACTGAGACTCCAGAGTCAATTAATAGAGGGGTTAATATAATGTAAAGTACACTACGACTCGGTATGGAGATCCGATTGAAGGTGATGAAGCAGTCTATGACACATTGAAGTTGGATGTCAGCATAAGATACGTGTAGTCCATGCAACCAGAAACGAAAAAGGGGATACTCACTGTATTAAACGACTGCTTTCAGCACGAGCTGCATCTGCTTCTTGACGCAAATTCTGATTTACAGTTTGTGCAGTGCGCTTCTCAGCCTCTAGAGTCTCACAACGAAGACGCAGGTGCTCGATATTTGGATCATTATCGTTTGCCTTTGATTCGTAGCCGGTAACTTCGTCTTCCAACCAACGTATTTCAAGTGACTTTGATTGTATTTCCTTCTGCTTTACGTCCAGCGCTTTTCGATGGTCATTTTCAAGTTGAGCAATCTTACTTGTGTGAGCTTGATGGAGATTTTCAAGATCCTTTTGTTGGTTTGCAGTCAATTGTTTTTGCTCCTTCAGGAACGCTGCTATCTCATTGTCCTTTTCCGCGAGTAGTTGAGAATACTTTTCTTGTACGGCCATGATTTCCCTCTGATGCTTGGCCGCTAAACTCTGAATATCCTCACTGTTTGCCTGGAGACGGAATGTAAGTATGAACCAGCATAAAGATGAGCGACGACGCTTGTACTTACCAAGTCAAGACCAGCAGAGGTACCTTTGGATTCTGAAGTAATAATAGCTTGCTGCAATTTCAGTATCTCTCCCCGAGCTTCGGCCAGCATCTTTTGATCATCACTTTGCTTGGACTTCAATGTTCTTAGTTCTTCATTATGTATGTTGATGAGATTTTGCATTTTTGCTTCATACTCGTTGGCCAGGTCTGATCTGATGTCAGCCTTGATATCTTCCGTTCCTTGGGATGATGTAGCAGCCACTGACTCTATCTCTTGACTGTGGAGGGATTTCAACCTCTCTAGCTCATTTTGATGCTCAATCTTCAAAGCGTCTAGTTTCTGGTCGAACTCGGACCGTAGAGAAGTTTCAATCCACTTGCGGATGGCTTTCTGATCAACTTCCTTTTCGCCATTCTCCACCTTACGTTCGGCTTGTGAAGCAAGCTTAGCCACCTCAGTCGTCTTGCTTTCAAGATCAGTCTTCAGCTGTGAAATTTGGTTCTCGTATTTGATGCGCATGGACGAGATGCGATCTTCGAATTCGCCTTCACTTTCGTTCTTATGCCGAATCTTGAGCTCCTCCAGTTCCCTACGATGAGAGCTTTGAATCTGAGCGTGTTCACTTTCCAAAGCTCGCGCTTTTTCTTGGAAGTGGATTTCCATTTCTTTTAGTTTCTTATCCTGCTCTACGCGCAAGTCAGAAAGCTCCTTTTCATGCGCATTGGAAATGGATATCTGATAAAAGCGTACATTCGTCAGTGATGGATTTAAATCTTTTTATGTCGCGGTTCAATATCACAGCCAAGTTATACCTGAATTTCTGATCGGATGTCACCAAGTTGGCTTTCATGATCTGCCTTGAGGTACTTGATCTCCTTCTTGTGTTCGTCCTTCAGCGACTGGATGATGTTTTCTTTCTCCTCTTCTTGAGCTTTCAATTTATTTTCAAGTTCCTGTGTGGCTTGCTTGATGGGTTCGAGTTGATCCTGTTCGTTTTGCCTTTCGATCTTGAAAGTTTCCAATGCGCTGGTGTACTCTTCGTCAAGTTTTTTGACCGCACCATTATGGGCGGCAATAAGCTCAGCCTTTTCTCGTTCCAGTCTGTCGACCTGTTCTTTCAACTTTTCATTCAATTCTTCAGTGTGCTTCTTCACAAGCTCATTGATTTCATGCTGATGACTGGATTCCGATTCCAGCTACAATGAGAGCTCGTACTTAAATACTCTGACTTTTCTTCCAAATCACACTACTCAAATCTGAACAGTGCTTACCTTTTGGTCCTCTTTCACCTTTTCAAGTTCTTCATAGTGCTGCTTCAACAAGGTTTCCATATCCTTTGCATGTCGATGTTCCTTTTCTTCAAATTGAACAATGGCAAGGTTGCTCTTCTCTTCCAATTCCTTCAACTGTTTAGCATGCTCCTCCTTGAGGTGATCGAGGGTGATAGCGTTGTCGGCGGCGGACTTTTCTCTGGCCAAAGTAGTTTCCAGCTCCAGCTTAAGAGCATCAACTGCCTGTGCGTGCTCAGATTGAAGGCTGTCGACTACCTTTTGGTGTTCGTCTTTCAACTCTGCAATAGTAGTTTCACTTTCGCTCAACTTTGCTCGCAATTGCTCAAGCTCCTCCGCGGCCGAGTCATCCTTGGTGGTTGAAGCGGGAGTTTCTTCATGCTCGACTGCTTCTGCAGTGGCAATGTCAGTCTCCTTGACATCTTCAGAGTCCTCTTCAGCATCCACGTCTTCCGATGGATTCTCTGCCATCACGACTTCTTGCTTCTCGCTTTGCTCCTTTTCTTCATATTTGCGCAACTTGTCCTCCAATTCCTTTATGACGGAGTCTCTAGATTGGATCTCATTTTGCATCTCCTCATTCTAAAAGTCGTAACAACACCGATTTAGAATTTAGTCCCCACATGTAGGTCGAAACAATGTGCTACTCACCTTTTGCTTTAGATTTTTCACAACCTCACTTGCAGTTGGCTTGGCTGCAGCATTAGTGGTTGCTGAAGAACCCGAAGCAACGCGAGGAGTTACGGAAGCCTTTCTGGCGGCAGACGTGGCAGGGACCGGGGTGACGGATGAAGCCACAGGTCTTCTGGCAGATGTGCCTGGCGTGGCGCTGGGTCTAGTGGTTGTTGATCCTGCTACCTTTGCTCCAAGTGACGAAGCCGTGCGTGTTCCAGCCGAGGCGGTGGCAGCACGCGTGGTGGTTGAGCCGGTTGCTTTGGTGACTGGAGTTCTGGCTGTAGGGGCTGGTGATCGAGTGCCTTCAACCGAGGGTCTTGGAGCTCGAGGCACAGCTGGTTTTACAGGCGCTGCGGCTGGACGTGTCGTTTTTGCTGGTGTAGATCGTCCATCTGTTGCTTTCACAACAGGGCGTGGACTGGTGGCTGTCGTTTGCTTTGGAACAGCTGGCTTGGTTGCAGGCTTTTTAGCAGCTGCAGGTGGTGGCGTGGCTGCACCTGGGGCAATTCCGAGGGATGCCAGAGTGGATGTTCTCTTTGGCTTCTCAGACATTGGGGGGTTTGGTACCTGAAGAACGAACGGCGGCCTCTGAAAAAACGCCTGCCAACTTCTTGTTCAAGTCATGACTACGATCCGATCACGGAAACAACAAAACAAAGAACCCCTCATCAAACAGATTCCAAAGCAAAAAGGCCAGGACGATATTTCAGATACGGATAAATGGAATATCATTGAACAAAGTGGCGTTTTGAAACAAGTCGCTACTACTTCATCGATGGAAGAAGATTCAGATGCCACTACACTTGATTTTGCACTACAAGCCATATTTCTAGCCCTACCATTCAGCTTTTTGTTTGCCACATTCGAGGTCACAGTCCAAGTCCAATACAGTGAACCATGGAGCTATGGGCAATTACCCTGGCGTATGCTTCACGTTTTACCAGGTGAATATCCATTTCGTCGGTTTTGTGATAATGCGACGGCTAATTTTGGTTGGGGGCATCCCCTTTTAGCGTTGATACCACTGATATATATCACCAATCGCTACAAGGCGACCCGGACGATGCAAGCATTGATGGCGATTTCAAGTCTTGTGGTGGGAGCTTTCTTATTGTACACAGTTCATAAATCCCCCTCCATGGGTCAAATGCTACGCGCTCCTGGCCTTGCCACCATCTGGATCTACCTTATTGTTCAGTTAGACCTCACCCCAGCTGTAGCTACCCTTGCCATTGTAGGAGTTTATTATTACTACGGGTTACGAAAAAATTAGCTGTAACGATACTGTCTGCAAACAGGCAACTATTGTGACTAGCCACAACTTTTTTTTACGATAATACACTTTGGGGTGAAAGGAGAAAAAATCAAAATAAAAGACGACGAAAAATTATAAGGGGGAAACAAGGAATACAAAAACAATAAGTTATGGAGCATGAAGTTGTTGTGTTTGGGAATCTGTGATAGGACTACATGTCGAGGAACATTATCTTCTGTGGCAACTTACAAGGTGATTTCCACTAACCACTCTGCATAGCCAAGTTCATCTCGAGTGTTTCGAGCGAACCTTTCTTTTATGTCTGCGGGAGGAGTCAACAGCTGATGTGGTAATTGACGGATCTGCTTGAGGACGTCTGCAAATATATTGATTCGGGGTTCAGAAGCACTCTCTGGCCAAATCTCCGGGTCAAGGTAGTTGGCGATAGCTGTATTCGCTTGGTTCATGGATTGCCGAACGGTGTTCGACTGAAGTCCTTGCTTTATTTGTTGGTAATGTAGCTCCATGCGATATATGGGTGCTGCAGTTGATAGGGATGCAAAGAAAGTGATGAGCATGACAAGAAAAGAGCTGGCGAGATACATGTGTGCAATACGGGGAAAGGTGACTATAACCCAAGCACGAAAAGAAAAATGAACAATGTAGAAAAGTACGATGGAAATAAGAATAAAAAAAGCTTATAAGGTAGTGAGTGTTTCGTAATTATTATTTTTTTTCTGTCAAAAAATCAGTAAAGAAAAGAAAAAAAGGGATATGAGACCAGGAGAGCGCGAGGTATTGATGATTTCCGGAAAGATGAGTAAAGACAGAGGCAATCAAGGGGAAAGGAGTTTATAGCCGTCCATTGCGGAGGCGGTTAGGGCAGATGGAAATGTTCAAAGTAAGCTAAGGTCAGGCAGGCAGGCTCAACAGCCAAATGATGCAGTACAATGTTAACGTATGCGGCATATATTTAGGTCATTTAACGAAAATGGTATCATCCATGGAGCAACTCATCCAACACACATTATGGTCTTTTTTATCCCTCAGGGCGAACGAAGATGTTGTGGCACCAGTTTCAAAACAAAGGCTCATGATAGATCGAGCATGCTACCGCCAAAAAAACCAAAAAAGTAAGCTTTCGGGATAGGCTTTCTTTCCATCTCCCCTTACAGGGATTCACCATGACGCACACCCGGCAAAGACATCGGTAAAGCACATGCAGTTTGCATACGCACTGAACAACTGCATGCAAGCAAGGAGAGTACAATGCGAAATGATGAGTGCCCTGGACGCTCTATCGAATGAAGAGGCAAAACCTGCGGGGCAGAGTGAATCCGTCATTCCAGAGCTTTCAAACTTGTGTAAATGGAAACGTCACGAGGCACCAAGTTGGCTGCTGCCCATTGTGGAAATAATGCGATACCTCCATTGCCTAAACGTAACATCCAGGCTGTAGGGATAATTATAGGGGACAGGGCATGCCGTCCCCTTATTGCCAGAGCCAACCGATACCAGCGGCCAATATGACGATAGGAAAGTGATAGTACTGAAGGCTATATTGACAGTGATTTTATTTGTCCCTGAAACAATGATTGCGGTTTAACATTGATACGCAGTTTGAGAATGAACTTTTGTCATGGGAGTTGGTTTGTTTTGTTTGGATAATATTTTTTTTTTCTTTGATTTTTATGGTTCCTTTATTTGTGATTATGGTTTTGTGCTTGGTGGGCACGTCTAATGATCAATGGGGTTGGTTTAACGAGTTGGGAGGTAGAAGATATCAATACAGTATAGGAGGGTAAGAGTATGAAAATGCATGCATCAAATACAACATAGACATATTCACTCAATGATCGCTACTTTAGAGGCAAAGCTCGCTATAACGTTTCGGATCGAGGAAATATAGAAAAGAAAAAACGGCCTAGAAATCACCATGACCTTGGCAACACTTATGCTTTCTGGACTCTCTTGTAGATCAAGGCTCCAACAGCAACAGCAGCAACAGCAACGGCGACGGAGGTAGCAATGGTCCATGATTTCTTTGATCTCTTCTCGTGAGACTTGGGTAATCCAGCGGGCTCAGGGACATTGATCTCGCCGCGCAATAAAGTAGGAGCCAACAAGTGCTTTTGCGACAATTCCTCAACTTCATCAAACAACGCAATGTTCAATTGGAAAGACTTTACAGCTTCAGTCACCACCAAATCTGTTCGATGAATAAGTGTTAGTGAGTATTCGTTTGAGGTCAGCAGTTTCATCCTGTTTCAAGTTACCTCTGGTGGGAGCATCGACTTTGGCAGCGTTAAGACGTTCTCTGTACATCTCCTTGAACTCAGGTACATTGCCGATGGCTTCAAAATGATAAAAGTTCAATCCTTCGGTGGTATCCCATTCGGCATCTTTCTCGGACAAATGGAAAATATGAGTCTTCAATCTCTTTGCCAAAATCTGACCACCTATTGGGAGGTAAAGAAAAAAAGGTTCAAAGGTCAGCTGAGTAGCAAGCATAGCGAACTACAGACATGTGTTAGCGTGCTCACCTGAAAGATCTCCCAAATATCGAGAATAGCTGTGAGCAATCAACAATGCAGGGTTCTTTGCGCAAGCTGACTCCATGGCGTCCACATATTCCTTGACTGCAGGAGTCATTTTATCCAAGGCAATGAGATCTGGAACCTGGTCTTTGCCATAGTAGTATTCAAGATCTAGGGATTGGCAGCAAGTGTTAGGATAACAGAAAAAAGCATGCTGCCGATATTTGAATATTTTTCCATTACCTTGCAGCAAAGACTGCTTACGATTGACCTCAGTAGGGAAGTAAATAAGCTTCACAGTAGGATGCTCTTTATGTTTCTCAAGGAGCCCTTCCATGGAGCTGCAAACATGAAAACGATCATTTTTTTTTGTTTAGAAAGTGTTGTCAGCGGTATGAGACTGTAGACTATACATACTTGTAAACAAAGTACAGTGAGTTGATGTATCGTCCATATTCGTCGCGATTGATTTGACCGCGGAGGAAGCGCCTGTGAACGATGGTTAGTCATTGAGAGAGACAACAGTGCTAATTAAGACAAGACCTACTTTGTGAAGACAGAGTTCTCGGCGGCTTTGTGGACGGCTTTGGTTCCTTCACGCATAGCACCTGCAAGTTGAGGATCTTCCAAAAATACAATGGGATCAGGCTGCTTGTGGGCAGAGTGACCATCTTGAATGATATCAGACTCTTGACGAATTTGGCTCAAGAAAGCATTCAAAGCTTGGACAAGAAGCTCTCCTTCATGACAAGATGGTAGCTCTAATTCAGGAGTTAGACACCCACGTTAATTTAAGGGGAAGAAGGGCAGACATGATCATTACCGTGCGGGTTAATAAGAGGATGTTCTTTGGGGACAGACTCAATCAGAACGGCCAGCTCTTCCTTTGACTTGTCAGAAAAGGGACAACCTAAAATTTCATTGGTCAGGGCAAAGTCAGGTTTGGTATGAAAGCTTAAGTTGTTTCACATACCTTCTTGGAAAGCCGGGCTAATTCAAAGAGAGCAATGGCAGAGTCGTTAGGAAAGTGTGTTTAGGCAGCGCAGCCATCATGGACCATGTAACAGAATGACCTACCATTTCGAAATGTCGCCAACGCTGGCAGCCAATGTATTGAATTCTTCGGTCTTGGCGTATGGACAGCCGGAAGCGAAAGCAGGGCACTTCTTCTTCAGATCATCATAGTTGTCTGAAATCATATCGAGGCCGGGGTGAGGAGGCATCATGGGCGGCATTGTATTTCCGGAACCTTCTGGCATTGTACGAGTAGAAAGGTGAGAAATGTGGAGAATCCAAGGAACAAAGGACGGAATTTCCCAATCATGAGGAAATCACCTGATTTCGTTATCAGATTTTCCGTCGGTCTGTTAACCAACAAGCAGTGTCCCCAGCAGCATTAAAGTATATGACCTTCTTATACAGACCAATGCTATCCTGGATTGGAGCGGTTGTACCGAGTCATATTCACCAATCCCTCCAGGCTAAATGGTTCGGCCTTTCTTTCCAGATGGGTTGCTCTTTCATACGCACCTTATTGGTCTACTTACTTCCGAGTACTTTTTGCTTCCACCTGGACTAGAATTAGAGGTTCCGCATTCCGACCCTGAATGAATATCGAGCAGCCATGTAAAAATAACTTCATAATGTGTTGTTTATTTCTTTCATGTTTTCTTTGCCTTCATCTTAAACAACCTGTTTTCACGTAAAAGGTAGCCAAAACATAATCCCAACCGATGTGGATAGCCACGCCAATAAAACAGTATGTACATGCTCCTGGGATTCTGCATGCCATCCAGGAACCAAAAAAAAAAAAAAAAAAGAAAAAGGTGATGCAATTTCTATGATAAAGTTGGATTTGAAGACTATGAAAAAGATGAATGCATGCGCCAGTAAAATAACTCACAAAAAAAGAATTGAAGGAAGTAAGCCAAAGGGGAAGCACCATGGTATAAAGTTCCGGAGCGGCATCCATTAATTATCTGGCGTTTGAGGGACCCATTCATCCATCAAGTATCGCATCATACTCTCTTCGTTCTTTGGTTCTGCATGATCGTCACCCAGGGTATCCAAAGCCATGTCACTATCTTCCACCATAGCAGACGGAGTGTCGGATGCAGGACTGAAGGAAGAAGGCGATGACGATGATCCTGATGCCGCGGTGGCAGCAGCTGCTGATAGTTTGGCGGACTCGGTGGATGCGGTTTGAGCTGTCCCGTCTGTCAAAGGACTATACGTCATAGGCAGCAACTGAGATCGGGTATTGGCACGCGCTCGTCTACGTGAGAGGGACAATTTGTCATCCGAGAGTCCTTCAATCGTCATTTGTTTTGAAGAATCAGATATAGTATGTCTTCGGTGATGACCGATGGTGGCAGGTCTTCTCTGGGTTGAGTAAGGGGTTGCCCTTGAACTGGAGGTCGTTCGTGAAGGAGTTGGCCCGCCAGGATTAGAACTGGAAGATCGGTTGACAGATCCACCATCGTTAGGCAGCAACTGATGTGAGTAGGAACCATACATCATCAAAGGGTCGGACGCAGCCACGCTATTTTGCAGTTGTGAGGTGGGCCGTGACTGCTGTTGTTGTGGGTATGCGTACATGGGAGCGGTGCCTTGCGACCAGGTAGACGCACGTCCCGACCCGCCACTTCCCATCCGGTAAGTTGCAGATTGTGTCCGCATAGGCACAGGGCTGTTCATCATGGCCGCTTGCATAGCGGCTGCTGATGAATCATCGTACGGACGTTGGAAATGAGGAGGTAGGTGGTTTAGAAAGCGAGAATGCACCGTTGGATCCATCACGCCACCACTTTGTCCGCCTGACATCTGTTGTGGTGATGCAGGGTATCCACGCCACTGAGGTGGTTGTTGAAACATAGCGGCAAACCGACTGGCAGCATCATTCCCCATGAGAGCAACGCTGGATTGCATCAGCATGGAATACGGTGCTGGGGTATGAGAAGGTTGGGGAGAAATTGCGCTCATGCGTCGATCCGTTCCTGCCACGGACATTGGAATATTAGACCCCATTCTTGGTAAGCCACCACTATTCTGGCGCATCGTCATGGTTGGGCCAGAATTGCGTCTTTGTTGCTGCTGCGCCCTTGTTTGACGACCTGTGCTTTGCGTCGAGGTTGGGGCAGGGATCGATGCAGCGGGGGTAACCTGTCGCTCCTGAACGCCAGGTGAACCAGTGGTATCGGATGGATTCACTGCCATTTGACCATATAAAAAGGTCAGTTCGGCATCTTTGAACCTTGTTTGAAATTCCAGGGACGGTGATTCCATAGCAATGTCCCGCAACAGGGAAAGAGTTAATTCGTACTGCTCTTTGGATACCTGAGCCATTTGGTCAGAGACAGAAGTATTCATTAGACTACTATGTACAGTGATGGCGGTCGTCAGACAATGGATGGTGTGTTGGGCACCTCGAATACATCGCATAAACTGTTGGGTGTCGGCTTGGTTCACAAAGTCAGATACGATATGGGTGATATGAGATGCAGACGCTGCACAGATTTCACGGTGTGGATAAGAGGCGTCGAGTTCTTCCAGCTGTATTAAGGGATACATAGTGTATGGGCGATGAAGCAAAATGACCGCCAGATGGTATGTCATGTGTAAAAAGGCGGCGAAAGGGGAGGAAAAAGTAGCTTTAGCCGAAGGGTAAGACGGCTCACAGTTGGATGGCATATACACCAAGGATGACGGTAACGACTGAAGAAAGTTATCCAGGTTGACCCGACATGTCAAGAACCGAGTATTTTCTTCCAGTATTTGACGTTTACTTCTCTGCACTGAGGGTTTTCGTCTACCCGCCATCAAACGAACGAATTTGAGGGTTGAACCGAGGATCTTGGCCAGCTGAAACATCCACCGATGATGATCTATGATGGTTTGTTCGACTGCATCCTCTTCGGTATTTATAGGGGGATCTTCTGGGGTGAAGTCGATATCCATGAAGCCTGGCTCTCGTCCCTGCTCGACGCTACGTGACCAAAATAAAAAAAAAAAGATGATCAGATGTAGGCTCCAAACGACTCATGGAGGGTCCACCCTAATTTGCCCCTTACCTCATCATCATATCGTAGACATAGGCCATCCAAAAAGTACGTTTTCCAACTTCCAGTTCGATAACATCGGTAGTGTATTTGGGGGGATATATAGGACCAAGGTCATTCCACATCTGTACGACCATCTGCATGTACAGGGAAGGTCTACAAAAGAAACCAGGTCTTCGATGGTATTCTTGATATTTGATTAATAATAGCAGGGCTTGAATGGTGGATATGCGGGGTGTATCGGCGTAATCGTCAATGAGATAAAATGCTCGTTGATAGAATTGAATGCCTGGGGCTCCTGGGGTAGCCAGAGGTGGACGATGCCAAATAGCCGCAACAGCACACATGGCATTCAGTAAAATCAGCGAATGGGTGGCGTTTCGATCGTTCAAGCGAGCGTAAAAGGATGATTTGTGTAGCAATGGAAAATGGGGATGAACCGCATCAAAATAGGTATCTATGAGTTCAGGAGGGATGACGGCAAAGGACGAAAGCATGGGGGTATCTGATAAATGCGGCAACGTTCGCTCCAGTAACTGGTGGTCTTGGGTATTGGATTCGTCTACATACATGGCTTGGCCAATGTCACCGATACACATGGGACCCGATATGTCTGTGTAAATATCTGTAGGAACAGAGTCTATGGGGGAGGGGAGGATTAGAACCAAGCGCTTGGGGATAGACATGCTGCTATGAAACCTAGCGTACCATACTTGGGTTGATCCCAGTCTGCCTCATCGTCATCGCCCATGGCTCTATGCTCATCGTTTGACTTTTCCAGAAAAGTCAAAGCTTTTTCAACCATCCGTAATCGTGTTTCCAATAACTCTACATACTGCTTAGGAGGACCACGTCGTGGGGCAGATTTGACAAAGATACATGGAGTTTCCGACTTGCGACATCGATAGCATGGCTGAGCACCATCACATTTTACCTGGTATCAAAAAACAGTGTATTTAGACGGCATTAGCCAATGTTTTGAGGCCAGCCCAAAGTCTCAGACATTGCAATAAAACCTACCTTTCTTTTACGACATTCATCGCACGCCCGGCTGATCTTGATTCGCTTTGTGCCTGAAGGTTTCTGACGCGCTTGAGCTTCAACAGGAGCTGGACTCAGTGAAGTGTTTTCCATTATTGCATCCTGGCCTGGAGGGTATATGAGGTATCCACGCTTTCAACAAAACCAAACAATGAGCAATAAGATCCTCCTCAATGTAAGGTGAAAAGAGAAAAAAAAACTGGAGAGAGAAAAAGAAAAAGGACAGGAAAAAAAATGTGTGACGAACGCCGCTTTATGTTGCTGCTGAGTTGAAGGGCACCCCCCAACCAAACCCACGCTGTTGCTACACTTTCACAAAAATTAAAAGAAAAAGGAAACCAAACATCACTATTTTCTTTATTGGTTATGGGATCTATGAGGCTTCATAGGGCGTGGTGGTGGTGGTTGTGTGGTTTTCAAGAATGCCGGTTGACTCAAGTTGATGACTGAGAATGCAGGAACCGTCATGCCACGGAAAGGAGAGCATTGGCCGCCCATAGTGGTTCCACCCATGAAAGTCTGGTCAAACACTACTTGGACATGCTTATCTTCAAATCCAATCACCGTGCCTCTTAGACCGAGCGGGACACCTCCGGAATCTTGAGCAAAGACAACGCGATCACCGAGCTCAAACGCTTGATTCTGTAGTTTGTAAGGTGCATGCGCCGGTTTGAGCAGAACATGACGGGGAATGTTCTTGACGATCACTCTTCGGAACTCTAGATTCTCCCAAACTTCGTTGTACTTGATGGCTTCCTGCTCTATTTGTTGGACAATATCCTATAAACGGATCATAGCATCATTTGTAAGTCAGCTTTCTTTCTCCATCATGCCGCCAGCTCACTTAAACCCCCGCATGGTTTCTTAACATACCGAATCAAGTCGATCCACATCAAGCGCTACTCTGGGAAGATCGGCAATGCCTTTAGACTTCAACCATTGCTTGATTTCCATCATCTTCTTCATTGCTTCAGGTTCAGGATAGAATTGTCTGGGCTGGTAAATTTCACCTGATAGGAGTACAAATTAGTGATGGCATGTCAACCGCATGGTCACAGCACAATGTCTAACCTTGCTGCGCTTGCTTGTCTAATTGCCTAAAGAAATCGGGGAATTGCTTTTTGTATTCAGTCAACAAGTCAATGGCCTTGGAAGAGTACTCCCAAACATTGTTGGTCTTCCTAGTATAGCCAACCACCTTTTGTTGTTTGGCTTCAAACTTGAGATTGAGTCCAAGGTTGGCCTTATCTGGGCTTAATTGCACTGAAAGGGACGAGGTAATTTTAGACAATGCCAATGATGAGATGCCGATCTTTTTGGCGACGACATAGGCAGGAATCCAGCGTGTCTTGTGTTCACTAATTATATCCCTTCCAAATGTGGGTTCGGTCAGATAGTGTTCATCGTTTGGCACCAATATCTTGAGCGCAACGGTATCCTCAGCATGACCAATCACCGTAGCCAGTGTTCCATAGAATTTGGCTCCTAAGAAGAACACATCACTTTTGGTGGGGAAGTCTTCCTCCACAGGACGAGAAGGTTGCTCGATGTAACGTCTGTCTTCATTTTCCACTTTAAGAACTGAGGTTTGCAGTGGAAGGATCGTTGCCTGATTAGGATGGTCATAATCTTTCAAAAGTGCACCATCATCCATTCTGCGCATGCCCTTGAGAAGACGAACATGGACACAAACGTCCACATGACCAATAATGCATGCAAATCGTTTGCTTGCCATGTACTCGAAGCGATCTGATCGCTTGCGCCACCAATCCACTTCATTCGCGGGCATAGGAGTTCGAAGAACGAGTCTCTTACGATCACGCATGGTGTGTTCATACTTGAATTTTTCGTCTGATACTGCCTGCACAAACGATTCTTGCAGGAATGGATAGCCTAGATACAAAAAGGTGTAAGACGTCAACATTATTGGTTTTTCAAATCAGAGCATGGACTCACCAACGAAAAGCCTCTTGCCAACGATTCTTTTAGCAATTTCTTGTGTGTCCATGCCTTCCCACATGTTTTGGAGATTGACGACGACCGATTCGTTTCTACGCAACGGATCAGAATGGGAATATTAATATTAGTCAGCAGTTGTCAAAAACCCGATGGTTACTTACTTCGATTCCTGTTGAAATACATTGACATTATGGTGCACAAGGAAACCCGTATGTGGGATAGTGTGCAGCGTAGGAAATCCTGCGAGCGCGCTGATACCCACGTTGGTTTCCTTGAGTAAAGTCTTTCTCAATTTCAATCCTCCGTCTAGGCTTGGAAGGTGATAGTCGACCTGTTTGGCAAGACAGTTATGAATGTCCGGGAATACACCAGGGAGTGGGCTAGGGTACAATGTACCGTTGCCATTCTCGTCTTGCGTATTCTCCAAATTGGCGTCGTAAAAGATACGGTGATTTTGGCCGATTCTTTCCATGGAAGCTTCATCCTTGGTCAGACGGTGCTCGCGAGATTTCATAGCACTCAATAAACGCTCTTCGTCGATGAACGGAATCTTCACGATAGCTTCCCAATCTTGCTTTTTGCCATTCATATCCAGCTCAAAATCGGTAGGATAGAAGTCAATAATGGGTGAGGTGGGATCCGTCATCAAATCCTGCGCGCAAAAAAAAAAAAAAACGGTGCATCAGTTATTGGCAGTACGACACGCGGAATTTGGCAGGCACACTTACTCTATAGGCAGCAGGTAACAACTTCCTGCTTAAGCTTGGTAGTACACCCATAAGCTGTTCATAAGCCTTGAAAGGCTTGCCGAGAGTAAACTCCAAATCCGAGAAGCGGTCAAGATCTTTGAGATCAGATATCATGGGTGCGTAGTGGTAAGGATAGAACCATCCCCAGGAGGCTACACCATTATAATAATAGTACAGGACCCATTGGATACCTTCGATATAGGATCGAACTAGTTTGTCCATTTGCTCCTTTTTATCGTAGTCGATACTCATTTTTGGCTATAGCACACACACAAAAAAAAAAGGATAAGAACCAGAAGAGCAATACATAAAAATGCAAAATAACTCACCCCATAGTAATTCACCTTCCAGTCGTGCATGATTTCCTCTTTTCGTTGCGATTCCTGTAAGTCACGCTGTTCCTCTGTCACAACATCTTCAATGACTTCAGCAGTCTCATATTTGGCCAACACGCGTTGTCTAGCGTCAAGATCTTCTTCGTCTTCCGTTTCATCCTCTTCTCCTTCCTCATTCTCCGGGAAATCAATGTAAACATGTCGAGTGTCACCGTCGCCCTCGTACTCTACAGCATAATGCAATCCGAGATCGGTGGCCACGGTTTCAACAAAGTGCCTGTCACCAGCCTTCAGATGCGAGGGGAAGTGAAGAGCTGGAACTTCATGGCCGCGACGATTGAGCGAAAACTCCTTAATTTGTTGAAGGATAGCTTGTTGTCGCTTGGTGATGACTAGTGGTTATATATAAAAAAAAAAATGGAAATCCCGTTTGTAAATACAACATGGCCTTGACATCCGCGCATAATCAATTTCCGCGAACGGTTCATTTACCGAGTTTTTTCTTGTTGGGTTTCTTTCGTGATCCACTATCCAACTTAGCCCTCTCCATTCGAGAAATGAGCTCCTCTTCGGTGAAACCTTGTTCTTGCTTTCCACGCAAGAAGTTCGCATCCGCCATTTCCGACTCAAATAGGTCAGATTCGAACTTGTCGGCTAGACGACCCAGTAGAATCTCCAACTTCTTCATATCGACTTTACCGCCATCATTGATATATCCACCCATCACTGGTAGGACCAGTTTGTATAAATTAAACATGAGGCTGAGCGCACCTTCGGCGATGTGAAGATTCGGTAGATGAGGCAAGAAATCGTTGCCAACAAACAATGCCAAAAGAATGAAATCGTCAATGATGCGTTCCAGATCGTATTCGAATGTTAACGTTTCCTTGAGAGACTGGAATTCGATGTCTAGGTACTCTCGCAGGAGGGACAAATGCATAAGGTAAAAGTTTTGGAGATCAACGCTAAGGAAGGGAAAATGGGGCCAACCCATTCGTTGAGTAAGGAAGGCATGAGGTTGCACACTTAAAAACCCCAACGCTAGATAATATCACTCACGTCTTCTTTGCTTTTTGGGCTTGTCGTCCAAACACTACTTCCTCACGTAGCAGTGCAAAGTGTGGGTCATGGCTGAGCAAGCCCAACATAACGAGATCAGCATCCAAACCATACAAACAGTGTCGAGTGTTGGGATTGTAATCAGGTTGAGCTTTGGACAATCGAATGAAGTCCATAATTTTATGCTCTCCTTCACCAGGAACTTCGGGACCAGAGAGGATGATGTCTATGCCACGCCAGTTGGCATCCTCTGAGACCTTTTTGTTGATGAAATATTGCAACTCCTTTGTCAGCTTGATCATGAATTCAGTGCCTAAAAAGGAGTTCATAAGAAGAGAGCAACATTAGCTCAATCCCACTCAATAGGTATGATCCCTTTTCATGGCCCTTACCTGGTGTGATACAGTTACTATCAAATGGAGGCTCATCTGGCAAATCCTCGCCTTTTGCCAAAGCTCGTCTCTTTAAATCCTCTGCATCCTTTGCAGTTCTGAATCTTCTAGAGCGCTGCTGGTTCATCTTTGCTCTAGGAGCAACACCATCAATGGCCAAGAAGAAGGTCTTTCTAGGCTTGATTTTTCTGAACAGGTGATCAACATAGTTGAAGATAGCGAGCCAGATCTGTTCTTCGCTAATACGGAAGTGAGCATCGTCTGAATTATTATGCGAGCAGTTATGGATAATGCCATTCATGTCCAAGTACAGGTTATCTACAAAAAAGTGTCGGGTCAGTTAAAAAGTCAAAAAGTACTACGCGATTTTTTGCATGTGTACATTACCAAATTCAGGGATTCGGTTCTCAGTAATGAGCTGAGAGCATAGTGGATAGCGTTCGCTGATTGAAACACCAGGTCAGAATCAAGGGGTACTATAGACTATTAGTATGAACAGTGACGCTACCTCATCCATCTGAAGAACTTGGGAACTCCCATAACGCAGTTGGTACAATAGAAAGCAGTGCAAAGGAAAATTGAGGGAGAAAGAAAGTCATGCTACCCAGCGCGGTCGGCGACTGAAAAACGGGACTTCTTTGTTCAAACATACTGGTTCATTTATTACGAGGGGCGGGCGTGTTCTAAAAATTATTTCTATTATTTGGCGCATTCGCGAAGAGCTTCATCAGCCGAGCCTTGTTTTTCAGCTTGTTCTTTGATTTGGTCTCGTAAATTGACTTGCTTGGAGGAGAACACATCGGAGAATAGATGGTTTGCATCTCGGTGGAGAGCTTCGTCTGCACGGACGGCAACGACAACGTCTCGTACACTGGCTTCAGGATGTAAATTGTAGTATTCTGTTGGAAAAGTGGTCAGCTTCGTCCCCAACAAATTAAAAATATTCATGAAGGTGCCATGCTTACCAAGTGCTATTTGAGGAGCTTTCTTGTTTTCAATGATGCCCTTGTCAATGGCATCCAAGAAATGCGTATAGGATATAACAGCTTCTTCTTCAAGGTAACCAGCGATACGATGGCAAAGTCTAGGCGAAATCATGTAGCCGAGGAAATAGGCGTTGAAAAATACACCTTGAGCACCTAAAACCAACAGTCTATTCCAGGCATTGGGTTGCAGGCATTTCATCCAAATCTGATAACAAATAAATGTGTCAAAAAAAAAAAAGGGTATGCATAGGTAAAAATAATTCCTCCCATTTGCTTACCATAAGGTGCATTCGCTCGTTCTCGGCCTCATGGAGCAGATGACTGATGAAACCTCCATCGTGTGTCATTTTTCGTAATGAACGAAGGTGTCGTTGCATCGCGCCGACCATACCAGGAACTGACGCCAGCCAGAACAAAAAAAAAGAAACATTGGTTAGTTTGTTGTTGCATAAAAATCACAACATCATTACACGACACTCAGCCAAAAATTCTCAAGCCAAATTTCCCTACCTGCAGCAATAGTTTCTAGCATAACGCTTCTCATGTAATGGTCGTCCCGGAAATAGGTGTCGGGAAGGATTCTTAAAAGTTTCACCAGTCGAAAGGCCAGCTTATCACTGAATGATGTAGGAACATGATGACTTCCAAGGCCAATATCCATTTTTTCAAGCACGTCGGTAGTGATCTTTTGCGGGTTATCAGCAAATTCATGTCGCATGGGTACAGGATGGCTATTTGCTAATTCGCGAGCAATATCGTCTGGTATACTCGCGATAGGGCGCATCTCATTGGGGCCGCGAAGAACACTGGATAGAGAGCCAAAGCACCGAACAGAGGTTCGGGCAATGTGAGGGGAGAGCGTTCGCATACCCGTGAAGGCAGCGTTTCTCGAGACAGCAGGTAGCATTTTTTGTTTTGAAAGAGTTGGGTAAAGTTATGAATGGAAGCTGGTGCCCAATGCTTTTTTATACCGTTGATCTGATTTTTGGGCTAATGGATGACTAGGAAATTTGCTCAGAATTTCAAGTAGCGCACGCAAAGGTTACGGAGTCGTCAAATTTAGGCAGCTGGTTTCAATTTGTGTGACTCATGGGTGCCTCATGTCTGAACCTCTAAGCCAGCTTTTTGCTTCCCACCTCTTTCAAGGAAATTATAGCTTTGATCTTTATAATGGAGAACAAAATCCCGGGCATCATATAAAATTTACTCGCTTGATTTTACTGTAAAAGTGAAGCCGAAGCGTAGATCCGTCGCTCTCAACCCTCGGGTCCACACCTCAGGGAAAATTCGGGTTCGGATAGCTCAGCCTCGCACACGGCCATTCCGTTGCTTAAATTGTACCTCACAGTCAGGCAAGTGATGAAATTGAGAGTGACTGGACATGAGATGACTTTATGAATTGTAGATGGGAATAGGCAAAATTGTTTATTTTTACGCATTGATTTGACAATGTTATGCTGACTGATAATCAATCACTTCACATCTCTTGGGATCCACTGTAACCAAGCGCTACAAGAGACGACAAAAATAAAATACTTGCAAGATAGCGGAATGATACATTGGTAGAGGAGAGGTTTTTTGTGGGTTGTCTACAATTTGTGATTGAAAGCATGGAAGGGTTTGGATTTTTTCTTTTTTTTTTTTTTTTAAAAAAAAAAAAGCAGTTACAAGAATGGGTACAGATGAAGCTTAAGGAGAGGGAGTATCTTGACCACGAAGACCAGCGGTTGCCAAGCATTGGTTAACGACTTCAAGAAGATGGTCGTTCTCCAGAGCGGCAGCTACTCGTTCCTTATCGTTTAGTTGTTTATTAACGGCGTTTTCTGATTGGTGGGTTCCATTGCGCACTCGGATATCCACCTTAAATCTATCCGGCAAGCTGCGCAACAATCGCACCCGAATGCACAGCCCAATAAGAGTGGCCATGGAGCAATGAGGGATGGTAGGAGTGAATTCTACCAACACACGGCTTGTTTCATCGCTAACGGTAATATGTTCACACTGGGTGACATTGAGCTGCTCAAGTGTCAAAGGATGCTCGGGATCGGAGATGGATCGAATAAGGTCGAAGATTTCTTGAGCATCAATAGGATCCTCGAAGCTGTCGTCCTGCTCCTCAAATGTGAGAATGCGCTGTGAGGTTTTGGAGGGACTGTAAACAGTTGGATTGGCGTTTATGAGTGTTTGTGCCATGTTGCGTTTCTAGTGAATGCCGAACAGTCTGTCTGACAAATTCAATCTTACTCCATAAAAAAAAAAGTCGTCCTGCCACGTGATGTGCGCTCACCAATCCGAAGTCGATCAATTTGACAGAAATGGTTATCAAATGGGGGGAGGGGAATCAAAATGCTGTTATTGCATGCTAAGATGGCTCCTTGTAGCGTTCTATAATTGCAGATAGTACCAACATTGTACCACAGCCAAGACTTGTTACAGAGTCTTTCCTTGGGCCCCCAGTGACGGAAAAAAAGAAAGCAAGAGATTTTTCTTTGTTGAAAAAAAGAGGAAGGAGACTATATAATACAACAGGGGAAGCTGTGAATGGGATCCTCATTTTGCAGGATTACCGTATACTTGTACTAAACAACTCATTCAAGTCTGATCGAAACTGTAGTCGTCATTGTTGTTGAAGAAGACATCCAAGTCAAAGTTATCATCCAGAAGCGGCACATTGCTATCAAACATCAAGGTATCGTCCGCCAAAAAGTTATTGGTCTGCAAGTACAACATGCGTTAACACCCTATTCGCGAACCTCTTCTTCTCGACGTGTGCTTTACCTCTGTGTTCTCATTATCGCCAGACTTGTACGCATTGGCCATCACATCGGTTTTACCATCTTGGCTCGACATACCAGCATTAATAGCCGCTGCATTTTGAGCGGCTGAGGCGGCTATCTGAGCTGGGGTGGTAGCATCCGGTGGTTTGGAAACAGTCGTTTGTTCGGGAGATACGATATGACCTGGCACAGGCGTCGATGAAGGCGTGCTCGCTGATGCCTTGGCCTGGTTTGCTTTGGTCTTGGTGGCCGGTGATGCCTTGGGCTTTGGCTATGTAGACAAAGGAGATGAATACCCTTTTGAAAAAAGACAACATCATGGTAGATGTAGACTTACCGTATCGGCTGATGGTGTAGGTGTACCAGCTCCCATCATCCCAGGCACCATATTAGGTTGCATACCATTGACGGGTGGGGGTCGATTGTTTCGCAAAGCCATAGCGGCGGCTACTTGGGCTTGTGCTTGAGCATGTGCTTGGGCCTGAGCGTGTTGTGCCTGAGCATGGACTTGTGCTTGAGCATGAGCTTGCGCTTGTGCTTGCATCTGTTGAGCTCTCATCTGCGCATCCCCTCCCATGACCTAAAAGTAAAGAATGCCAACAAAAAGTGATGGTTAGCCGCCCGCCTCGTTTAGGACCCTCCAACATTCGAAATGACATTTACCTGGTTCATTCCCATATGATAGAGCTGTTGCTGTTGCATCAGTTGAGCGGTGGTGGTAGGGGGTGCAGCACCTCGAAGAACAGGGTTAGTAGACATGCCAGGAGGCATACCTGGCATCATTCCATTCATCATACCCATGGTGGCGGGGTGGTTCATACCAGCATAGCCAGCCATCATTTGCGCTCTGGCCATCATATGATTTGCAGGCATTTTGGGTGCAGTGGAATTGGCTGGGCTGCCCGCTGAGCCAGTGAGACCAGCATTCATGGTAGCATGGGTCATGGCGATTCGCTTTTCCAGGTCCATTTGAGACGCTTTGATTTGATCAGCCACGTTATTCATATCTGAATTCCCACTGGTATTGACAAGTTGAGTGCCTTGCATACCGTTCCCTCCTTGTGCATTATTAGACGCAACGATTGACGGTGATGGCAGCACCTGGCTGCTCATATGAGGTGTATTTCGACCACCGTTCGGTCCTCCGGCAACAGAAGGAGTCGGAGCTGCTGGACTTCTAGGCCCAGGTTGCTGTTGCATTCGCGGTGACATGCCCATCATACCAGGTTGCATGGCTTGTGGTGGCATACGGCCCATCATCATATTAGCTTGTCCGCGCTTTTGTTGTTCTATCATCATTTGTTGGTACTGCAGTGCGTTTTGGGGCATGTTCTGCTGCTGCTGCTGCTGCTGTCCTCCGGGGACAGATGCAAGTGGGTTATTGCCTACTGGAACATGCTGTATCGTTGGTGGTAACATATTGGCGGTCATTGGTTGACTTTTTGGTGACACCATGCTTGAGCTTTGGGTAACAGCCGCGTCTGCCATGGCCATTTTTTGCTGATTGGCCAGCTTTTCCTTGTATTGCATGATGGCTGTTTGTTTTTGAGCTTCACTGAAATTTGAATTTTGTATTGACCGTATCTGCAATAGGAAGAGAAGTGAGAAAAGGGATCGTCAAGAATACATCAACCTAGAGCTAACTTACCCCTAATTGATATTGATGCTGTATCATTTGCTGTTGCAAAGTCATGGGTGGCATCCTTGGTGTTTGACCAGTTGGTGGCTTATTGGCCATCTGCATACCTTGTAATGAAGCTATCATGAAAAAGACGATACCACGTTTAGTCAAGACCCCCTTCATCGATGACAGCATTGTTTCCTTTCCTACCTCGTCTTCTGTTGAGCATAGCTTGTTGAGCGGCTGCTGCTGCTGCTGAGAGAGCCGCTGATGGCTGTGATTGCTGTAATTCATCTGCCGGGTTCGCAGGTGCAGCTTGCATACCGTCCTGCGGTGATGGCTTCTGACGTTTATTGGGCGAAGCTGTCGGAGATGGAGAGCTCAATTGACCGGGGTCTTCCTGAGAACGTTTGGACTAGACGGCTGGTTAGCAATGAGGCGAAAGAATAGTGTGTGCATAGCACGAGAAAACACGTTGAATCTTACAAGTTTAGGGGTGGCAGCCGATTCTTGTCTATATCATGATTTAGGCCAATGGTGTCAGAACAATTAAAACTTATTAAACCCAGCAAATTATTGAGCGAACCAAAAACTTACCCAGCATTGGGTCTACGTTGATTTGCACGAGTGCCACCAAGCTGATTTCAAAAAATAGGAAAAAAAAATAGAGAGCAACATAGATTAGCGGCTATGGCCATTCCTAGACATTGGCGGCTCAACCATCACCTACATTATTCGCGTTGTCGGGCTGAAGGTCCATGTTCTCGAGCGGTGGGGCGCCACGTGCCATCTGTTGTTGCTGCTGAGTGACTACGGGAGAAGCAGTCGGACGTACCATTTGTTGCATATTGGATTGGTCCTGCGCTTGATACACTTGTTGAGCGGCGTGTTGTTGTAATCTCAAGAGTTGTTGCTGCTGAAGCATACCCAACATCTGCTGTCTTTTCAAACGCTAAAATAGTATTTGGTTGCAAGTGTTAGCCGCATTCAAAATATTATTCTATTTTATTTTGAGGAAATCAGGGGGTGTGGAGAGAGATTGGCTTACCTGTTGAGCTTCAACGTATGCAATAGCATCCCTGTTTGTACTCCTGTTGTTTTTAGCGGCAAAGACTTCCCAAAAAATCACCCACCATTCGTACAAGAAGCCTCCTGGTGCGTCGAAAGGTACCTTGACATTGGGTAGGTTGGCGGGTGTACGCTTTTTGCTTGAATGTGGGCTTTTATGTGGATGATCCACACGAGCACTATTATCCATGCTATCTAAGGCTGCTGATAGGCTATCCCCATTTTTCTTGGAGTCATTTGTGACCGTATTGGTGGTATTTATTTTTGACTCGTCTGCAAAAGCAAAAGCTGTGTCTTTGAAATTCATCTTGACGAGGTAATCGTATATATAGTCGTGCAATTGAGCGCGACTGTAAGCAAAACATGAGAGGAATCAGTGGTGTTCCATGGTGAAATGAAAGAGCCGTTTTATTTACTTACACTCCGTCATGCTCGCCTTGTGCTTGCCAAGCCATGACGGGAGAGAATGGCAGAAGGGTTTATATAAATGGTGAAGATCAAAAGGAAGCGCGGCTAACTGAAGAGCCTTTTTGCGTATATCAAAAGAATATCAAAGAAAAAGGAGGCGCTGGGGAGAGAGAGAGAGAGAAAGAGAGCGAGGGGAGAGGGAAAGAGACCAAGTTGAATTTCCAAGCGGCGGCCAATCAATCTCTTTGACCTGTACAACCCAACCAAAAGATGAATCAGCCAGATGTAGAATGGCCAAGGTGAAACTTAATGTCAAACCAACGCTTCTTCCCCGGAGGATGGTTTGGTAGCTAAATCAATTCATTCTTGTGTGCAGGGAACAAGGTCGCCTCAAGAACGTGTTACGCCTGAGCAATGATGTAACTTTGGCTCAGCTGAAGTATGTCGGAGGTGTCGATTTGAGCTTTCCATTGAACGACAGTGATCATGCCGTTGCTTGTGTCGTCGTTCTGGAATTTCCTTCGCTAAAATTGATCCATGCTTCGTATAAATGGGTTACTCTAACCCTTCCTTATATCCCGGGCTACCTGGCATTTAGGGAAGTAGGCCCGCTAGTGGAGTTATTAAATGATTTGAAAGCCACTCAGCCTGACATATATCCACAAGTTATCCTCGTTGATGGTATGGATATTTCTGGGAAGGATCGGCATAGTGTAGCATGCCATTGATTATTTTTTTTACCTCATTTTTTAATCGCACGCACATACTCGATCGTGGAAAAAAAAGGAAATGGTATCCTTCACCCGCGTCAATTTGGCCTAGCATGTCATTTGGGAGTTTTGTCCGACACTCCTTGCATCGGTGTTGCAAAAAATTTCCTCCATATCCCGGAAGAAGGTTCGGCTATGGAGATGGTGGAGGTGAAAGCTCGTTGCAAAAAGGCTCTACAAAAGCGAGGCGATACGGTAGACCTAATTGGAGCTTCTGGAGTTGTTTATGGAGTGGCACTGCGATCATCCGATGATGCTAAAAATCCTGTTTTTGTAAGTCAAGGTCATGGTGTCGATCTACCCACCGCTGTAGAAATCGTATTGGCCTGCAGCAAGTTCAAAAATGCCGAACCCATACGACAAGCAGATGGCCTTAGCCGCAAATACATCCGTGATCACAATTTGTCACGATAGAACCATAGGCATGCTCATGTCTCAACTTCAATAAACACTACGATTTCTTTATTCCTATATTATGCTGCTGATAACTCTGGTTTCCCGCAAATTTCTTGGTGAACGATCAATTTCTTATTTGACTTGCAAGAAGTCCATTGTGGAATAGCTATCCTGGCCGTGGGGTTTGATCTATGTAAATGAATACGCAAAAACTCGATGCTCGCCAGACAATTTATACGCAGGGTTTGAGTTGGGCAGGTTTGAAAGAAGAGTCGAATGTCAAAGCGCATTAAATGGCGCAAAATCAACTGTAAAGGGAAAAATAAATATGTGATGTCAACAAGCAGAGACAACACGGTGTTGATCGTTCACCGTATGAAAAAATTCGTTCTTACTGGAATATCGGACTGTGCTTGGTGATCACTTCCTATAACTGATGTCAAGGTGGTTGTCACTCCTGGCATCACGTCACTGAACAGCTGCTGAACCAAGTCAAAGTTTTGGGTCCAATTCACAAATTGATCACTTGCGATACCTAATATTGGCCGGGTTAACGGCTGGTGACATCCATGCTTATTCATGATGGGTTGTACCCAAGGGTCGAAGAGTATACCGCATCTAAACGGATTAAGTGGACTTCGAAGAAGCAGTGCCTGCAACGAAAAGGTATAATTTAATGTACTGCGATGGAAAAATGATTTAAAGTTGGTAGTGCTGAGCAAAAAGCTTTCTTTTGTTTTGTTTGTTATTTTTACTACTGACTTTATCGTATATTTGTGTGATGTAATAAAAAGTTTAGACTTACTGTGGTTGCTCCACCAAAGCTGTGGCCGGCCATGGTCATATTTTGCTGATCCAACCGACCACAAAAATCGTAAAGTACAGGGTCGCCCTTTAGACATGGTTGTTTTCCTGTATTTATTTCTCGCACAAGCTCCAGACAAATTTGTACCTCGGCAGCTCGAAATGTAATTTGGTCTTGAAACAAATCCCAATTTTCTCGATGTGTCTTTTCAAAGGGTATCCACTTTCCATCGGCACCTAAAGCAAGGCTTCCAGATCCGTCCCTGTGTTCGATAGCAAATACTATCAACCCATGACTAGCCAGCTGAGAACATAGATTGGAATATATCAAACGATTGCCGGCTTTGTAGTAGATTTGTGAAAGTATGAAAGTGAATGAAAAAATAAAAAGTTAGTATTCTATACGTCTGCTCGAATAAATATCATAATGTGTCAGAACTGTAGCCTTCAAGTTAGCTGTCATGGGATTGACACATTGTTTGCCACCTTACCCAAACCATGACTGAAAATGACAATCGGATAGGAAGCTTCTTCATCACTTAAAGGTGCATCCATATAGAAGTGAGTGCGTTTTTGAGCAGCGCGAGTTGCCAGAGCTTTGGCAATAAAACCAGGAATACCAACAAGATCACACAAGGCTGTCGGTAAACAATAAAATAAAATTAAAAAAAGGAGCAACAAAATAACGGTTATCATAAATGCTATGGTAATTTATCTCGCCAGAACTCCTTTAAAATTTAAATTTGTGTCTTCGGCTTACCTATACCGTAATGGTCACTGGTCAACCAGTTTGCTTTTGAAAAATAAGTGGACTTTTTGGAAACTGTTGTTGGGTAAAATATTCGGACATAGACAGAGTCCACCTTTGGATGCGTGAATTCTTTGCCGTCCAATTTTGTTGCATTAGAATCGTCAGACGACATGCTATTAGAGTCGAATCCATCGACTGCAAGCGTATAATTTATATCATGGCAGGCTACGGCATAGCTGCCCATTAATTTAGGAAAGTCGGCTAATATGGGCATGTTGAAAATGAAAGGAAGGGAGTGTAGGAGTGGTCAAGCGCCTTACCTGTGGAGACAGGACAAAAGCTGATTCAGACCAGCCTGAGATGAAGAAGAAAAGGAAGAAATGATGAGGAGATATGGCAAGACTTTTCTGCCATTATAAACACTGGCAAAATCTTGGCCGGCTAGTAATACGAAGCAAGAAGCATGTGTACAAGGATACGTTTCATGGAACGAAGAACTGCTTCTTGGATGGGGCTGCAATTTTGCAGAATATCGTCATGTACTATCAATGGCGGATGTTTCCGTATACGAGCAACGACAGCTGGTTAATGCGCATGCATAAATAGCCAAAACATTTCTCCACATATGGTGTAAGATCGGTCGTAACCTCGGTATGGGCACTCAGAACCAGATAACAATGTTGCATGGCAATTGCCCGGCTTTATACTAAATCATTCCGTAATGAACCGTTCCCTAAACTCGACATCTATGTAACATAAGACGCAATTCTATTTGAAGATAATGCGTCGGTGTTGAACGGCTTTCGCCATTATTTTGGAATGGGCCATTGTCGTAGTTGAGCGAATAACGAGGCGTTATATTTCTAACACGAGTCTCTAACCCATCAATAGTAGAAGAAAAAGGAAAGTATAAAATAGTAAACAACTCGTATATTTTTTGTATATTCTTGGAATGATGCGCGACGATTTCATATATCTATCTAAACAAGACCAGCCTCGGTCATAGCCTAGTGATGAAAGAATCATTAGGCATGGAAAACTCGGTAACAGATGGCCGTTCAAATCATTCCTATAGCTTACCTTCTTGAGCAAGACACCCATGTCGGCAGGGGACTTGGAGACAATGACATTTGCATTTTCCAAAGCACGCATCTTGTCTTGAGCACCACCCTTTCCACCTGAGATGATAGCACCAGCGTGACCTAAATGTTAAAAAAAAAAAAAAGAAAGGGTTAGATTTCGATCTGACGCGGTAGCAGCTCAAAATAACAACTTACCCATACGACGACCAGGGGGAGCAGTGAGACCAGCAATGAAGGAAACAACGGGCTTGGGCTTCTCTCTGGTGAGGTTATATTGCTTCAAGAATTCGGCAGCCTCTTCTTCAGCGGAACCACCGATTTCACCAATCATAACAATACCTACGAGGATACCAGGTTTAAAACCAACAACATTTTATACAAACATACCCAGCAAATATTGACTTACCTTCAGTAGCATCATCTTCCAAGAAGACTCTCAAGCAGTCAATGAAGTTGGTACCGTTCAAAGGATCACCACCAATACCGACGCAGAGAGTTTGACCGAGGCCAACCTGGGTAGTTTGGTTGACGGCCTCGTAGGTAAGGGTACCGGAGCGAGAGACGATACCAACGTTACCGCGCTTGTGAATGTGACCGGGCATGATACCAATTTTGCACTGCTCAGGAGCGATGATACCAGGGCAGTTGGGACCAACGAGACGAGACTTGTCTTGGGTCAAAAGAGCTTGCTTGACTCTGACCATATCGTGTTGAGGAATACCCTCAGTGATGGCAACAATCAAAGGAACTTCAGCTTCGATGGCTTCCAAGATGGCGGCAGCAGCGCCAGGAGGGGGAACGTAGATGACGGAAGCATCAGCCTTGGTTTCCTTGACAGCCTATAGTACGTAGGGTAAGTTAATATGGGTGGAAAACGCGCTAAAGTGATGACTCGCTGATGGATACATTACATCTCTGACAGAGGCAAAGACAGGGAGGCCAAGGTGGGTTTGACCGGCCTTCTTGGGGGAGATACCACCAACCATGTTTGTGCCGTATTCAATGGCTTGTTGCGAGTGGAAAGTACCCTGGTTGAGCAATGAGAGTTTAGCAAGGGGTATATGAACTGTAAGAAAATCTGGCGTTGAACATCAGATGACAGTACCTGCTTTCCAGTGAAACCTTGGCAGATGACCTTGGTGTTCTTGTTAATCATCAAGTTCTTGTAGGTGGAATCATATCCAGTAGTACCATAGGCACGGCGGGCAACTAAGTGGATGAGAAAGGGGAGTGGGTCAAATTAAAGTTCGAAAACAGGGATGTGATGAACGATAGAGCAAGTCAAAATGCGTACCTGAAACGGTAGCACGCAAAATGGATGAGTGCTTGGCTGCAAACATGTTGGCTGGAACGATGTAAGACGGTTGAAAATGGTAAACACAGGGTCTTTTCACCAGCTGCAAAAAATTTCCACGCTATTGGACCGGCGGTTCAAAATTTCTGCTTTTGACTCGAATTCAAAAGACAAAGCACCTTTGCTCAAAACCAGTGGCGTCACTATTTTAACTGAGTGAAATTTAACCTGGGGTCTGTCGATCGTGTGTGCGAAATACCATCGAGTACATAGTTATGAGACAGAAAGAAAAAAATCGAGAGAACTGTCTTGAGCGTTGGAGCATTGGTTTGAACAGGGGGATAAAAAAAGTTTGTGACACTGTAATAATTTCGCTGACAATTTTTTTTTACGTGTACTCAATCGACCGCCAGACCAGTTGGTACGAGCAACCATAACGCGGTGAGTTGAAGGTTATATCAAAAAGTATGCTTTGTATCGTCAGTCTTGGTTGCTACTCGTTCAAGTCGAGATAGACTTTTAAACGTTGGGTGCATCCCCCATTGTAGCACGTGATTGTCCTTTGAAGCGAAACTGGACGATAACCTTGTCAATATTAATAAGACATGACCAGGTTTGTTCTCATGTCGATGTGAGTGATTAGCATTGAGCTTATTTTTGTAGACATATAGCTACTTTTTGAAAACTTTGTTGGATGAAAATTTCGTGAGACACAACATTGATAGGACTGCGAGGTAAATCTGATATCGTGAGGATGATAAGAAAAAAAAAAAAATAGTAATACAAAAAGGAAATTCTCATTCCCACTGCAGCCACGGTAAATGCTTAATCTTGACGTTTGAAGAATGAAAGCGCGTATGAAATAGAAAGGTCGATGCTAGCGAGGTTCAAATAAGGTAAGAACACATCGTCACAGATGATTCCTTTTGATTTAAATATAAGCTGGTGGTCAATGTTAGCTGAAATACCCGACCGCCAACCATATCAAAAACACCAGCACGACTACCTTTCTTTTTTTTGTTTTTCGTTTGTGTATATATAATATATTTTTTTTCAAGAAAAAAAAAACACAAGGATGGAGGTTTATTTGACATAGCAAAGGGGGATATATAGTTCAGATAAGAGCCCGTCGCTTGGAAGTGGCCATATCATCCATGTCACATTCCTCATCCACCCTACTGGCGACAACCTCTGACGATGCAACGGTAGTAGATGAGGTGGATGCACCCGAACTGGAGCGTCGTCTTGTTGCTTGAGAAATGGGCGAGTGAGCGGAAGAAGCATACGGATGATAGTGATGATGATGGCGGGGGAAAGTTGCAGTCGAGGACGTGACTGTAGAAGACGTAGGGGATCGTTGTGAAGGAGTGGATGGCGATGAGTTGATGTCGCTGGGTATACCATGTCGAACTGAGCGGGAGCTTTGATTACTACTCGGTAATTCGCAATTGAAAGATGAAGAACTTATTCGATGATCTGGTGTAGCCGCTCGTCGGGTATTGATAGTTGCTGCTATGGCAGTGGGTGAGGCGGATGGAACCGAACTCGCCACATTTGCACTATTTATCCGACCTAAAGATGAGGCAGACGAAGAGAGAGCTGTAGTATTACTAGATTCTTCGTTACCATTTTCGAAATTTGGTGTAGAAAGTCTCAACCGTTTGATATCGGTTACATCATTACTTGAGGTTCGTCGATGATGCCGCCGAGGCTGTGTATTTTCTTCAGAGTTTTCCAAACTAGAAGGTGCTGGTGTGACAACCTTCGCATTGGCATCGGTGGTGTCCAAATTGGCTCTCATTTTTTCAGCAGTAATAACCGACATGACTTCTTTGTCTGCGCCGGTAGTTGGGGGGACTTGCACATCATCGTGTAATCCGATATCGGCTTTCCGGTAATCCGGGATTAGGGCAGATGTAGTTGCTCCTCGTTTCTTATTCAATTTGGCTCCCAACGTTTCCCGCTCTCGTCGAGCGGCTTCTTGCAGCATGACGCACTTTACCTTGTAATCGACATTAGCCCGACTTTGAAGATACATGAAAAACTCGGATAACTTTGAAAAATCCCAGTCCTGGGCAAAAGCTCGCAAAAAGCGTTCACGTTGTTGATTGGTGGATGACATATAAGGAGGAGTAGCAAGAATGGTGGTGATCAAGGTGGCCGTATACTGGGTGGCCCAGCTGTGGGTAAGATGGCGTAACAGGTGAGCTCTGCGCAAGTCGCCTAACAGATTCAAATTAAAAATATTAGTAAAATAACAAAAATGTGGGATGAAAACCAGATGTTTACATCTGGGAGTTTGATTGGTGCTTACCAACTTCATCTTTCCAATCAACAGTAACATGCCTGACCAGAATACTGATGCTTTCTAATCGCCAATCGCTGATAAGCCATTTTAAAGCGTTGATGATGCGAAATAAGGGGTATTCATTGGCAATGCGATGGAGGTATACGGCGGTGACAAGAACGTTATCTTCGGATTTGAGCCAAGAGTAGAAAGTGGCATCGTAAAGTTGGTCCATGCATTTTATATTACGATAAACGTCTCTCCATGAATTATCGTTGTCTTCGGTTATAGAGGCTGTTTTAATGAGAAAAGGAGAAGGAGGGGGACAAGGTCAGGTTCATTGAATTCCCTTAATAGGTCGAGAGGTTCGGATAAAAAGGTTCCCAATCGCCCAAAAAAAATCATGACTTACGTTTTGGGTCTACTGGTTTCTTTCTGCCTATCCAATCTCCAATATTGACACTCTTGAGGGAGTGTTCGAAAGGTGGAAAGATTGAATTTGGAGGCTGAGACGGCGCAGATGGAGGCCCCAGAGCCAAATCCATTCGTGATGCACTATTGCCGGCGGAGTGAAAGTTGAATGTTTGTTGATTGGAGTAGGATGTTCTGGTCAGTGGATTGTAAGGTTGAGAGAGTAGTGTGGAATGGTTGACATGATTGGTGGACGATGTATTCATGTGAAAGGGGAAATGGGGTATTGGTAAATGTGAAAAGAAAAAGAGAAGTAAGGAAAAAAAATATTATTATTTTTAATCTGAAGCGGGGCACTCAACAGGCAAATTCTCACTCAGTGTTAAGAAGAAACAGAAACAATCCCAGTCTCTGTTTTTGCCATCCCTCCCCCCCTCTTTTTTTCAATAGCTGATAGGTGTTAGCCAATATTACAACACTATTCCTTTCAAATCAGCGTCTCTACCATTCATAACGTGGTTGTTTACATTCGGGGCTATAAAAGTGCTCATCCGATCTTTGGCCTTGAACGCATCAAGAAACATGGGTCCCAGTGAGCTAACAAGAAATTTTTGAAACATCAATCTCAAACAAACCATTACTTAAGTCAATCAGCTGTCAACCCAGCCCAGCGTATACTCCGTCGCCTCGTAATGAAAAAAAAATTGTCATCGGTTTCATTGGTCTAAACATGGGTGCTTTGATGCGACTCTTATAATGAGAATTGCGTAGCGTCAAAACGGGTCCCAGAGTTAGGTCATTGCCGATCGTCTATATTGGATGCCAATGCTGAGCACCACTAAATAAGCAAATCAGAAGTAGCCTGATAGGATAACAAGCATTCCTTGTCAGTAAGCCGTCTGCTTGCTCATAAAGGAACATGTGCTAGGTCAAGGAGTGCACTTTTCCATGTCGTGATCGTCGTCACACAAAGAGTGTTTCCGCCTTTGTGCAACCCTTACCAGCTTTGCTTGGATCAGGTGTCCTACAACCAGATCAAGGCTAATGCCGTTATGTCGTCAGGACAGCCCATCGTAAAATATACCATTGAAAAGAGTGCCCGCGCTATGATGATAACGAGGTGTGGAGAAAATTAAAAAGAACACATGTATATCCACTCAGATCTTTGCCCCTGGTTCAGCTATTTTAAAATCCATGGGCAATGTCAAGGTGTTGGGTTGGCGTACTTTTGCGGCAACTTGCCAATGCTTTTAATTGTACGTTGGTGTTAATGGCATTCATTGGTGAAAATGCCATTGGGTTATTTTTATCAACAGAGGTTGTGAAGGTCATCGCCAGTGACATTGATAAATTACTTTTTGAAAAAAGAAAAAAAAAACTACATACAGAGGGGGACTGTAAAGCCATGATGATGAAAAACAACAAACATTATTACAGTTTTTGGGAGGTAAAGAGAGGGATCTTTTGCTTATCCATGCTTGTCTCTCCGAGAGGCCCAAAAAAAAAAAAGGTCATTTGGGGGTGAAAAGATGTCACGGTTCAGTTTTACTGCGATTGATTCCAAGTGCCGTCTTCTATCCTAGTTTCGTCGTGTTTCCTCACAGCATCAAGCTGGATATATTGTTCACCGAGATGTTGTTCTTCTAAAGTGGTTTGGTATATATGATCAGTCTCAATAATGCAGCTGGTTTGGAATTCCCAGTCTTGCCCAGTAGCAAAATGAGTGAATTGGAGATACTCGTCGGGGTACTTGTTCTTGTCACGGAACATGCCTCCATTCCACCAAAGGGGTCGTCCATCCGTTCCAAGATGAAGTTGATTTCCACACACTTGACTTGGATCGCCTTTATGGCCAAGACCACCAATGACCGCACCATAAGATTTCAAGAACGCATACGGAGTTTGAGTCATTTCGTACCCAACCCAAAATGTCTACAAAAATAAATTAGCAAATGCCGTGTCAACTTTTTTCCATGATCGGATAGAAACTTACTTCCTTGTCACCATGGACATGCTTATAGGTAACTTCGTCGCGCTCCTTCTTCCCGTTCATCTTGCAAGTGGATAACAGACCGAACAACGACTTGGATTTGTTAATGACCACCACACCGGCTTCTTGTTCATGGGAGGACGAGAGATTCCACCATCTGGAGCGCGGGAACTGAGTGCTATAAGTTGGTAGAAAGGAGAGAAGCCAGTCTCGTCCTTTGAACCATTTGGGAAATAGAGTGCGGTCATAGAAGAACAATGCACCCGTTTTAAGGTATGCAGGGTCGCTCAAAAGTTCTTCCGGCTTGCGGAAAAAGTAGACGTCCGCATCCATCATTATAACTTCAGTGAAGCTGGAGGCTAAAATCGCATAAGGCTTGATGGCCCAGCCACCGAGTACGGCCCATTTGTTGTCGATAACTTTGGAAATATCTCGAGTTCTGACATTGGTGAACTCGGTTTCAAAGTACAATCGCTTCATGGGCGATAGGTCGTTGTCGTCAATGTAAAAGATCTCAATGGGAAGTTGGGAGTGTAAAATCTCTCTAAGCGCTCTAATGGCGGTGACAGCATAGCGGAATTGATTGTTTCCAACGCATAGAACAATACCTGTCCCTTGGGACATTTCCGGGATTTCAAAGGCAGATTTAAAGGTCATGTGGATCCAAGGATACAATCGAGATTCCAGGGACCGGAACAAATGCCATAACTCGTCGTAGGTTTCTTGGACGTTGATACCAGCCTTTACCATTGGATCAAACTTTTGAAACAAAACCTTGTACATCCGTTGTTGATTGGTTAGGTGCCGGAAATCAGGTACGACTTCGCCCGTAGTTAAAAGTTCGCTTTTGAACAGCTGGCCGAGAGAGCTATTCAGTAAAACGTCATCAGCTTTCGTCCATGGTGTTAAGGGGTGTGGAACAGCAATATCGTAAAAGTTTGATAAATGGATGATGTCCGAATCATTTGAGGATAATACTATGTACCGAGAAACCGGGCGTTAAAGGTTGTGCAAATTAATAGTATCACACTGGGCAAAAACCCTGCAAAGTCTTACCTGGCTCAAACACATGACGATGGCTTTGGTTGACTAAGCTCGAGACAGATGAAGCCATGTCTATGGATGGCTTATCGCTGGAAACCGTCCATTGTACGGACAGATACATTAAGCCGATAATCAGACATAATGCACTGATTATCCGGCCTGATCTTGGATTCCTGAACATTTGGCAAACGAACCACGCAAAATCTGTTTTTCCCTTCATGTCCGCCAATCACCCTGACATCACCTTTGAGACGCCGACAGCAACTCCGCATGCTGGTATTTCAGCCATTTCCAAACTCTATGCCGGTAATTTTTTTTCATTTTTCGACCTTTAGTTTCCTGCAAACATGTTTTCAGGAGTTCGAGCTCGTTTACCAGCTATTTATCAGCTCTCAAGGACCTATGCTTCAGCTGCGGCCAAAAAGAAGTCAAAGATAGCAAAATACACCCTAGTTGGCGTCGCCTCTGGATCCGCCTTAGGTGCAGCTTATCACTTGAGCAAGGACGATGAGGTTATCAACTCTGCAGTAGGCGCGCATTTGACTGTACCCGAGCAAGCCTTCAAGCCCAAGCTAGGAGGATACAAGAATCTACCAGTCGTGTCTCACTTCTTGGATGATTCTGTCCATGAAGAAAACACGAAGCCTAGGTTGGTGGTTATCGGTAGCGGATGGGGCGCAGTGTCGGTTCTTGAGCAGTTGGAGAAGGATGACTATAACGTCACGTTGATCAGCGAAAACAACTACTTCCTCTTCACCCCTCTTTTGCCTAGCGCAACGGTTGGTACTCTTGAAATGAGGTAAGTATACGGCAATAGTGAAACGCTGAAATGAGCGGGAAAATTGCGTCAAATTTGGTAAGGTGCGGGATTTCAAGCAAACATTGACATATTGGTTTGGCGTCAGATCACTTCTAGAGCCCATCAGGAAGATTACGGATAGAATGAAGGCCCACTTTTTACAAGTGACTGCCAAAGACGTTGACTTTGACTCCAAGCTCGTAGAAGTCACAGATCCTGCTACTGGAAAGGACTTTTATGTCCCATACGATAAGCTGGTGATCGCTGTTGGCGCAACTAGCATGACGCACGGTGTGGAAGGTCTGGAAAACACTTTCCAGTTAAAGACGATTCAAGATGCCATTAAGATTCGTCGACAAGTACTGGAGAACTTGGAGGTGGCAGCCTTGCCTACCACACCCCCTGAGGAACGAAAGCGACTTCTCAGCTTCGTTGTTTGCGGAGGTGGGCCGACTGGCGTAGAATTTGCCGCCGAACTTTTTGACACTCTCAACGAAGATCTAGTGAGATGGGTATGTATTTTTGCAGCAGGCAAGCAAAATATAGAAAGATTGGTTGACTAATCGCTGTTCCGTTCAAAGTTCCCTAAAGTACTTCGAGAAGACGTTAGTGTCACCATCATTCAGTCTCGAGATCATATTTTGAATACCTTTGACACAAGTATCAGTGACTACGCCGAAAAGAAGTTTGATCGCGAGAAAATCAAGATAGTGACAAACGCAAGAGTGAAAAAAATAGACGAACACTCAGTGCATTACACCGTGAAGAATGCAGGAGATCCCAGTAACCCTGAAACTCAGCAATTACCTTACGGATTTTGTTTGTGGTCTACAGGCATATGTACGTTGTTTGTTGCAATGTCGTTTGAAACATTTCGTCAAAATACTGACTTATCTTACCTACCCTGAACTTGTGGGAAAAAATTAGCCATGACTCCATTTGCTCGCAATATATCGGAGAAATTGGAAGCTCAGAAGCATCAAAGAGCTTTGGTGACCGATGGTACTTTGAAACTCAAGGGTATACCGGATGGATCAGTGTATGCAATAGGAGATTGTGCAACCATAGAAAATCCTAAAATGCTATCCCATATTATGGATATTTGTGAAGCCGCAGACAAGTAAGAAGAATGTAGCAAATAAGCAAGTGCTACTCAATCATTAACATATCGTTCTGCTTGATCTCTTTTAGGAACAAAGATGGTAGCTTGACATTCGACGAATTTGTAGAAGCTGGTCAATACATGTGTCGACGATTTCCCCTCGCAACCACCCATTTATCCAAGATGTCAGATCTTTTTAAAAAATATGATGTGGACAACAGTGGAACTTTGGAAATCGATGAACTTAGGGTGCTTCTCACCGATTTAGACAAGAAGACGACTAATTTACCCGCAGTAAGTAGCGATCACATGAAACAAGAATGAATTGGCAAAAGTCAAGCAAGGGGTGTGGATAATGAAAAATGACTGACATCATATTGGCATGATGATGTAGACGGCACAAGTAGCCAACCAACAAGGCAAATATCTAGGCAAGTCAATATCAAGAATTGCCAAAGCAAGTAGGCAAGGGGTTAGTGAGGATCAGGTTGTGCAGCCCTTCGCGTATCATCATCTAGGTTCACTTGCGTATCTTGGAAACACTGCTGTAGGCGAATTTAGCTGGGGCTATAAGATGGTTGGCGGTTTGTGGGCATTATACCTATGGCGCAGTGTGTACTGGAGTGAGCAAGTCAGTCTGCGTACTCGATTGAATCTCAGTATTGACTGGACGAAAGGTGCAATTTGGGGCAGAGATCTATCAGCCATATAATATGAAACTTGGAGATATTCCCCCATTAGCTATAGAAAATGTTACCCTGATCCATAAAATAAAGAATTGTGTTGTTGGTAATCCATTTCAAAATGCGACCGTGGAATGACGCTTTTTTGGTATCCCCAAAAAAGGCGACGTGCCCTGTGACAGACCTTTGAGAGCATCATGCTCCATCATTGTCAACTGCATTAGCTCGTCTTAAACTGAATTCAGCGGTTATATAATAAGGGTCTTCTATCCCTTCCTCACCACAACATGCAATCGCACAACCGCTCGCTTTCATCCGCCATGATTAGCCATGATTTACAAGACTGGCTAACACGGACTTCAGCTGAACCTGCCCCACTACCTAATTGCTGCTGCGAACAATCCACTTGCGCTAGCTCAGAATTATTCCACGATACTATAAAGCGACTTGAAGGAGAATCAAGACTAGCTGCAGGTACCTTGATTGACTCGTCGATGGTTGCTAAATACCTTTGAGCCCCCTTTCGATTTTGAACCTAATACATTGCATATCTTCTGCAGAGATAGGACAAAGTTTATTATTAAAGTATGAAAAGTTTGTGCAAGAAGACGAACAAAGGAGACGTGAATATGAGCAAAAGGTGAGAAAGACGGCCAACATGCTGCTGAATTGTTTAATCTAGGCTAACCTATCTCTAATATTTCCTTTTAGCTACTCAAAGCAGAAGAAAAAATCAAGAAACTTCGTTCAATTAATGACGATCTGGAAAAACATAACGAAGATCTCACACTGCAGAACAACAAGTTGACGTGGGAACACGAGAAGGCACAACAGGTACTGCAATGCATTTCAATTGCAGAGTAGATGTTTTGCCCTGCGTATCGTAGTAGTGCTCCCCTTATTAACTCCAAGCTACTCCTCCTGCAGACCATTAACATGCTGTCATCTGATCTCGAACTTTCAAATCACAAAGTTGAAAAGCTTGCTGCCGAAAATGAATCGAAAAATGCCGAAATCGAAAAAACCCGGATATTACGCATGTTAAGCCGGCAAGCTGACCTACGAGATGAGTTGAATGAGACCAAGGTATGGTTATGATAAATCATCATCGTGCTTTTCACAAATACGGATGACTAACTAGTACGATGTCCATTCTGTAGATTGACGACCTCAAGCAAGAATTGGCTTTGTCGCGAAAAAATGAGATGTTTCTGGAGTCTAAGCATAAAAAATTATTGGCGAGATATGGTACGTTGTAAATTTGTCAGGGCAGGCGATCTAATTGTGTTGCACCTTATTAACTTTTTTTTTTCTGGGCACAGAATCACTGCAAAATAGCGCTGATAACTTGAAGCAAGAAAACCGAGTTCTTGCCGAGGAAGCTGAAGGTGCTCAAAGTGCCGAATGGCTACGACATGTGAACGACAGACTTCGTACCAGTGAATTAAAGGTGAGAGCCGACTCACATAATTTGTTGCGTCTGACATGAGAACGCAAGCAACTTATGATGCTTGTCCCAATAGAACTCTTTATCAGAAAGTGTTGATATTCGACCACAACAATATCACCATCTCATTTCACTCATCAAAGAATTGGGATTCTCGAACAACAAATTAAAAAACGAATTGGCAGAGTATAAGGATATGCTCTCGGACTCCAAAGCTGAAGTGACGCTGTTGAATGCGAAGTTGGAACACCTGGAAGTGTCTGATGATGGCTCAGATTTCGACCCTATTGACGCAGCAGATGGTCACCATAGTAACGGCGCAGTCGTGACTCGACAAAAGATAACGGAAACTGACATACTGATGGATGATCCAGAACATTCCCATCTTGTGAATGCCAGTCGGTCGTACTCTACATCTGTACCGCATGACCATACTTCTCCAAATTTGATGAAAAATAACCTAAGTGTCCGGAGATCAGCTACCACCATGCGAAGTTCCGATCATCAACCTGACAACCACTACAATACACGTTCATTAACAGCACCCTTATACCTCGACTCCGCTAATAATATTTCCAATACCTCTCTGTCGTCGCCCACCGAGACCCCTACCGTGGTTCATCATCACTACCATTATCATGTACATAAATCCAAAAACGCAGGTTTGCAAGAGATTGGCCATCGGTCATCGCGCAAAAATGCCATTGCCGGTGCGGAACTTTTCATGAAGGAAGAGGCGGCCCAGAACCGATCCTTGGTGACTGGCAAATCTCACCATACCACCGATATCTCAAAACCTGTAGTGACGTCTGTACCCAGCAGCCGGCGCAAATCTTTATTATCAACCAGTTTGAATGACCTTTCTAGAAAACAAGAATTGGAAGAAAGGAGAGTCAATGATAGTGTTAGCAAGAAAATGCAAGGCGCACATGGTCATCTGCACACGCAATGGTCTACAGATGATGGCCTTGAATCTATTGATTCGGATACACCTCAAATCAGTGGCCTCGCAGCCAGTGCAGACGCTTATGCTGGACATTCTTCCAACATTCCAGAAACTGAGCTCAGTCTATGCAAAGATGCACCGTACCATTCCTTGCACCACTTGGGTGTGCACTACTTTGAAAGATTGAAAGCGACTGACATCAGAGCTCTTAATCGTCAGCTTCGAAGAGCTTTTGACATTCTGGAACTCAGCAGTATGAGCAATTCCATCATTGACAATGTTCTCGCCGATGTCAAGGTCCTCAAATCCAGATTTTTATGGGTGGAACAAAACCTCGCCAACAATAGGGAGATGGGCTACAAAGACGAAGGAGAGTATTCCCAAATTTGGGAATCGGATGTTTCTATGGAGGACTTTTTCCCTTTAGTTGAGTTGACGGAAACACTGTTATCTGAAATTGGAGAGATGCGAATGACTCTGAATGATTTGCAAGTGGAATATGTCAACAAAGTCGAGTTGATTGAGCATCAAGCGGAAAAAGATATTCTACATAAGCGCGAATTGAGAGCGGATCGACCCGCCGCCGCCCATAATGACGGTACATTTTCCTGGTTCACCAATATCCTTGCTCGCTACAATACCAAGGATTTCGATAGACCTCCCACTCACCTCAAGCGGCATAAACGCACAGTGTCACATGAATCTATTACATCGCAACTGATGGAGCGAATGGAGGACGAAGATCAAACCGCCAAGGAACCCCAATCCAAAAAAGAACCTATCACCAAGCGGGAACCTCGTTCGTCCCATAATCATACCGATACCAATCCGTATCTTTCTTCGTCTTTTCTTGGCATGGATGCCTTGATCGATCCTAAGTTATTACTCAAATCTTCCGCAGCTACCCTGATTCCTCGCGCGTCACGGAGCACAGGCACACTCCGAAAATCGCAATCGTCTACTCGACCAAAGGAAGCTGCAAAGTCGTCCACACTACGCCAATATTTATCCACCACACTCTCTGGTAGTCTTTCTGATTATTATCATGATGACAGTCGACCGGCAACTCCCGATGTAGACTGGAAGATTGCTAATGGAATCGGAACTCGACGCTTTTATAAGTAATAACTCTTCCATGTTTTCCTTACAATATACCCTAGTTTTTATGCCATCCTATTATAGCACACACATACATACATCTTCGTCCTCTTTGATCCCCCTCCTTCTATTCCCTTAACCCTAATATGTATGTATAAATGTTTGTATGTATTGAATACACCAACGCAGTCTCGAATATTCACAAAAGCAGTACAAGGGATATTAGTTATAATGTAGGATTACCTAAAGGCAAGAGTGCATTACAGTACATCATTCCTATGAGAGGAGAGGAAATATTAATGGTGGGAACGTGGCAGTGACGGGAAGTATGGGCATAAGACGTACCAAGTTTCGCCATCGCCATAGTCATCATCCAAGTCGTCTTCCGAGTCATAAATGTCTTCATCGTGGTACTTCTTCATACACGCCAAACAACGAGCCTTTTCTGCATTTCTTCGTTGTGCCTAGAGGAGAACATACAATGAGCTGTCAAACGTCAAAAAAGAAAGTGACATGTGGCCTGCCGTACCTTGGCAAAGTCTTCTAACTTCTTGGTCTTGGTACAAATCATGCAGGTCAAGGTAGTAGATTGCCCTGGTGTGCACTGCTTACAGCAAATCTGTTGCTTCTTCTTATTGTTTTTAAAGCCTTGAGGTGCCCAAGCTATGAATCAAAGGTGAAAACAACGTGGTTACTCGAATGCCACTCGGGATCTACACCAGGATGAGAATGAACGAAGGACTTACGGTTGTAGGTAACCTTTGACAATTGCGTTTTTGAAAATGCTTCGGCGGGAAGATTCTGGTAGCATTGTTAAGTAAAATTAAAGTTGAGATCTCATTACTCGTGCGGCGCTCAACAGATACGGACCGATCCCTCACCTTCTTGCAAAATATACAGTCAAAAGTGGTGGGTGTAGGGGTTTGTGCTACGACAATGAGAGGTAAGAGAGAAGAAAAACGTCCAAGAACAGCTTGTTCGTATTCAGACGATACTTACAGTTGCTTCTGGAAGCCCCATGTTCTGATGATCGACCATGGTATGGTGAACCGGCTTGCATTTTATGTTAATAACGATGCAGACAAAGAAACTCCAAATTGTCAGCTGAGGTTGATTTTCAGTTACCACAAAATAGTCCCTCCACCCACCATTCTTAGGCTGGGATCAGGCACACACCAGGTCGGTGGCAGTCCATAATTTCAACTTGGCAAAGTAGGCTGCCTACAGTTCACACTGGATAGAGAACCTGCTTGTCATCTTTTCCGACCCCTTTGTTCTTTTGTGAAAGTAAATACCTACAGAAAATGATACGCAGACGGTATCTTCCGTTACACCTGTAGCCCGTCTGAAATCCAAAACTAACTGTTGATACATGTCCGCGTCAGATCCAATCCGTGCTGCTGAGTGAATCAATCAGTGTACCTGGGAAAACACCAGAGAAAAAAGTGTGAAGACAAAAAGGGGTCCTATTTGAAAAATAAGAGCTCTTTAGCTGTGGCCAAATTTGATACCCAACGCCAAATCGCAATTGGTATCATGGACGTCACATCCAAAGTCCATCGGCAGTAAAAACTCAAGGGAATGTGAAGTAATATGCTCAGGGCCATTAAAAATAGATTTGGCAATGTCTGACCGCAGCGATTGAAAATGGATATATTAAATCAACCTGGCTAAAAAATGCCATCCATCCGCCAAATCTAAGCATACTTGATTTTCTCTTCCGTATTGCCAAAGATGATGGGAAGCGATGGATCACTTTCCTTGTCCGAGATTACTGTGCCCCCCACGCCGTCTGAGACATCTAGCAAAATCGCCAACAGTACTTCCGAACCTGACATTGACGAACTTGTAGAGAAATGGCGCAACTTGGATGTAGGTAATTGACTAGAAACAACCGGTATACATCGTAGCGAATAACATTGCCCTCCCTTTGCACTTCCTCAGAACGGACTACCATGTCTTCTTGAGAAAACAAGGCAAGACATTAGTGTTACCAAGGTTTGTCTTAGACAGTCTCAATGGTAGAAGAAGAGGTTAATGAACTTTTATTGTGAATTGTAGGAAGCGCTCAATTTTTTTAAGAAGCGAGCTGCCATTGAAGAAGAATACGGTCGACAGCTGACAAAGCTCTCGCAGTCGATGATGGAAGGACATGATCGCCAACAGCTTGTTTCCGACACTCTAACTCAATCATGGACTAATATCTTGAAAGTTCATGAAACCATAGGAGAACAGCGACTGAAGTTTGGCTCTGAAATTTCGGAGATTGCTGAAGACATCAGTTTCTTAATTAAGGATATTGACAAGAAGAGGAAGATGGTAAGTTAGAGTAAAGACACGAAAGAAAAACCATCACAGTATATGAGCGCATTCGTGCGCTAGTTGGCTTCCATCTCATAACAAATTCTAATTTGCAGACAAAAGATCTCAGTGCAAGACACGAACGTGTGTTGGTTGATGCAGAGCTGGCGTTATCGAAGGTAGGCAGATAGAAAGAATTTTTGTTTTATACAAAGTACTTTTGTTCACTTTCTCCTCCCTCTTTAGGCTAAACAGCGGTATGATATTAGTAGCGAGGAATGGGAAACGAAGCTCATGCAATTGAAGACTGAGGCAGGCGGAATGTCCTTGAAGGGCATGTTTAAGCCCAATAGAAATCAAGCTCAGGTACGAAAAAGCAATGATACAGTAATATTGCCTGTCGAATTTATACATCACCATGTTTTAATACAATATTGACTACTTTTCCAGTTGAACAAGTACGAAGACGAAGCTAGAAGCAAAGCTGCTGCAGCAGATGAACAATACAAGCAACAGCTCTCGTACGCTAACAGCTTGCGCAAGGATTATTTCGAGGAGCATTTACCCAAGATGCTATCGGTAGGGATCCTTACAGTATCGACCTGCGAAAGACCCTACTGCGCCATCTATCTAACTATTTTACCTATAGACACTGAAAGGGACCGATAATGAAATCTGTGTGGCCTTGAGATACCAATTGGCAAGATACGCCTACTCGTTTGAACAAATGATGGCTGCAAATGGAAATGAGCTAGACAACGAGCAAGGTAAGCTGCCATACATCCTAATTTCAGCGTTCATGGTTGCCTACGCTCAGTCAAATAAACCTTTCAGATAGCGGATTGAGAACGACTATCACACGCATAGACAAAGATGCCGACTTACGCAACTATGTCGACACACACGGTGGGCGATTTATATCTACGCAGATCCGAGAGCTAAAGTATGAAAAATACGAAATGGTAAGTTGAGGTTTTCAAACCAATTGGGTTCCTTCAGCGCAATGCAGCTTTAATAATGTGATGGTCTACATAGGCTGTCAAAGTCGAAGAACCACAGCCTGTGGCTTTCGCAAAGTCAATTCCCATCACAAAGGGTCGCACAGTGTTTGGAATCGGCCTCCAGCAGCTTTTAGACCAAGAAGGCAGCGAGGTGCCCATGATCCTTCGCATTTGCACTCAAACAATTGAAGCCTACGGTATGTGATAACGTCCATCCCTAACGCATTAAAAATGGATCATCCTCATCCATCCCACAATCTAGGTCTGCATAACCAGGGCATCTACCGCTTATCAGGAGCAGCCAGCCATATCAGAAAGGTTAAATCCCTCATTGAACAGTGTGAGTACAATTGTGACAGCGACGAGTACGTATACATCGCCATATAAGGTTCATCAAGTAACGTTTTGAGTTCTTCCACTTTTTCAACTCTAATATAGCCAATAGTGTATTCCTTCTGACACCTGAAGATTACTCCGGAGATATCAACAGTGTGACCGGCGCACTCAAGTTATGGTTCAGGGAGTTACCAGATCCCTTGATCCCACGGCGAGTATCGGATCAATTCATTGCCGCAGCCAGTAAGTGAAAGGAGGTAGAACAATGGTTGGATAGGTGCACGACTCATTATTTTGGCGGTTGCAGAATGCGAAGACGAACGTGTCCGTGTCATCAGTCTCCATACTGCTATCAATGAGCTGCCAGATGCCAATTATGCTACGCTGCGATATTTAGCCAATCATTTGGACAAGTAAGTCGTGAATCACATCCCAAAGGTTGATGTCGCTTGCTGATCACACGCAATTTTTTTTTTTTGGCTTGGCTTGTACCACCCCCCAACAGAATACAGCAACATGAAGTCTATAACAAGATGGGGACCCCGAATTTGGCCATTATATTTGGGCCAACCTTGATGGGCGGGGATAAGGATGGCTACACCTTTGACGAAAGCAAGACGCTACAAGACATGCAATGGCACGTACGGGTTATCGAGACCATTCTTGAGAATTATCGCGTCATTTTTGAGCCTGATGAAGAATAAAACATGGTTTGCCTATTGGTATCGAGCTTCAGGAGCCAGTGACTCATCATTGTGTAGAGCCATTATGATTGGCAAAATCTGAGACAGATGAGAGTCCCTTCCTTGACTTCGTCATTATCCCTAGTTTCAATTAGAGCGCGTGCAGGTAAACATCAGAGTGTGCAGAAATCATGTCTCGATTATCTACAGCACCATGTAAAAAAAAATGGGGTAGGTAGGCGGGCGGGCGTACCCACCATATGCCGAACAGTATATCATGTGTGTGAATACAGGAAAGCATGGGCCCAGGAAGTAGCGCTAACCTGCGGCAGTCACGATGTCGGCTACACCAGAAAGTTTAGTTGGATGGCTTCCATCTATCAGCGAACTGGGTTTGAATCCAGCGCACGTACTAATTCATCTTGTGCCGATGAATCATCTATGACCAAGCAGTTCGCTTGATGGATAGATAGATATCAGTCATCCCACATAGCTCAGCCTCTCCTATCGGTCTCCTGAACGTTTGTTTGTTGACCCCAGTCCTACCTTCCTTACCAAACCGGTGTAAAAGGGCACCCGCCCAAGTGCCTTTGAACCGATGAAGTATGCTTGGCCCCTTGGTCATTCTGATCAATGACCGCCTGTTAAAAGAGAGATTACAGTGTAGCATTTTCGCCTGCCTGCGGTGCGTAGCCCATATGATGGGTGGTATCGGCTGACAGCGACGTAAACGGACAAACGTCGTAAGATCTTTTAAGATAACGCCCATCTCATAGGAAATACTTGAAGCTGCGCTAAGCCATTCTCCTCCCACTATGAATATTCGCCAGCAGCAGCGTGGACGACTTGTTTAGCCCAGGTACAGTAATGATGTTCATATCACCCAAGGGTTGTAAGCAATTATTTAAGTGGCGCAAATGAGTTTCCGGATTTTCCCAATAAGCAGAGGAAATCCTGTCTTGGAATGAATTGCCCAAAAAGTTCATAGCCCATCACGATTCTTTAGGGTTCTTTTTTGTGAAACTAGTAGAATTTTTTAATCATTGATAATGGTACATTAACCAAGTTAGCGAGGAAACGTGGTTACTTCAGTTCATACAGGGTCGGACGAAGGGGAGAAAATAAAGGCAAAGCAGAGAAAAAAGTTAAAAGATGAAATGTACAATGTGGGGGGTTGAAAATGAGATGTGAGGGGGGGGGGTAACTATAAGGGACAGTATATCTTTCTCTCTAGCGAGATCTCTTGGGGCTGGGCAAGGAGTGGTGGTCGGCCTTCCGCTTCTTCGACTCGGGAGGACTGAAGCCCTCGCAGGCCATCACGACGGCCGAGTCAGGGTGAATAGGCTTAAGGCGATTGTCTTCTGACATAACAGTAATCGATAGGTCGGCCATGGTGCGTGGTTCACTTTGGCAAAGAAGGAAGCCATCGGTGTTGGGAGCGGTGGCCATGGATAAGTCCACCATAGGATAATTTAATTTGTTTTCGCCAGTGCGATGTTGAACATGAATTTCAATCATCTTGCACCATTGGTTCCAAGCATCAGGGGCAACGCCCAGTCGCCAGTCCAAGAGTTCCAATACAACACGCTCAGCGCGGTTGACTTCGGACACGGGCAAACCGCTGACTTTGGCCCAAGCGACATTTTTATATGTTCTGTCCATGAGGTATTTATGTGCAGTCATCAAGCAAGCCAAAAAAATGCGGCGTCCGCAAGAGATATATTCAGCGTCGTCGTGGGTTTTGTCGGCTGCAATGACGGCAGGCTTGATCCGGAATAGGTAAAGTAAAGCGAGTTGAAGAGTTGAGTGGGTGGTGCGAGAATGAGATAAAAGATGGTGGAGAAATTTTGGGAGGGAGGCGATAGGTTTGTTGGAGTTGACTGGAGAAGGCCAGATAGAAGAGAGAATGAAAGCAGTGGTGGCTAGAGAGAGAGAGAGGTGTGAGAAGAAGCCTCCTTGAAGGCAGTTGGTGGGTGGACACTTACAAACAAGACCATCAACATAATTCGACTTAAGAGCCGTTTTGCCTGGCTTAGTGGAGGAGGCTTTTACAGTCGAGACATGCTGTTTAGTAGGTCTTTGAAGATGAATGGTTTTCAAAGCGGGTAACACGACAGCATGCGACACGGGGGTGGTGAGTCGTTGGCAAGTAACAGCACAGCTCATCATAGATTACGTATGGGACAGCAAAAAAAAGTAGAATACAAAGAAGTATGTTGGATATCGAGCACTTAGTTGGATAAGCCGATATCAGCTAACTGAAGAAGAAACCGATATAAAAACGAGAAGAGCACAATCGCTGTTGAAGCACAATAGGAAGCCTAAAGGGTGAGTTTAGACAGCCATATTGTAGTGAAAGAGTCGATGAGTAAAGTGAAAAAAAGGTATGGATTGACAAAGAAGGGAGGAAAAGTAAGATGATTGAGATGGGAGTGCGTGGTTTTAAAGGGTGCGAAATAAAAAAAAATTTGTCGCACAGCAAAATAACTAACCATGACCCATAATCCCTGGAGCTGCCCATCTCCGCCAATCAAATGAAGTTGCACCTAGATTCTAATCACCGATGAGACGTATGACTCAAGCCAACAAAAGCCCTCCAGCTTCCTACCAATGATAATCGCTGTGTCATATTAACGCTGTGCTGATCTTCCATCACTTCTCCTGCTCCAGCTCACCAATCACACCTCTTTGCCTCTGCTACCATGTCACATGCTTCGTTTGGCACAGAAGGAGTCACCCGAGTACGCCTCAGTCACTGTATCGGCTTTTCTTGGCCTGCTGCTCGTTTGAGTTACCCGCCTTGAATGTGATGTTTCGTATTTTCACATCATAGCAGAAGATAACACCAGATTTGGGTAATTTGATTGGACCGCAGACAATGAGTGAATGTAACATTTCCTCTCTACACATACCATACCCTACCTCCCTCTTTCAGGCAATTTTATAACTCGAGTACCTGCCCGTTGAAAGGCCAGGCTAGGATGTATTGAAGGTAAACGAGGGCTTCTACCATACTTAGAATGAGCATGCCGATGACAACAGGTCGTCAATACTGTGGGGAGACAGGAAAAACCACCTTGGTCGGAAAATTGAGGGTAGGGATTAGATGAGATAAGGAGGAATTGCATAACCCTTTACAAATGAAAAAATATCAGCGGAAAAGTATAGATGAAGAATTGGATAGAATGTAGTTGCTGTAAGACCATAATAAAGTTAGGTCACGTCAAGTCAGGTCAGGTCAGGCAGACGAGCCCATGCACTGAAGTCAGTCAGGTCTGTCAGTCGACCGAGGCAAAAAAAAATTAGCTGCACAGAAATTTCGCAGACACAACAAAGTAAGACAATTGGAAATTTCTCAGAACCCCCCGTGTTCAGAAGGGATTGATAAGATTCAATCAAGCAGACGGTGATAGAAGGCAACAGTAACCATGAGCTGAGCAACTCCTACATTCTATTCCATCTCGCAGTTCGAGTGTGGTAGGCTGAACGGGGTCGGCGCAGACTGGAAAAAAGGATGAGGTCAACTCAGACGATGACGTGGATGAGTCCGTCCATGCTTGCTGCTTAGCAATTTCAACTTCGCTAGCGCACGTCTACGACTCTAACTTTTTTTCCTCGCTGTAATCTATTTTATTTTTCTCCACTTTCTACATTTTCTTATCCATTTTCCATTTATAATCATTCCATGGAGCAGAAGAATGATACTCCCGATATGCCAATGCCATGCATCGCAGGCTGCGGATTTTACGGAAACCCCATCTACAATAATATGTGTTCAAAGTGTTTCAAGGACAAGTCACAATCGCAGAAGAAAGGTGAGATTCAACGGTCCATGCTCGTCTTCCGCAGGCGGCATTCCATGATTTGCTAATACTTACAAAACAATCTTACGTTTCTCCTTTATTCTAGATGTACCCATACTCAACACCGCACAATCTTCTCCCGCTGTTGCGCCTGTCAGAGATGAACCGCAACTTCCACCTGTAGTTGATAATACACCGATTGCGTCCTCCGAACAAGAAGCTTCCAAATCAAGCAGCGATCTTCCTAATGATGATACGCCGTCCAAACCTGTACAGGAGAACAAAGGAAGGTGCTTCAAGTGTCGAATCAAGGTAAGGACTGGGGGATTTTTTTATTATTATTTTGAGGTCACAATCCATCCATATTTTTTTCCCATGACCAACCCCTCCTTATCATCTGAACTACCTTCCAATAGGTTCCTCTAGCAAAGCAAACCACCAACAAATGCAAATGTGATTATATCTTTTGTGATGCTCACCGCTATCCTGATCGTCATGACTGCAGTTTCGATCACGCCAAGAAGGACAAAGGTATGTTGGCCGAGGTTGCGGGGCTCAGCAGTGAGGCTGTTACTTATCTCACCTTGTTCATTCCTAGATATCCTTGCGAAGAATAATCCAAAATTGAATGAAAGACCAAAGGGTGGTCGTTCATTCCACAGAATCGACAGCTTGTAAAATGAGGGATGTTCCATAGACCTGGACCCCCCGACACCCCCACCCTTTGGATCTTATCCTCTAACCATAACCCCGAACGCTTTTGATAGAAGAATCTCAATGGACACCAGCATATGAAGTGCTTTAGAAAGCAGTTTCGAAAGCTGTGTCTACCAACCCCATGTTTTCTACCGACTCTATTTTTTTTCTCTTTTCAATTCCTCATGCGTTCTCTTCCCTCACGTAACTACAAATCCAACTCACCCAACCCCTACCTGTTAGTAATTCCACCGTGTGTCAGCGTTTTAGTTTTACGTACTATCACCTGAATGCAAATTAAACAACGTTTCTCACAAAATGGACTGTGTTTTGGCTCACGGCACGCATTCCGGCCGGTTTCTGAGCAACTCCGAAAGGCAAGACAATGACTCGCTCAAAATAATAATATACAATTTTTATGTCTAAACATAGAGAGGGGAGAGGGTTTCTAAATGTAACAGTCTAATACGCTTCTTCCTTTTTCCAGGTCTTTTCCTGCTCGTCTTCCGCCCATTCGGTGGTAGATGCGATAGGTCTGGGTTGAACCATAGTTTGGTGCTCCATCAAGCGCTTGAATACTCCATTCTCGCGTGACAAAAGGTCATCATAGGTGCCCAATTCAGCAATACGACCGCCGTCGAGACAAGCAACAAGGTCAGCCGAGCGAATGGTCGAGATACGATGTGCAATGGTGAATACGGTTCGGCCCTTCATAAGATGGTTCAAAGCGTCTTGAACCAATGCCTCTGATTCAGCATCTGCAAACGGGAAATTTGTTTTTTTAACCTCAGTTCTGAAGTCTTTATGAAGCTGCGTTGGTCACTTACCCAATGCACTGGTTGCTTCGTCTAAAATCAAAACAGCTGGGTTTTTCAGCAGAGCTCTTGCGATAGCGATACTAAAAAAAGGCGGTGTGTGGATCAGTTTACATCCCCATTGAAGTAAACCAAACCTCATTTTCCACTTACCGTTGCTTTTGACCGCCGCTCAAGCTGATGCCACGCTCGCCGACAAACGTCTCATATCCATCGTGGAATCGTTCAATGAACGAGGCGCAATTCGCTTTAACAGCCGCTTCCTTGACTTGTTCAATAGTGGCATTCTCAACACCGTAGGCGATATTGTCCGCAATCGTACCAGCGAAGAGCACGGGTTCTTGCGACACCAAGCCGACTTGCTCACGCCACCATCGTGTGTTGATATCCTTGATGTTGTGGTCTCCAATATGGATGGTACCGCCATTAGGGTCGTAGTAACGGAGGAGGAGAGAACCAATGGTTGATTTTCCAGATCCAGAAGGTCCGACCACAGCAATAACTGGGAATGTTTGTAAGTTGATGTCCAAACAATGCATGACCCACACACAAAAAAAAAGGACAAACCTGTTCCTGGATCAACCGTGAGTGACATATTGCTAAAGATGGGTGAATGGGGTCTAGCCGGATAAGTGAAATCAATGTTCTCAAAGCGGATGGATTTTTGGACATCAAAGTTGGCCAATCCAGCTAGTGAGCGTATACATGATGTGAGCGCGAAACTGAAAAAAAAATACCATAGCGTAAACTTGAGTCACACTTACATTCAGTAGTAATCATGGGCTTTCTATCGAGGAGTTCGAAAAGTCGAGACGATGCACCAATGCCTTTCATAATTTCAGAGTAGAACGAAGTCAATCCTCCCAAGGAAGATCCAACGTAAGCAGTATACAGCATAAAGGAGGCCAAGTCACCAACCGTGATGGCATTTTCCATTACCAAATGGCCACCATACCAAAGCACAGCAAGAATGGCCATGTTGCCCGACAATCCTGCTCCACCGAAAAAGACACCACTAGCAAGCGCCTCTTTCTTCGCCAAGCTGTAAACATCTTGTACCCTTAACGAGTAGCGGTTAGCTTCAGTGGGCTCTTTGGCAAAGGCTTGCACAGTGCGAATGTTGCCAATACGCTCCTCAGCAACCTTGGTGATCTCACTTAGAGCAGTTTGTGTTTGTCTCGACAGCGTCTTTACATATCGACCGTACAAGATGGCGAATCCAGCTACAGGTGGTACAACGAGAAGCATGATACCCGTGAGGTGAGGGCTAACAGGCATGGGATGAGTGAGCTATTTACACTTACGCCATTTATCACCCAGCATTCGTCTTACCTGACATAAAACATCATGGTTGAACCAACGGTTGCAGTGGCGATAGCGCTAGAGATGGACGTCAGTCATGCCGTGACGATGTACTAGGCGTAACAAAGGAACCTGAACTCACCGAAGTCCATCACTGATGTTATTCGTAATACTCTTGCCAACAACAGCAGTATCAACAGCCAAACGAGATATCAATTCGCCACTTCGGTTCTTGTCAAAGAAGGACATGTCTTGTCTGAGAATGCTGCCATACAGATTGTTTCTTAAACGTTGAATGATACGCTCTCCTGATATTCTGAAAAGCATCACTCGACCCATGTTGGCCACACCACCAATCACAAAGATACCCGAGATGACAGCAAAAAATTGCGGCATGGTTAGACCAGCGAACTCATTTACATCGGGCCTTGTGACCAAGTCGATAATTTTGCCCATGGAAAATGGCACGGACTACAGAGTGGTGTTGAAATAAGAAGAATGAGTAAAGCATGGACAATTGAGATAGGCGCTATGATGAATACGGTACCATGGTAATTCCAGAGGATATCACGAGTAAGGCAATAGCAGCTGTTAGGAAGACGGAACGGGTTCAGTATTGGGTACCCGACGGTATGTGTCATAATATAATTTAACAAGAATGGGTCAATCCCCTTACCGCTGATATTCTTTGCTTCTGGTTTGGCTAACTGCAGTAAACGGCGAACAGCTTGAGAATCTGCTTTTTTCTCTTTGGCAGCAGCAGCAGCAGTAGCGTCCGCCGCAGCCTTCTTTTCGATGGCTTCGGTGGCAGCTTTCGTCGACATCCACAACCGACTAGCAATGGGTCTAGGCTGCAACGAAACCTTGGGTATGATCATGCATGGGCGGGGGCGAGTGCAAGATAAAAATCGGGTAGATGTGAGAGATGAACGTAGCAGCAAGCGCTGCGAAAGCAAGGCAGCTGTCATGCCGAAAGGATTAATATAACAATAAGTTAAATGGCAACGGATTGAATTTTCCAAATGAATGGTGGCCCGGTTTTTTTTTTAAGTGCTGAAAAAGTCACTGTTATTTTTTCCATAAAAATTAAGGAGGTTGTTGAATTACCCGTTTGCCGAAAGGTCCGCTGTGACAAAGAAACTTATGGGATTACATACGCAGCCAGCCAGACCAAAACAAAGAAACAGACAAAAATGAAAACAAAAATGTTCAAATGGTATTCGAGTACGGTGAGTGAAAGGACACAAAAATAATGGGAGAAACTGGGTTCTTAACGTAGCGTATCACACTTGCCAAGAGAGAAACCATATGACTCTGCACGTTCAGGGGCAGCAACTCGCTTGATCATCACCACCGAGTCATCGTCTGCAGTCATGTCTTTACAGAGATCAAATCCCCATTTGGTATAAAACGGAACAGTGTTTGGAGGAGCATAGACTAAAAGATCTTTTTGTCGCCAGGTTGCGAGGAGGGTTACACGTCGGATCATGGTAGTTCCAAAACCTTGCCGTTGATATTTTTCAGGAATCACGATCTTATTGACGCAAAGGTATCGCTTGAGGAAGATATATTCCAAAACGCCCTTGACGTTCATCGCTTCGTCGCAAAGAATATCGATGGAAAGATAGTCTTCAAGAGATGACGCAAGATTAACATCGGCTTCCTTAGATAATGCACGAACTGCCTCATTGGCCATGAAGAACAATGTTTTCAGGCTCTGGTGAAGGAGGACCTGCCCAATGGTTTGAATGGTGATAATGGCTGCTGACGATGCATCCTTATCCGTCATAACGAGAATACTATCCAGTGGATTGCCAGCCTTGCCGTCGTCCATGGGCGTAATGCGACCATTGTATTTCTTTGGCCGGTATTTGTTGGTGTCGCTGGGTGCCCGTACAGTTTGATCCCAATCGATTTCCAAATCGCCCTTCGCCTTTTGAACTTGCTTTTCAATTTTGGAGCTCGGCCGTCGAGGCTCTGCTGCTTGTTCTGCTACTGTTTGTCAAAAGAGAACGATTAGTGCCCTGTCACCGATAGTGGTACATACTTGAGAAAACATCCCATTACCTCTTCGGCGTTTCAACATCTCCCAGCCTCGAGCGATTTTTGCTTGATTCAAAAAGTTCTGCAGTCGAAGTTGGCTCCATCGCTGGCCACGACTCGCCCAGTCGGCAAAGTCTAAACTGGGTTTTCGGGTATTGATCTTTAATTGCATTTTTCGATTGGCCGATCGGCGGGCGAGAATATTAACTTTACCGCGATAGCTGGCTAGTTTTTCAAATTGATGAAGGCAGTCGTCTGAATAGCACTCGTTACAGCGATGGATGGGTATGAAGGTGGCTATATCTGTGGCAAAAACGGCATGCGGTCCAGGCTGAAGCATCTCTGAAGTATTATCGGTCAGCAAAGCAATGCGGGCATTCTTGTACCACTTTAGCTTCTCTTGTCGGAACTTCTCTTCTTCTTTTCGAGCTTTTTTAGCTTGAATATGCCAGGAACCTCGTTGTTCATAATTCTGATCATCTGGTTTGAACGATAAGCAAATGTCTTGCAAGGTTGGCTGGCGAGTCAAGGTTGATCGTGCGAGTGAGCCACCATCAGGCCGTGCGATCAAATGGAGAGGACCAGCCTGCGTTGAACGATCATTGGCGGAACCTTCCAGTTCCCAAGGCATTCTGACTACAGGGTGTGAAACAAATCAGTCAGTCAGTTGTTGTTGAATAATCATATGATATGTCAAGCCTCACTACGGCATGAATAACATCAAATCATATTGAATGATACATTACTTCCTCGAAGGCGATACCAGCGCTTTTCTCGTTCCTGTTTTCTTTCGTTTTGGTAGTGGCGCACTCGTTCTTCTCTATTTCGTTCCTTTAGATCTTGTAAAAAATCACGCATAGTCTCGTTGTTACCGTTGACAATGGCTCTGGAACTCATGTTGAGCGTAGTGTGTTTGAATGTAAATCGCCTACATAGAGACTGTATTTCCTGACACCGGCGAGGGCTCTCCATGACAGTCGCTGGTGAGGCGGCGGCAGCTGTATGGGAAACATGGCAAAATATTTAGGCCCAGTTGAAAAAAAATAAGCCAGCGTGATCACCGACACCTATCCAATTAAAAATACTATGATCAAGATTGGAAATATTGATAGGTACCTGGAGTTGCTGATTTGGTGATACTGGTGCGTCGATACATAGCCAGTTGATCAAGAGAACGTGTTGCTCTAGGACTACGTGGTGTGGGTCGGGATGAACGAGGTGTAGCGGCGACGCCAAGGCGGGCCATCGGAGTGATGGGAATTGAAGGAGCTGAGACAAAGTAGGGAAAAAGGATAGCAATTAATAATTGAATAATAATCAAAAAAGCGATATTAGCTCATAGTCACTTGAAAACATACTGCTTGGCGTAGATGGAGTCACTTTTCTGGATGTGCGGTTGAGAATTCGGTTGAGAGATTGTAAGGTAGGTGAATTGCGTGATAAGGGAGTTGAAGGAGAAATATCGATAGTAGGCTTTGCCAGTGCCTTTGTCAAAGGCGACTGAGCACCTAATGCTGGCTGCTCAGGAGATGTAGAGGTGAGCATGAATAAGTTTTAATTTGAAGATGTTGAATTTTCTACAGTGCAAAAAGTTGGTTGAGAAAAGGGGAAAGGTTGGGAAATTGAAAATTTACAGGTCAAGGATAATTTATCTACGGGCAAGGGGGGGGGATGGTTGGCTTATTTCAAACAAAAAAAAAATTACGGTCTTGCTTTTACATCATTGTGAATCCAGATCTTGTGTAAGCTGTCTTCGAGCTGGTAGTCTTCTTGGGCTTGACTGTTCAACCTGACTGTAAAGTTCGTAAACGCCCTTGAAAGCTCCGCAAAGTGCGATCATCACCACCGTATTATGAGTTGCGTGAAGATCCGACACGCCTTGTCGCGATGGGAGAGCTCTAATTTGCAGCAGGGACAAGCACACTATTCCAAAGCCAGGGAATGAAGTGGCTGACACCAAACCAAACAAAATAAAACCAAGCAAAAGATGTGTTGTATCCACGGTATACAGTACTTTTAGAGTCATGGGTCGTACCAGTTCGTATGCTCGTCGAATGGAGATATGCGTGCCTTCTGCTACGTAAACCACAGAATCGTTGCTGAGGTCAAGTACATGAACGAATAACTTCATCGGTAGACCATAGAGAACTACATACGCGTAGAATACCGCGCACGTGAGGGTGATAACGTAGACTGTTAAATTGATCGGCAGAAAGAGCGGCAAGATATGTTAATATTACGTGCCAAGGATATGGTAGACATTTTCTAAGGTAGGTTTGTCAAGCAGGTCGCAGGTTTCATTTCACGAAATTTTATGCCATAAGATGAAACTTTAAACGTACCCCAGTGAGCCACTTGTCGCGATAATGATATTGGACTAGACAGATATAAATGTGAGCACTGCTCGCATTGTACTGGTCGCCGTAAACATTGTTGTTCTTTTTTCCATTCTTCTAGGCATCTGACATGTACGTATTGCCTATAAAAGATCCAAATGTAATCAGATATTCAGCCAACAAGGGAAGTCAAAGCTTACAGTTACTTACATTGAGCCACGGCATTTGCATGGGCTACATAGCTGACCCTTGTTGTCATCAACTTCTTCATCAGAAAAGCATATTTTACAGAATGGTTGAGCGTAAGGCTTGTGGGTTAGAGAGCTCCTTGTCCTTATTAGACTTTTGGACGGCTGGGGGTCAACAGCTGGAACGGAGTCTGGAGCACTGACTTCGTTTGGAGGGCAGTCGTCTTCGTCGTAAAATCCGCCTTGTCTCCGCAGCATTCTACGAGGTAACTGATCAGACTCTTTATACATTTGGCTACTAAGCGAAATGTAGGCTAGGAGTGATCGTGGGATCGGTCAGATGGCTGGGATTCTACTAACAAAAGATGTTTTTGGTTCATTTAGTTTACGCAATGTCGCTCACGGTCAGAGACTATGATTTTGCGAACAATCTACCTCCTTTAGCAATTCACGAAGATCCAACTGGTCAATGGTAACGTAACAAACGCGATATGAAGTGGTAAGGAGTCGCGTTGGCTCAAGGCTTTCTGACTCAGCTTTTCATGCAACAAAAATCAAAAATAAAAATACAGGTCCCTTGGCGTCGCTGGCACAATTTGGGACTCGTCGTATGTTCTTGCAAGATATTTGGAAAAATCACTTGCACAGCAACCTATTACGAATCAGAGTAATATTTTGGAACTTGGTGCTGGACTTGGCATTGTTGGCATGTCTTTGGCTCGTTTCTTGCCTAGTGCAAATATTGTACTGACCGACAAATCGGATCGACTGAAGCTTTTGCAACACAATGTCCAAAGCAACAACTCGACGGCGACAGTAGCTGGTTACGATTGGGAAACGCCGACTTCAGCCCTTGAAGAACAAAATTGGGATATGATACTAATTTCGGACTGCATTTGGGAACCATCACTTCACACTATTCTCCTACAAGCACTGCATCGAGTAATGAAACCCACCACGGTGTTGCTGATGGCATATGAAGTACGGAATGAACCAGTTGAGGAGCAGTTTTTGGATTCTCTGCGACATACTTACACGTTGCAGTACATTCCGACTGAGGAAATGGATGAACAATTTCAAAGTGATGATATTCGGATCATTCGAGCACAGGCACCAGTTGGTATATCTGAAGTTCATTAATGTTCATACCACATTTGTACCAGTTTAGCCTAGCCCTTACTCTCTGGTTTTTTTTTTAACTTTTCATTCAATGCAAATAGAACAATAAAAATCCATGCTCTCAAAAGGCCATTACTATTGTTTCCATTTCATTTTCCTACGCGAGATTGATGGTAATACCCTTCTAGTATGTTGTAAAGCTTTGGACGATAGGGGTTTGCTGATCATCAGCCGTTTCCAAGTCCAGGTCCCAACGGAGTACCTCGTTCACGTTACCCAAGGTTTCACTCACGACTGACAAATCTTATAGAAGGCAATAGATCCAGAGAGGAGTCGAAAGAACAATACGGGTGTTGACAATGCACGCCACAAAAGAACTTGAAAGACGACCGAAGAACGTCAGTGTAGATTTGCTGAGATATTTGTTCTCAATTTATTGACCGCAGACATTTCATTTAGGGGTCACATCTCGCAAGGGAATCCGAGGAGTTTAAGTGAACCAAGTCTCCATTCCCAGATAGAGTCATTGGAAATTACGAATCCATGGTCTGATCATGTCATACTCATGATGACAACACAGTGGTAAATAACTACATTGAGAAAACAAAGACATTTTTTACAGACGACTTCCTTGTTGTAAAAGAGAGTCACCCATGACTAAAATGCATGGACCTCCTGCTACAAATTTGAAGCCATTCTGCTTGGCATATGAAATCACTTCTTCATTGTCCGTTCCGGGCTGTAGCCATACATAAGTAATGCCAGCAGCATGTGCATCTTGCAGTGTCTTAAGGGTGACACTCGGAGGAGTAATGATGGATAATGCGGTGTTCTTAGGGTCTGGGAGTTCGGATACCGAAGTGACCGACTGAAGGCCTTCTACCGTCGGTTCTTTCTGAGGAGTTTAGAAGTGTAAGTAGTGAAAGATATGCAAAGTTAGGGAAACCGTATCTACGTACAGGATTAATTGGAGTTACAGGGAGCTTTCGGTCTTGGTACCTGGCATAGGAAGCAATGAAACAAGAATATTCAGACGCCAAACTTCTTTTTCACACTCATACAATTAGGGGTGAAATGCCAACCATCGTAACACTTGATTACCAACTTTAGAACGATTGGTGCTTGCCCCGACTACGGCAAAATGAGCATTGTTCAGCAGAAAATCTTTCGCAATGGCGTTCATTTGGGGAATAAACAGTTATGGTGGGTCCAAAGAATTATCAAACTTTGGGCCAATCAAATATTCAAAAATTGAGGTATTCTGTTTGACCAGGGTGTCGAGTTTGAACAGACATTGTGGGAACCAAAAAACCTGCTGCCTTATACAGCTGATTAAGCATACCTTCGTATAAAAATAATAGAGTAGATGCTATGCAAAGCAGAAGCTATAATTAACAGTTGTCCTTGCTGCAGCATCACAGATGTGTTATATCCCTTCGGTCAACCGATACCCGATTTGATGTGGCTGTAGAATAACATTGACTCTCCTAATAATGGGCCATTGATCATATATGCAACTCTGTTTCAGGCGATGAACCCGCTCTATCTGCGTGGAAGGTGGTCCTCATATGTGTAAGCAGCTGACAATGGGAAGGTTTCTAGCTAACATCAATGTGACAAGGTTTTGAGTCATCGGTTTGACCGAGCCAACCAGTATTTTCAGAAACCATTGAAGCATCCCGATTGTGTATATGAATCAACAGGAGCACATTTTGTCTTCAGATATGCTATATAGCAATCTATATGAACCTCTGGTTTGGTATCATGCTAGCTTACGAACTTGGTGGGAGATCAGCGGCACAATAGGTCGATGTGAGACTGTCACAGGGTGTGCCTCGCTTTCAGAGGCGTGATGTGAAGAAGCGAACAGAAGCGTTTCGAGGCAATACCGAGCATAGATTTGTAAGTTCACATTGCTGTTGCTTAACAGAAGACCACTTGTCCGCATTGGTACGCTTTGATATGGAAGATTTTATCAACAGTGTACTTTGACGTGGTCGCCTTGTACATTGGGGTTTCGATACCAGTGTATGGGGTTGGGAATGGTTAAACGTATGTGATGGTTTTTAAACATGGAAAGTAAAACAATAAGAGTTGCTGCTGTAGCAAGAAGATGACCGTGTATTCATTTTTATAGCATGTATCCTCGATAATGTTTGAATTTCCATGTCGTTCTGTAGTTTGCGACCATGGCAATCACCCAAAAAAAAGAAAAAAAAGCCTCCTCCCTCATCGTCCCACCCCTCCCCCAAATGCGGTGTGATGGGTCGATCGAGGTTCTGGCCCGTTCGCTCCGCCATTCTTATGCAGACAATCTCTGGGGGGAGCCCATGTTAAAACCTTTCTTCTTCCTCTTTCCCTTTTTTTTGGTGCTTTCCGTACTCTCTTCCTCTTCTTCTCAACCAAGAAGCTTTGGAAGTGATGCTAAGAGATGATGTTAAGCCATTGTCAGCATCACCACAACTGGCAAAAGACACTAACTCCGTTGATAACCTGTTGAAGATCAGCTTCTTGAGAAACTATGCTTTACCACTGATTATGCGCGATCCCAGCCTCTACGACCTTGACGCCTTTTACGACCATCCACTTTTATCTTTCTTAACTGCTACGTCGCCGAAATACGATGGATACGAAGCGGCATTTGAACAGTACGATATAGAGACTCGCCAAGTTTATTCTGGCGTAAGTGTGTTACCACTTGAAATATATCTGAGAATAGCGCAACAGTGTCGTTTGGCTCGAAAACTTGCAACTTTTTTCTTATACCCTTTTGTGTTGTAGGATATTGATTCAGTATATGAGTGGTACTCTTGCTGGCGGCTGGTGACGTCGGTCAAAATGCTCACTATACTTGGTTTGGACCTGTTTATGGACTCTGTGATCGAGAGGTACAGAATGCCAAAAGCACACAGCCAGCTTCTTCGAGCCATTTGCGACCAACAAAATCGAGCATCATGGAGTGAAGCCGATTACTTGTCATTTTTTCCATCCTTATGGTTTATTTCAGACGGAGAACTTGGTCATAGTGGTAACTCAAGTACACAACTGGCCATCTTTAATCCACCTTATCGACTTCGCGATAGTACCCCAAAAATGTACCAACACTATGCCTTAAAAAGAGTTGACCCCGACTTGGATAGCGAGGTACGTTGGAACTTTTTAACCTATTGTTTTAATCAGGAGGGGCTTTCCCCACCTCTCGTTGTTTCAACTTGTATTGACATTATTCTTCGCCGCTTGCGTTTTTTCAGTTAGTACTTCTCACATCGTCTGATTTCCAAGTTACTCTAGAAAGTTTCTATCATGGCGTAACGGTGGATGCAGATGGTAGCTTGATGATCGTCATGACATACTCCGAGTTTGGTAATCTTGAACAAAATATTGCGAGGTCACGGCCGACTCGATGGAAAGAGATACTAGAGATGATGGAGGATACTACTGGGCACCTATGTGTCTTGCATTCACATCAGTGGATACATAATAACCTTCACCCAAAAAACATTCTTCTCATGCAAGAAGCGGAATCTCCAATGATCATCGATTTCGCCTATGCAAGCTGTGTACAAGATGGTGAGCAAGCCCGTAGTACGCACGGACGGCATCCCTATATTGCTCCTGAAGTTCCAACCATGGGACGTTCAACTGCTTCCGACGTATTTGCACTGGGCATCATATTATGGCAACTCGTCTCCCGGGTGACCTTCCCGGACAATGCGTTGCTGGACAAAGACGTACATCGAATTGAAGCGGTACCTGGTATGTTGGACGAGTTATGGGCCATCACCAAAAGTTGCCTTTCGCATTATCCAGCACAGAGACCTACTCCCGACCACATACTCGCACAACTCACACAATTGCATAGATTGCATGGCGAAGAGTTCATAAACGACGAAACCATGGCCTATATTGATTCTCGAGCCAAGGACTGTGATGATTATATAATGTCACATAGGATCTCTCGAGAGTCAGTATTTAGCACGAATTTAGCAGATGATGGTATAATACACACGGCTTCGGTCACACGCTCATCGAATGAGCGCCTAGACCGTTATCTGAGTCTAGTTGTATGTTGACTTGACGAAAGTGAAGCGGTACTTGCTTTATGTTTTCCTTGCTTTTAATGTACATAATTCTTGTAATAAAAAAAAAAAAGCAGCAAAATAGACAAAAAAAGAAATCCTGTTGTCTTTGATGTGTTATGCTCTCCCCTGTTGCAGGCACTGCCCACTTGCTGCGTGACCTAATTGTGCCTCAAACAGGCAATCCCGATATCGATAGGCAAAATTTCAACATTGAAGCTAAGGGCATTCTTTTCTTTTTAATGTAGTTGAATATGTTGAGATTTCTATTTTTTCATCTATTATGAAGGTTATACACGCAAGTCATGGATTATAATTGTTGAGATCCAGAAATGTGAATACCAGGTCCTCGCGTGGAGGATAAAACGACATTGCGAATGACGCCTATATTAACATGAGAGTGGTAAGAGATCGTTGTCATGACTTGAAAGAAATCATCCCCGTCACTTTAAACATTACCTTTCAAGTTGTGTGCCTTTCCAAACACCTTGACTTCCTCAAGAATTGCTCGCAAATTGGCTACAAATGGAGGACGGCGGCTATTAGTCAACACAGCACCGTTCAGTGACATGATATAGATATGTTCATACCTTCAATTTCCTCTGATGTAAAACTGACACGAGCAAACCCAGTGTGCAAAACACCATTTTTGTCGCCCTTGAAATCGAAGGAGCCTTTTGATTTTTGCACGGTACTGAAGATATCCTCGGTGACAGTTCCTGTATATCCTATTTAGACTTTCCCGAAAAATCCAGACATGGTCTTATAAACTACCTATGCTTACCTTTTTTCAAAGTAGGCATGAGTCCCTTTGGACCGAGTATTCTAGCAATCTTAGCGACAGCTGGAAGCATGTCAGGTGTTGCAAGGCATTTATCAAACTTGATGTCTCCATTTTTAACTTGTTCAATTAGTTCCTGTCCACCAACGTAAGCCGCACCAGCCGTTCGTGCTTCTTCAGCCTTCTTGCCTTCAGCGAACACTAATATTGATGCTTCTTGCTTGACGCCTCGTGGTAAAGAAATAGAGCCTCGAATAGGAGGAGTTGATTTTTCTATTTTGCATTGAACATGCATTTCAATTTGGTGTTGTGGTCGACCGACTTCAACTGCCTTCAAAATTCGAATGGCTTCGTGCAAATCAAGGGCATTAGGGTTCTCCTTGACAGTCTTTTTACTGGCATAGCCTGCAGCCTGCTGCAATCTATTGACCGTCGATCGTGTGACAATCAATGTTGCAGTACGTTTTGCAGCAAACATGTGTGGCGAAGGTTAGGAAAACTTGAGTTGAATTCTAAAAGGTCAAAAGCTACAACCCAAACGAAAAAAAAGAAAAAAACTAGGTCACGTGCTCATTTTCGTTTCCCAGGCAGTTGAGGGACTGGGTTACAGCCCAGTGGAATTGTATAGCAGAGCGCACATCACGGAGCCCACGATAAGACGACTATCTAATTAGGATGGACGAAATCGATTTTAAAAAATTATATGTATCTCATGATATAGCAAGTCAGCGTATCAAATCATCAGCAATGAAAAAGAGGTCATAGTGCCCAACAAAGTAAGTCAAAGAGAAAAACGTTGAACATAACTCCAGTAGTCAGTAGCACACATTGCTTTCAGGGTCACCAAGCTTCCATACCTCGTACGGTCCTCTAGGTGTCCGAGATAGTTACTGCCATTTTTAAACTTGGATACTTATGACATGTTTGACTGGGAACGCAATCGCAATGAGACTGTAAATTTGCTAGACCGACTTGTCATCCGTTTAACCAAACTTAAATATACAGTTTGCAGTGAGTTCGTTTTTAATATTGTGTCAAATATTTCTTAATAAACAGTGTTAAATACTCGATATAGCTTTTGACGAAGAAAGCGTCACGCTCAAGACAAGCTCCTCAAACTTTTGTACATTATAGAAAATACATAATAATTAATTACTTAACGGATAAGGTTGTTCCAAAAATTGGAATATTAGAGAAAATTACACAAAATAAAACAACTCGACGAACAATTGTGGTTATGGATTTTCATCCAAAGGTGGCGGTCGATGCGGTGTTAGTTCTGTCCGCAGCCCTATGAGGTGTTGTTGGAAGTCTTCTCTTTGAGTGACCGCAGCTGAATGCTCAATCTCATCCTCGTGAGCGCCTTTATCTTTCTGCTTTGCTTTTATATGTGCGCTCGCTTTACATATGGGGCAAAACCCGCTCCTGTCCTTCAACCAAGGATCTTAAAATTGTTGTGGCCATTAGTATCATGGCTCCTCATCCTAGTTCGACAAATTTTACATCATACTTACCGATACAAGCAGCGTGAAATATATGATTACATGGAAGTTTTCGAACTTGACTAATGTTTTCCTCAAATTGATCCAAACAGACAGCGCAAATGTCATAATCTCCTCTGTTGGAAACATTTTCTTCTATATCGACATAGGAATGTATTGGAAGAAGTTCAATGCTGTTGTTTGAAAGGGTTGTATTTGCCAAAACGCCTATATGGGATGGTTGAGAGACACCATAAAATTGGTTATGGATATCAAGGTATCTGTAACGGAGTATCTGTAGACATAGAAGAGCTATTACGGGGTTAGACGCTGTCATAGACCTCGGTTCTTTCCTTCGTATTTGCGACATACCGCCAACTATGACTAATAGCGCTGCTGTAATCCCTATACCAAGTGAAAGTTTGGACGAATCAAGTGCACTATTACTACTGTCCGTACTGTTGGACATTAGGTGCTGTTGGACACACCCTGGGTAGGCTCCAACGCTCTGTCGTAATACTTTGAAGTAGAAGAAGGAAAAGAAAGATGAAAAAAACCACACTTTTTACCACTTTTGCAGTATTTATCCACACCTGGTCTCCTGATGTGGGACAGAAAAATCGACGCAGTCTGGATGATGTTTGCAAGGCAGTAGCCCCACAACTTTGAGGATTTTATTCTATGCTCATTTAAATATGCGTAGGGGTTCCAGGTAGCCATTTGCGCAATGCACTTGGAATTTCTATTCTACCATCCTTGTCTTGGAAGTTTTCTATGATGGCAATCAAAACTCTTGGAACGGCTATGGCTGTTCCATTTAAGGTATGACAAAACTCTAACGGCGCTGTTGGTTCTCGCGGTCTATATCGGATACTAAGTCGCCTAGCTTGATAGTCTGTACAATTTGAGGTAGATGAAATCTATGACGAAAAGTTCGTAAGCACAATTTATCTGGCGCCTAACAGGACATGATAGTATTTAACTTACTTCGCCCCATGCCCTTCTACCAGGCATCCATGCTTCCATATCGAATTTGCGGTTGGCGCTACCGCCCAATTCTTCACTTGGCATATCCAACACTCTGATTGTTGACAAGAAGCAAAATTAGCGTTAACAAACATTGGCGATGTAGCAGTTTTTAATGTATTTACCGGAAACAGAGTCCCAACTCTGTAAAAATGTCCTCTTGAAGCTTGAGCAGCTTTTCCATAATCATTTCACTTTGGTCAGGACGAGAAACTGCAAACAGTTCAACCTTGGAGAACTGATGTACTCGATATAGACCTTTGGTATCAGCTCCTCGGGCGCCTGCCTCAGCTCGGAAAGCGTGACCAAATCCAACCATTTGTTTAGGCAATTCTTGTTCATTTAAAATCTTCTTGGCAAACATACCAGCCAGAGGAATTTCAGCTGTTCCTGCCAAACACAATGCCGGGCTATCTGCATCCATGGTGGGTGTTGTTACATCGTATATTTGGGACATTTCATTATTGCGTGGCTGGAATCCGCAACTATAAGCAAAGGATGTTCGCACTATATCAGGGGTGATAACTGGACTGAATCCATGTTCAACTGCCTTGTGCATCGCGTATTGAACCAACGCCACCTCCAGTAAAGCACCATAATTCTTGAGATAGTAGAAGCTGGCACCGGATACCAAGGCTGCAGTCTCCAAATCGACCATGTCGTGCTTTTTGGCAAGAGTCAGGTGGTCGGCGATAGGAAAAGGATGATTATCTGGATCAATTGGGGTGCCAACGATCTTAGCCACTCGTGCACAGTCTTCAGGTCCAATTGGGCTTTCTTTACTAGTATCATTTGGAATTTGTATTGCCTCGGAAAGTAGCTGATTATCTACAGATGCAAGAGCAATTTCTCGCTCCTGAATTGTTGCTTTTAAAGCCTTTGCTTCTTCAATCAGGGCGGCTTTGTCCTCTTTCGACTTTGCCAACTTTGTGCTCTTGGTAAGTTCATTTCGTCGGCCTCTAAGTGCATTCAATTCGGTGGTCATGACTGCCAGTTTGTGATACAATTCCTTCACCACCATTGCGTCCGCGCCAGATGCGTTGCGTTGCTTCATATTTTCGTTGATCTTGACTGCATTCTCGGCAATGTATTTGTAGTTAAGGTGAGGTCGAATTATATATTCCACAAGTTGCTGGCTGGAGGCATGTCTTACAATGGGGGTAAGTTTTGATGGGAGCCTAGAATTATAACGGTGTGCAGCTCTCAAGCAGACAAGTCTTGAAAACATTGTGCAATCGTCTACTGCAGTAAGATTTTAGCGAATGTCAAAAAAGAGAAAAGCCTGAATTTTTTCTGATCACGCAGAGAGCGAAATTTTCGACCCCATTTCCCGATATCACCTTTGCAGGAACAGTTTGGCTGTACTGTTGCCACGCTGTAACAAACTCATTGTTCTTCGAGAATAATCATAGAAAATGTATTATCTTTACTGCATAATTATAGACTGATATAAATTATTCGCCAAATTAGTGCGTCACTCGTTCAAAATACAAATGGCAGCAAACACCACTTTTTCTCGACACCATGAAAGTGCTTCTCATACCAGATTCGCGTATTATACGCCCGAATGCTGAGATAAGCAGCAGATATAAGTTGAAGTTGACCAATGAATATATGCTGAGAGATCAACGCAAAGCCGATAAAACTCATAATTTCTCCTAGCTAAATACAAAAATCTGCGTTAGCCTAGGCAAACCATCTCTTCTCGTACATGGATAAATAGCTTACGTAGTGAGGACACCAAGCGTATTTGAACAAACCACCTTGAGGTATCTGCAATTACGTTAGTCATGGACGCGTGAAATTAAGTCACGGATATTGGTGAGTACCTGGTACTGAGTTGATCCATGGCGACGTAAATTAGAAAGTATACGGTGGTGTAAGAAATTTAACCCCTCTCCGAAAACAAACAAAGAAGCTCCACATAGACATTGGGTCTTAGAGTAGTCGACTACTGGTACCTTTTCAGTGAAGTAATACGTTGCGTATGTGAAAAGCGCATAACAGGTGGATATAAGCAGTGACGAAGATAAAGCCGTATTGCCAGAATAGTTGTGAACGAAAAGGACCTCCTGTTCATTTAACGTCAGCAACTATTTCAACTCTCCCTTTCAAGCGCCCAATTCAAACGTACCAGCTCGCGCTTAAGGTAGTGAACGAAGGACGCCAACGTTACAAGTCGTAGCCCATAAAATGCCCGGTAGAAAAAGGTCGGCCATAGACATAAAGAAGCTACGACTAAAGAGGGTGAATAGATGATGAGCATTCCCATTTTTGATGGCACCTAGAAAAATGTAATATGTTATACGGTGTCAGTTCAACATATGGGAATGTTACGAAACGTGAAAATGTCGACGTTACCATAAGTTTTTCTTGTTTGGCGAACTTGCTATATGCAAGCCGCGTTGATGGAGATATTTCTCTGTAACATAGAACAAATCCACATATCAAAATGATCGAGAAGATGGCGAAAAAGTAATAATTTAGAGGAGGACAATGCATTGTTCGAGAAAGAAAGAGCAACATTTTGTCCTGTGCGACAGGTCTCCCATTTAAGCGTTTGAACTTCTGACGTGCTTCGGGGCAGAGCCCCCGATCCAAGCTTGGTAAGCACTCCATGTAAGATTTATGTACACTTTTAATAAGCTACTACTTGCTCAAAGCCAAGGAATATAGATTAATGTCAGCCGGGTGAGATAGGCACAAAGTTCCATCCATTCATTTAAGCGTTAAGCTCTTAAGATTTAAACACCGAACATCGAGCTTTAGCACCAGTCGTACTTAATCCACATCATCTGTTGAGGACCGCTCAACGAATTTAACTGGAACGATGGAGTTAGCCATCAACATCACCTCAGTTTGTCGAATTCGTGTTTTACTTGTACCGGTAGGACCTATAAAGAAATCCACTTTTTGGAAGCATGTAGAACTCGTCAAGCAGTTTGCAATGGTTAGATTAGGAGACGTGACTCCAGACCTGAAGAAGGATTCAACAGGTACGCCATTAACCCTGGGCATTATACAGGAACATTCCAGAGATGTAATGATATAAATACTTTGAAACAGCCATGTTCAGCAGCCAGGTCTTCCAAGAAGGCCAGCTTCACTTTCAGTTTCTGACTTCTTATAGCCGAGATCAAGCTTATTTGGAAGATTTTCAGCCCCATAGAAGAATATTCGGTGTAAGTTTGTAAGCCCTATATCCAACAAGTAGCTTTGTATTCTGACTTGAATCACGTTATGCAGGTGGTCGGCATAATGGATTGTCAGGAGTGGAAGGATAAAAATCTTAGTGAGGGATATGAGCAATTTGTAAAGAACCTCGACAAGGTACGGATGACGGATTGATGTAAGCTCTCGCTAAATTCTGTACTCAACAATGGATTCAATTAGTATCCTACGGCAGTGGCAACAAGATGTTTCGCATTCGACCCAACTGAAAATCAACCAGATGACACTAAAGGCTTGATTATGATTCCAAACGTTGGCAACATGTCATTTTATATGAGTACTATGATGTGTGACTTTGCGAGCGAGTTGTTGAGCCAGTTTGAAATGATAGTAAGTGCATTGGATACTTTTTATATGTTGAATGAGCTGCTAATCAACTTTCAACCATATCCAGGCTCACCGTATTGAAATGCTTCAAATGCTGGAATCACCTCTCCAGAACAATATGTTGGGACCCCCCACCAATATAAGAGCTAGTTTTCCATCCAGTGCGTCAGTACTACCGCAACCTTCAATGAGCAGCCCCGATCTGAATCCTCCACCGGCAGCTAATTTATCTAGCGCAAGAATGCCATCGCCAGTGCCCATGGCGTCTTCAAGCACATCATTCTTAAAGCGATCCAGCACATCGGCTACAAGATCTGCTACGAAATCGCCTGTACCTTCTGAACAGCCTCGTTCTCCTACCATGAATCGATCATACAGTGCCTCCAATATGCTTGGATCTGGTGAAATAACCAAAACAAAGCGAAGGACACCAGGACGGATCCAAAAACTGCTGGCGGATTTCTATCTCTTAGCTGGAAGGCTTCCTGATGCAGTATCACAGTAAGTATGAGGTAAATTTCCGTGTCGGCAAGACTGAGATTTGTACTGATGACGAATTACATAGCTACAATCAGGCTATCGAAATCTGTAAAGGAACTGCTGACTTTTTATGGCTTGCAAGTGCCATGGAAGGTCAAATTTGTGCCATGCTGCTATTAGAGTACCTTCATGCAGACGTTGGGGTAAATGTCTCTTGACTGTGTTAACATAATCTAAGCTAGCTCTTAATCATTTCTTATAGCACATTGTCCCTCGTGGACAGATGTCTCCCGAACTTCGAAGTGAATCACCTACTCACGAACCTTCTGAACAATCGTCTTCTACACCATCCAACTCTGGCCTACCGTCAAGTATTGTTGAAATTCCTCAAAAATATGAATCTGTCATGCAGAAATATGCAAAAGTACCCAGCACATCCGTACTGCCACTACCGACACTCGTTTATGTCGAAGCCTGCATTAAAGTTGCTCGATTTCTGTTGACAGTTGCCATGAACGGTGGTTGGAACGATAAAGTGGTGGCACTGTTGGTCCAAGGCAAGCTGACATCTGGGGTAGCTGAAAATGAACAAGAAGGTGACCATATGGTTATGGACCCAAAAATGCTTAAAGACAGCGGAGTCACCCGACTAAGCATAGCAGAATGGACCATGCGAGCTGCTGGTAATCATATGCGAGATATACCAGTAATGGACCAGGTAAAGACGGCAACCAAGTTAGAAGTTTCGTATGAAATCGATATTAAGCTCTTTCTTGCAAATTTAGATCATTGCCACAAACTGCATGGTATCCCTTCTATCCGTCGTCGGATTCCAGAGGAAAGCCGCCTTTTTGATGCGAGAGAGCGTTCAGATCATATTGCCTTTGTTGATACAAGCACATACAAAAGTCATCAGCTCAAAGCATGAAGATGGAAGGAACGGAAAACACACTGGACGACATGATAAGGGCATTCTTCTTGTCCTAGAGAGAATCTGTGATTCATACGGTATCGAAGGTAAGACTGATGGTATAGAGATACCAATACGAAATGAAGCTAATCCAATTTTATTTAAGGCCCCGATTCATACACGCAACCCAGTTCAAAATCATTACGAAGTAAATCAGCTTCTCATTTCGGCTGGCCAGAACTTCAGATAGAAGTTCTTCGGGAATGTATAACAGTCTCTGAGGCTCTGCCAGGTTCGCTGTTTTGACTCTTGCTAATTTAATTAGCGTCTAGCAAACTGACTCTTATTCTTCCGAACTAGACTACACTTCCATGCTTCGATATACTACAATTCTCTTGCGCAAAATGTATAAATATATCTCCAAAGACGAACAAATCAGATTGGCCTCAACAATACAAAGAATAGTTGCGGCTGGAAAGAAAGCGGGCCATGTCGATTCCAACATCAACTACTGGGGTGTAGATCTCGTCAAAAGCATCGAAGCGGTTAAACCAATTGCAAGGAAGGCAGTTTCTCCTCACTCTGTTAAGCGCGAAGTCGCAGTTACAGTCAGTGATGGCGACCCTTTCATCTACAATCCCTTCAGTAACAAAAAGTTACCCTCTCACCGCCACACAGTTCTTGTCACCAACGAATTTACGGAGTTCAAGGTATTGCTTTCCAATCCATTTGGATTTGACTTAGAGCTACAGAGTATCAGTTTAAGGTGAGTTCTAGTTTATGATCACATTATGACCATATCAGCATACAATTAACTGTATACGACACCAGTACCTCCGGAGCTGCATTCGAGCCCACCATTGCCTCTACCACTATACCAGCCAATGCATCTTTGACAATACGGCTTACTGGAACACCAAAGGAGGCTGGAAAGATGATCATAAAAGGGTGCCATATTAAGATTGCTGGATTTTCAGAACAAGAATTTTTGATGGAAGAAGCTGTTGATAGGACAGAGGAAAATACGAAGACCAGTGCAGCTCACGGATCTAACGCTGCCGGTCAGTCTTCATCAGATGCGGCTGGTTCAGAAGGTATGTACAAAGGCAATTGTTTGTATTCCGTCAACACAATAATTTTTACTGACACATGCAATCCCCCTGAAATAGCCAATCGTTATGTCTTAGAAGTGATCCCTGAACAGCCACTTCTGAAGATTCGAGAAACTTCGCTTCTGCATGGAGCACTCATGCTCTTTGAAGGCGAAATCAGCCAGATTAACATCGAACTGGAAAACATTGGCAACATACCTGTTGACTTCATCACGTTATCATTCTCAGATAGCACCACCACTAATCCGCTCCCTATAAATCCCGAATTACCTGCTGAAGAAGTTTATGAAGTCGAGTTGTTCACCAAAGGAACCCCTGTATTTTCATGGGAAGGATCTGGCAAGGAGATTGCTACCACCTCAGGACAAAAAATATCTTTGCCACCGGGAGAGAAGTGGAGCCTTCATGTCAATGTGTTTGGCAAGCGTCATTGCAACAACGGCACAATTCAGATTGACTATGGATACATTGATCGAATTGTTAGTAGTGAAACGCTTGACGAGACAGAAAGCCAAAAGCAAGCCATGCCAGTCTTTTATACCAGACAGCTTTATTTGCCTCTTCTCATCACAGTATCACAGCACTTGGAGCCATCAAATTGGGATATTTTGTATTTACGTTCACAATCAAATGTGGAGCAAGCTACTATTGATGAAAGCAAGAAGAAGGACATCATCGCGTTGAACGAAAGCAGTAGTTTAAACCCCGTGGAAAGGCTACTACAATCCGTACAAGCAGACATTGCCTCATTCGATTTTGATGAAAACAGCAAACATGATTACTGCCTTGTTGCCATGGATGTACGAAACATCTGGACTACACCATTTGACATACAGTTTACCATTCGTAACTCTTTAGAAAATGATCCAGCTAACGACGATACTATATATTTTCCCGTCACTATACAACCAGGACTAACAACAAGGTAATTGACTAATATCTATTTGTGTGCGAGTCTCGTTGGCTTTATCATTGAACATCAATTCTGGATCCATTTTCAGGATTACAGTTCCTGTCCGTCGTATTTACCTATCTGCAGAAAAATTGGTGAAGCCAGTTCCCTCTGTTGATCCATCCAAACAGTTTGTGGTCTCCCAGGCACCAAAGGTTGCGCCTGAACAAGAGAGGGCTCGATTACGAATGTTCTGGTATCGGGAAGAGCTACTTAAACGACTGACGGCTACATGGCGTTGCTCTTCAACTCGAAGGGAAGGTGATCTGCAGCTTCGGTCAACTTTACGCCTTACACCTACGCAACTAAGCGTCTTGCAGAAGAGCGACATCGAATTTTTGGTCAACATTGAAGATTCCAGGCGGCTTGCACACAGATCTTTTGAAGTGCCTAGCAATAAGTTTATCGACATGACCATTGCCATTCGAAATCACAGAGGTAGGTTTACATATATGAAATATTCAAGTGGCAATTAGAATGCTCATTCAAAAATGTACAGCACTTCCGCTGAAGGCCATTTTACGCGTCCAGCCGGTACAAGATTATGGAAATACGCTCAGGGAGTGTGATTCCAGTAATAATATTTTGTGGCAAGGCTTGTTGCATGTAATTTTACCAGAGGTACGACATCTATCCCACTCCTCCCTGAGCCACATTGAACCATGAACATCATTTAACAACGATTATTCTCAATAGATACCACCTAATGCTGAAAGTGCTAAGCATAGACTACCTCTTTGTTTCCTATCAAGAGGAAGGTACAATTTTTTGTTTCACGTAGAAGACGTATTTACACGAGAAATTGTCTTCGATCATGAGCGTACCATTATTGACGTCGTAGACAGTCTCTAATATACAAAGAATGTATTTGTTAGTTGTGTAAACTCATTATGTAACGAAGAGAGTAGGATTGAGCTTTAGCATCTCTTATAAAGCCTAGCTTATTCAGAAGAACTACTAACAGCTGGAGAGAAGTTTTATATAAAGTGTTGTACAATTCAATTTCCTTTTTCTAATGGCTTATGATATTGTCTGTCATCTTCTGTTCTCTGTTGCAATTTCTGTTAGATGCCTTGGCGCACATTTTTTAGGGCTTCACGACAATAGTTATTCCAATGTGGGATTGAATTATGTGATAGTTTCCCACAGACGTAGCATTATATATATGCGATACCTTTCACTTTTGAACTGGAATGGAAACGCAGTATTGGCAGGGTGACAGACAGCTTAATCGGCCAACAATTCAGCAAGGATATGTAAAAAATTACTTCCTGGCACTCAATTATTGATTTTATCATTTCTAGGCAAGATCAAGATGGCGGTACTGTACCTAACCATCAACTGTAGCTAATATTACCTTTACTGGCCATGACAGCACGAATAGGGACAAAGTATGTATGTACCCAATAAGAAAGGAATGACCCATCAATAATGAACATTATACATTATTCTGAGAGGCACTGTATGAAATATTCATCCTTCCACCTTCCCTTTCTTTCTTTTTTGACTATGAATCGATTACTAACGACTATATCTGCATTTCTGCTTATCTTTAATTTTGTCGCGGCCGACACTGTCAACAGCCTAACGACAGCAAAAGTGCTCATTGGTACAGAAATATTAACCGTTCACGCTAACAGTGCAACATACACCATCAATCTCAACTCCTATACAAATGAGGCTAATAGTGCAACGCAAGCAACTGTTCCAACGTGCACATTTCAACCTTTCACATTAACGGCAAAGCTTGGAGATACATTGGTCACAAAAACTATCACCAATGCGGAAGAAACTGTTGTGTTTGATGCTGATTTGCTAGGGAAGAAAAATAGGAACGTTATCATGCGCTTAGGTAGCAAAGTCATTACTGTCCCGGCAAGTACTAATACTGTCACTATTCATCCCGAAAGTTTTGATGAAGTGGTAAGGCAAATTTTCTGTCTTCAGCAGTCGTGTGTACAGTCCGGTTAAATTTGGTTTTTATTACTACAGCATTTTGCATCATAATGGCCGAGCTTTTGACACTAAATATGACCATATATCGCGCTAGAGCGCTGCAACATGAAGACCAACAATACAAAAATGCCTTATATTCAATATAGGGAGTACACAACTGGGACTAAACGGTTTTCAGATTGGTAATAAAATCAAATGCAAACAATGCTATACAATGGAAAGGGTTATGCTGAAACGGCACAAGCTATTATGAAAAAAGTGTAAAAGACAGGAGATGTGCTTTTTTAAGTCTGATATTTGGTTGGTATTGTACATTACTGGCATATTGATGCTTGTTCAAACTGTTCGATGACAGCATATAGTTCGTCCTTGTTCACTGGTTTTGTCATGTAGCGATTCTATATTATCAACGTCAGTATCATTCGAAGACCAGCAAAAGATGTGGAAAAAACTTCTTACCAGTCCACTTTTCAGAGCATTCACTGCATGAAATTCTCTAGCATTTCCAGATAACCCAACTATTGGTATTGGTGCTGCAGCATTTTCTTTTTCCAACTTTCGGATTTCTTTAGTCGCGGTGATACCGTCCATGATAGGCATTTGAATGTCCTGCTCAGCCCACATGATGTTAGCAGCTAGAAAGTATGTCAAGTATGGGAAATATGCACCTACCATTATAATGAGGTCGAATGATTTAGTCTCAAAGGCGGAAAGAGCCAGCTTCCCGTTGTCCGCAATCAGAACTTCGTAGCCTTTCATTTTTAGAAGTCTTTTCATCATGTTTTGGCTAATGTGCCAAGTTAATTAATACAGACACATCAAAAATGAGTAAGGTAAGCGTAACTTACTTTATCTTATTATCCTCTACAAGCAAGATGGTACGAATTTGCCTGTTTACGCATGCTTGAGTGGGTGATTCAGGTAATCCATTCGCTGAAGACACATTATTCGATGGTGAAGATATATCGAGTGGCTTTGAAACCTGGATTTTTTCGGTATGTGATTTCAATGCACCATCTTCAATGTGATCATCACGAATAGTAAACGAAAACACTGATCCTCTCCCTTTTTCGCTTTCGACAGAAAAATCGCCGCCCATGAGCTTAACCAGATTTTTAGAAATGTACAGTCCAAGTCCGGAGCCACCATATTCGTGAAAAGTATTTTTTGAGGTAGGTTGCGTAAACCGTTGAAATAGATTGGCTTTTTCTTTCGGATTCATCCCGACTCCAGTATCGGTGATGCTGATTTTCACCATGTTCTCCATACCATTTGATGGGATACGGCGAGTCGTTACTGTGATCTTTCCTGAATCCGTAAAATTTATGGCGTTTACAAGTAGGTTGATGACGACTTGCGTCAATCGCTGCGGGTCATTTCGAATAGTGCTAGGCAAGGAATCAAATTTTGTGACAATACCAAGACCTTTGGCTGCCACTTCCGCTTGAAACATTTTGATAATGTCAGATAACACTGTATCAAGATTGAAGTCGACTTTTTTCAAAACAACTTTGCCAAGTTCCAGCTAATGCAATGGGTAATTAAACTTCTGAAAATTTACAACCTTTGCACAATGCATATTGATCTTTCGTAAAATCATACCTTCGATACACTTAAAACGTCATCCGTAATAACCTTTTGTTGAGCTACACAATTCTTGACGGCTAAAACGGACTCTTGATCAAGGGGCAGCTGTTCCCGTAGTGATTGTATATCACTCTCCTCTAAAGTTGGCTTGCTGAGAATTGCTCTACGATGTTCAATACCATCCTCTAAAAGTTCAACGTTTCCTGATATTCCATTGAGAGGGTTACGAAGCTGTACGTTATGGTTAGAGGTGGTGTGATATTAAAGTGTGGGCATTTTGGCAAGATGACCATCATAAACTACGTACCTCATGGCATAAGCTGTCGATCCACTGATCCTGTCTCTCCTTATGGTGTTCCGCTTCCTCAGCTCTATGCCGCTGGTGTTCTTCAGCGGCTTGTTTGGCTTCCAGTCGTCCCCGTTCCGTATTCTTTAACTCAGTAATATCCATTAAAGTGTGAAGGTATCCAAGAATATGTCCATCTTCAGCAGTAGTTGGTGTCGTGTCAGCTTTGACCCATATGATATCGCCATTGCTATGTATGAGACGATATTCGTGGCAATTGGCCAAAAATTTAAATTCTTCAGTGTTGTGAAAGCTACAAAATGGCCAGTTGGTCTCCACAGCTTTTCGGTCGTCAGGATGAATGACATCTATCCAGCCATGTTCTCGAATTTCATTCTCAGAACGGCCAACCAGTTGCGAGAACCTCTTATTGATGTAAAAATCGTCATCATCTCCAAAAGTGATTCCGTAAACACCGACGGGAAGAGATGAAAGGACATTTTGATATCGATCTTTTTCACGTGACAACACACTTTCTGTGGTCTCAGAAATCATACGTATTGATTTGTGAAGAGCAGCCTCAGCAACCTTTCGACGCTCCAATTCAACTTCAACGGATTTAAATCTCTGCTGAAGCTTAAGCAGTGCCAATTGATGATTACGCAGGGCGTTGGAATCGGCTTTGTAATCAATTCTATAGTCTCCAGGATTATGTTCGGCAGTGTTGATATGCGCATGGGCTTGACATATGGAGGCCATGGCGTCAACGTCAGAAGCGTCGCTAAAGCTATTCAAGGCATAACCGCAAAGTAGTTGAAGACGTCGACGTTTCATAAAGTCGTTCCACTTCGATTCCAAAACCAAGGCGGCATGATATTGCTTTCGCTGCGAAAGGATATTGACCACTTCTCCAAATGCATAGATGATACCATTGGAGTTTGCCTTAAGCTGATCGATGGAGCCTTCGATTAATTCTTCAAATTTGTCGCCCGAGATGGTTCCATCGCTTCTTTGCAATGCTTTCAAAATATCATATGCATCAAAAAATAATAATCGTCCTCTGGTTTGGATTGTCAAATTAGATGAATGATTTAAATGAGTCAGGGTGCTTTGCGATACCGCTCAAGTAGATGTTCATTACTTACGCATCTTTCTTTTTCTCAACATTGACGTTTCGCTCTCGCAATTTGTTCTCTATGATGGCCAGATGTGCTTTGGTAGCGATGATGAGCGCTCCACCCCCCGCCTTTAGTCCGGGAGCAACAAAACTATAGAGGACAAATGTAAATATGAGACGCTGTTTCGCAAGTGTCAATGAGGTAACGGACAAGAACGAAGCATACCTAATAATGCTGTTATAAAGATATTCTTCGTCGTAATAAAACTGAACGATATGGCCGTGTTCGCTAGCAACAGGAGCGCTTGCCTGAAGGTTCAGCATTTCGTTTGAAGATTCGTCATATGACGAGATATTCGAGAAGTCGTTACTGGAAACTTCTGACCAACTCACAGACGAAGATTCTTCTGACATATCGCCATTAGTTGACTGACTGGGCGATAGTAATGGCGAGGTTGAAAATTGCAAATGTGGATTGTCGTCCATTATAGTGATTGAATTTGCCCTCTAAGTAAATTATGTTGTCAGATTGAACTCGCTCATGAGAAGAGCATAAGTGGCACAGAAAAGAACTACCTCAAAATATGTGAGTTGACCTAAAAGCCTATAGAGCTATTATAATTCCAAGAAATGCGCCCCCAACAGTAGAAAGTTAAAAAAACTGCGTAACTAATTGCGAGAACCAAAGAAAAAAAATAGGTGAGAAGTAAAGTAAAAAAGGGATTTTGTAACTCCATCACCAGGCTAACCCGCCATCACATCATTGAAACTCAAAAAGGGAAATGGTTTCCAAGCTGTCGTATCCAATCATAGAGCTCGCTTTTAAATATAGCGTGCATTGGTATATAATGCCTTTCCGTTTGGTGCTTGATATTATTAGCAAACTAATCTTCTTCAATCTCAATATCGAATGACCAACGTTCGATTAAAATCTTCAATATATCGGATCGTTCACACCAAAAGCCGATTTGTGGAGCATGGCAAATTTGGTGGAGTTAGTTGACCTTGGGCCTAGACGCTCCGAGACTTAGTTAGGCCGTTGCGCTGGAAAAATTTCAAACGAAGATCCGAACGGAATATCGAGAAAGAAACAGCATGTTAACAAATATGAAAGGAGAACTATTCTCTTTCTTCTTACACAAAAACGCTTCTTGCATCGAGATATTCCATCGTTTTCTACTCTCTCTTACGACAAGCGCCAGAGGACATCTCAGTAAATTTAGATTACTCCCGTACAACCCCAGGTAGCCACATAATACCCTCATTGGTAGGCATCGTTCACATGGCGCAAATTCAATTTAACTGAAGTGCATCGCGGTTCCCACCATCGAATTTGCACATACCAAAGCATTTGGCATCGGTTTTTTCCGATTTTTGTTACGGCGGAGATTCGCTGTGTTTGCTAATCAATAGACATTTTTCCTCTCCGGAATATTTTAACCTTTTTCTTTACCCGCAACATAGGCAATATATTTGCTCTAGGCAAACCATTTACACTATGCTCCATGGACAAATCTGATCATTTACGAATGATTTTTACGGAAGCATGCCCATCTCAGTCACTGAAACCTTCATTCAGCAGGAATCTCCGATGATACTACCATCATCTACCTGGGTATCAGAAGTTACAAACTGCCAGCTTATCATCGCAGCTAGCTCTTGCTCTCTAAACAACTTCGCTCAGCTCAACTGTCCCAATGAAAGTATACAATTCTTAGCATTAACTACATGGCACGAGTGAAGCAGATACGTACACTGGTTGCTATTTTATTCCCATCTTACAGTAATACTTAGCACTGAAGATATTGTAGCTGTAGGAGCTAACGACAGCAATATCCTTTATTTGTCCATTGATTGGATGCATAGTTGAAATATCCTTTAGGATAACGATGGGAATCAGATTGCTACCTGTCACCCATTGTTGACGGCTGGTGGATCGACCCAGGTGAAAATGATATCAAAACATAAAGATAATTACGTTAATATCAATGCGAGATAGCTTTTGCATTCAGAGAATTATAACAAAAGGTTTATCTTAGGGATACCACGCTGATAATCCAAAGTTGAATTGCGATAAGTGGATCGAATATAAAACCTTCTTCCTATGCTGCCAGGATGAACAGGTATTAAAATAAATTCACCAAAAAGCCGAACGTAGCAACATACATTGCAGAAGTGTATTGAAAACTTTACTCAGATTTTTCTGTTGAAAATTCGTGAAGTCCATCGGACTTCCGAACATGAGCCTAGAGATTTCTCTCCCTCCCTCCTCAATATTCAGGCTCAAGATATACTTAAGGGAACTGCTTCACTAGCATAGGTCATTATATCTACCAAAATCTTTTATCATTATTATTATCTGGAACTTTCGCGAAATAAAGAGAAATGATTACAGTAGTAGCTGAGATTGCTCGGTTGAGCCATTGAAATTCGAATGAAATTTTTTTTGATCTTCCAAAATGGTATCTGTCAAGCAAACATTCTATTTCATCATCTTCAACGAAAATTCTGACAGTTACTCTAAAATATTCAAGATATTTTGTCATTTTTTGGTTTCTACAACAACCTGCAAGTGGTACAGTCTCAGCGCCTGTGTTTCTTTTTCGACAGTCTAGCCACTTAAAGAGAAGGTAAGTTGTTGGCAAATTCTTGATCAGCGTTTCCAACTTCTATGGTCACTGCTAGTACTGTTAAGCTGATTAATTACTCTGAGGGTTGTTTATTTTAATCATATAGATGTTTTTCTGCTCTATAGTCCACTAAGAATAGTCTAATGTCACTCTTTCTCCATAATGTAAGGGTAACTATAGGGAGATCAAAATGAGCATATATTACAAGCAAAGCAACAACAAATGATGATGGGTAAGTTGTGTGTGATTGTCTGATTATCATTACTTAAGTAATGATGGGAATGGTGGTTGTAGTAGAAGTTGTAGTAGTGGTAGTATCGGTGGTAGTAGTGGTGGTATCGGTAGTAGTAGTGGTGCTGTCAGTAGTAGTAGTGGTATCGGTGGTGGTAGTGGTGCTGTCAGTGGTGCTATCAGTGGTGGTAGTGGCGGAGCTTGCAGATGAAGAATCGACAGCAGAGCTAGGGGCAACAGAGCTGGGAGCAGCAGAAGAAGGCATAGGAGAGGGAACAAGTGAAGGGAAGGCAGCTTCAACAAGGCCATTAATATCAACAATAGAGCCGGTTCCTAAGCAGGGAATGGCAAAAGTGCTGGTTCCAAGCAAGATGGAAACCGAACGGGAAGCACATTTATCGGCGCTGCCTTTATCATCATGGTCATCCTTGTCATCCTTGTCTTCGTCATCACTCTTGTCATCAGACCAAAAGTTTTGAGGCTCGGCAACCTTGGCATTACCTTGCTGTATTTCAGCATTTTTTCCCTTTGGCAAGCCAGAAGCATCAACAGCGCTTAGTGCATACAGGCAGCAGATCAGAATGGGGATGGCTGAGCGCATTATCAGGATACGTTATAGTGAATGCTGAGACAACTATCGTAAAGATTGGACTTTTATACAGGTGATATTGAAAGTTTGCTTGCGCATAAAAGTGATTTTAATACCCCTGATATTTCTCATGTTGCAGGTACCAAATGTTACCCTTTCCACATTTATTAAAACTTTGGATTGAATTATGCAGGTAGCTAACTCCGTGTCTTCTATCTGGCCCGATTTCTTTAGGTGATTTTATACTTGTGTTGTGTTAGTGGGTAACAATTATGCTCAGTTGACAGCTTGTAATGCCGGACTAAAGGTTTACATCCATGTAACTTGATGATGCTGACTTTTTGTCAGTCCATTGATAGTATGAGCTTTTCTTTAATAATATAACGTCATAACTTAGACTTTAATGAATCTGAGAACTGCAAAGCGCAAACTATTTAGGCTTGCGACCGGTTTGCCAAGATATGACCTATTCCGCATTGTGCAGCTCAATCAATACAACGGGTCATTTCATCTCAGTTTAACGCGCTGCAGCTTCATCCGTATTGCAGCTAGGAGATGATATATGTAAGGCACTATGATTCACATCCGTCCACTAACCTTCCCTTTCCAAAAGGTCATTAAATCCTTAACCCATTCGAAACATCTCGACTGTCAAATGCCATGTACAGAATTTGCCACTCATCGCATAAACAAATACGTTTTCTTTCAAGTTAAGTGCTATTATTTAATACCTCTAACCTGGTTCCCTCCCTCTCTCGTCAAACGAAGAATGTAGGTTAATAATTGTTGCAATCGATAATGCTTTGCTCCAATGCTTTTCAGGGGTTCATTCAATCATTCGTAATTAAGGGCGGTAGAGCAAACCAATGAATCCCTGTTAAGTGTTTATCTGGGAAACCCGCCCGTAAACACTATACCACCGGTATGGAAGCCGCCATTACTACACTTAAAACAGAATGCAAGTTTTGTTATTTATGTTACTGACAAATTTGGTTGTTTACATTTTGCAATCTGGACACAATGAGCCTTGAAAGTGTTTTCTTCATAATGTCTGTAAATTTGTATTTCTGAACGATGATTCGTTGAAACAATTGCTAATATGAGGTAGGTTTCTCTAATTTGTTAGGCATTAAAACTCTTCATAGCGGATATGGTTTAAGGATGAGCGCTTTCATTTTTTTTATAAACGAGCATCTTTAGCCGACATTTCGGAATTCATTTGTTGAATGCGAGCATAAAGTACAGTATCTCTTTGCCGTCGACATTAAGCAGCTCACTATAGCGTAGTTACCTTTGTAATTTGCCTTTCATGGAAATGTACGTATTTATGTCATAAAAACAAATGTCATATATTTTGCTGTAACTTTTACACCAAATGCTCCAATCGGCTATCCATGGCAACAGCAGTATACCGGAGAGCGCGTAGATGTTGCAGGGGGAATTTGAGTCTATATAACTTAGCATTCACCGGAGAAAATGAACATTATTGCTCGCCACTAAGGTAGATGTTATCATCCATAACCGAAAGTCAACTTACCTGGTCCTGGCGTTCTAACGATCCATCACTGAGAAGGACATATCTATCGGTTGAGTTGATGCCGCATAGAGTGGTCGAGTTTAAATCGTTTATACCTGGCGATGATGATCATGAAACAGTGGGAGAATATGACATAAGAAAATAAAATGATGTAGAAATGGACTGAAGTTGGAAATGAACGGAATGGAGTTGAGTAAGGGTGGAATGTAGAACGACATTCATGTCATTTCCATGAATTCTGGATGTTGACAAATATTTGAAAACCCCGCTAGCGGCAAGATTTTACTGGCCTTGATAGCATTTAAAGAAACTTTTATTGCGTGATGGAACGAGCGTTAGCGAGAGACATAACGCGGGAGGAACAGCGTGAATTTTAGCGGGCTGTATTACATTTATGGTTTGTTAAATCTGGCAGGACTAGGAGGTACCTAGTAAACGCATCACATTCTGAGTCCACCACGGATGCTGTGGTACTGTTACTGCGTTCAGAAATAATAAACTGATCAAAAATCTGATCCTGCAAACAGAATGCAAAAAAGATGTAGTGATTAAGGTGGTAGGAACACTTGATAACAATGTGAATTGCAGAAGGATTTCAGTGGGCTCCTTCCATACAGATTTAACGAGTTTTTTGGCAGTAAAATGTTTTAATCACGCTGTTATTCAACGTCTCCTAATCCTACATATAGACAGTCTGGTTATCGCAAGCGTCACAAAACAATTCTTTCGAGAGGATAAATCATCTGAAGAAGCGAGCGCAAGCCAGTCTAATCACCGCAGTGAAGCGACAAACAATCACTGTGCAATTGTGTTCTCCCATTTGGTTCTAATTATTTTCACAGTATATACCCCTAGCACAAATAGTGAGCCTTACATTCTCTTTGAACAATAATCAAGCTAGTAGCGCTTTCTTTTTGTGGTATATTGTTTACACACAGTATCCGCAAATAACCTCCTTCTTAGGGATACGATGATTGTAAAATCGTCGGTATCCATGGGCAATTGAACGATGACAATTTTAACATCATATTTTTTATCTGCGATAAGGAAAAATTTGCAGCGAGTCAAACTAAGATGCGGTACACCTGTTGTTCACATTGAGCTACATTGTAGGGGACCGGTCACATCTTTGGAAACGTAGGTCATAACACTATACAGCCTTCTCTGTTCAGTCATTAGTGTCATTATCTTCTTCCATTACTAGAAGGTACCTATAATAAAGAGAAGTATACATTACCTTTCAGCTTTCCAATATATACTAAATATGGCACGCCCAGATTTCTTGAGATATGTAGGACCGCTTGGATATGTGGGGTGATTAGCCCTTTTGATATCCCATAACGTTAGAACAATATTGATCCTCATTATATGCCTCATAAATTGATGAATATGATATATTGAAACTCTTTTCAAGGTTCTTTTCAACTAAATTCACGTCAAAGCAGAATAAGCACTTCCTTTGCGATGACGAGCGAGAATGATGATGAAGTAGTAATTGTCTTGGCGACTGCCAAAAAGATATATAATTAAGAAATCTATACTAAAGATGAATGGATGTTAAACTTGGAAACTCTGATCACAACAAATCAAACAGTATCATTGTTACCTATCAAAAAAGTATGACATTGAAAAATGATAATAATCGACCAATTGGAGGAGATGGGAAAGCTACCTGAATATTTAACCCCTAGGTATACTTGATATCAACCTAGTAACATCTGATGCTCGCAGTATCATTAATATAAGAGCTTAATAAAGCTATCTTTTGCGCAACCCAGCTTTCAAATTTCATATATAAAAGCTCGATTTTAATCTCAGATCCTCAACATTCATTCAGCATATTGAAAATGCGTTCAGCCATTTCTATTCTAATCTGCTCCTTGTATGCACTTTGCGCTGTTGACGCCACATCCATCTCAGAGGGAGGAAATACTTTAGTTGAGAAAGATATTATCAAGGCTGCCGAACCTCAACAACTTTGGTCCGAAGTCAAGAGTGATGACGATGGTGAAGTCGACCACAAGGACGGCAAGGACGGCAAGGGTGGCAAAGGTGGCCACAAAAGCGATGAATATGCTACCCGTTCGGTTTCCATCCTGATTGGATCTAGCACCTTTGCCATTCCCTGCTTGGGAGCCGGTTCTATCGTTGATATTAACGGCTTTATACCCATTGCATTTCCTTCACTTCTGCCCATTGCAAGTGATGAGCTGATTTCTTTGATGGCGCCTTTTTCAAAGGTGCTTTCGATATATTTAAAAGCCGAGTTCTTCACTGTGCATTCTTTGTATTTTCAGGATGGCTTGTTCATGGAGCATTCTCTGTATTTGCTAGATGGTTTGTTCATGGAGCATTCTTTATATTTGCAAGAGGGCTTGTTCACGGTGCTTTCTTTATATTTGAAAGACGGCTGAGCCTGGGTACTCTACGGAGAAGATGACCGAGTCAACAGATGCTTGGCTGAGCCTGGGTACTCTACGGAGAAGTTGACCGAGTGGATAGTAATGGGTTGGCTGAGCCTGGGTACTCTACAGGAAGACATCCGAGGGAACAGATGGCTTGCAGTTATGTTATAAATCGGCAGAGTCTGGGTACTCTACGGAGAAGTTGACCGAGGGAACAGATGGCTTGCAGTTATGTTATAAGTCGGCAGAGCCTGGGTACTCTACGGAGAAGTTGACCGAGGGAATAGATGGCTTGCAGTTATGTGATATACCTTTTAGAGAGTACGCCCACGGAGAGAGTGGACGGCTAAGCCTTTAGATATCTTTTTGACATGGACGCCCATGGAGATAGTGGACGGCTAAGCCTTTACCTAACTTTTTGACATGGACGCCCTCGGAGATAGTGAACAGAAGGCCGGCTAAGCCTGTGGAATACCTTTTAGAGATGGACGCCCATGGAGATAGTGGACGGCTAAGCCTTTACCTAACTTTTTGACATGGACGCCCTCGGAGATAGAGACCGTAAGGCCGATAGGACTGGATGGAAGATAGGACTTTAAGGAATCTTTTATTGCGA